AATTTGTTCATATTGACTTAAATGACAAACTATAGAAAAATGTGGCTTCACTTGTGTTATACAGCCAGTCACGAGGCTCAAACTAGAATGTTAGCAATGCTGGGCAAAGTGCTTTGACAGAAACTTCAGCCCATAATCACCAGGTCAATAAACTTCACTAAATTTGATCAGGAAAAAAATGTGTTCAGTGTCTATCAGGTACTTTGATATTTTTAGTTTTTATAAAAAAGTGAAGACGGTTACCAAACCCATTCCGTAATCATCCGGGCTATACAATCCTTCCTTCATTACACCCCCCCCCCCCCCCCCCGCTAATTCCATAATCTTACACAAATGAGGTTTATTATGGCTTTGGTTCTGTAAACCAACTACAGCACTAATAAGTTAACTACTTGGAGGTGGGGATTGTGGATTACATAAGGATGAGAGCCATGATATGCTCAAAGCCCATCTCTTGGAAGAGGTGTTCAACATAACTGGAAGTTTCTGCCTGACGTATGGCAGTATTTGATTGATGTTCTCTTACATGTGTAATGACAATAGAGCCTGCATGAAGTGTGAGGGGACTAGTGGCCACGGGAGGTAATGACAGGGAGGTCAACCTACAGCACGAATGCACCAGTGGCCACGAGAGGTAATGACAGCAGGGGTATCAGTTGTGAGTGCGAAGGGACTGGTGGCCACGGGTATGTTCGAGAAGGGGGGCATGGTCAGGTGACAGAAGAGGACGGTGGAGTCTGCTGGTGGAGCGAGCGTCCAAAATCAGCGAGTATGATCGAGAAGGGGGGCGTGGCCTCGTGTTGAGAAATAAGGGAGATGCGCGGGAGACTGGGCTGTTGACGTGGGATTTCCACCTGATGTAAAGTGAACGTGTCTTCAATGAAGTGCCATCTCTCAAGAGAAGTGTGTCAAGTCGTCATTACACATGTAAAGTATCTCTACTTATCCATGATTTGTCAATTCCAAAGAAAAATACGTCAAAAAAGGAATTTGCCAAATATACAAATTATGGCTTCTCCTAAAATGTGTCCTGTGTTCACAGTGGAGTTTCTCTGGGTAAAAAATTCAATCTGTAATAACCACTTTCATCGGTGTTACATATTGGCAGTTAAAACACGAGATGGTAAGGGACCATTGACTCGAAGTAGCCAAAGTGGGCGATGATCATAAGGATATGGATAACAATGATGATAATGCCGTCTGTCACTGGAGTGCCATGAACGGGAAGGTGATAAGGCGACGCATCCATGCAGGGGAATGGCAGACAGGTGAGCGGGCAAGCGAGCAAGCAGCCGGGTATAATGGCAGACAGATATACAAGGTTATTTATGGATGTGAAGGGTGAGGTTTTGATAGCCAACACGATACCTGACGCGAAACTATTCCAGTCAAGCAGTTTGTGAGAGCGGGTGTTACCCATAATCCCGACAAAGGCTGAGTTTGGAAGAGCAACCAGCAAAGGCGTTAGAAACCATCAACGTGTAAGAGCGAGAACACGCATACACAAACACATACACACAAACACGCATTAAACACATGCATGCACACATGAAAGCCCAACAAATGAAATTAATGTACAGTCTTGGTTTCAGTGTTACGTTTTGGGCTTTTTTTAAAAATTCAGCAAATAACAATGATCTTTAGTCAGGTGGTAGATCACTCGACTCACAATCTTTGTCATAGGTCAACTCCTCATGGCCCTCAGAGTTCACTAAAAGAGCACTAACTTGGGAGACTTTAACAATGGCTGTACTTGGGAGACTGGACCTTACCGCAATAACGTGGAATTTCCACCAAATCACCCTCAGTATGCCCAATCTTAGATGTGAGAATCTAAACAGATTAAGTCTGCTTAGTACTTGGATTAAGACACTGCCTGGGAATCCCAGGTATTAAAAGCTTGGGCTGTACAGTGGCCATGTGATGGCAATATAGCTTTGTACAATGTTAAATCTATCTATGCAGAGACTTAATCCCCTTGTATCTATGGATTCTACCATGTTATTTGGTTTCCTCCCACATGCCAATGGAATTGCCCAACCATCCCCAATGCAGGACACTCTTGAAAAAGGTGTACCCAGATTTGACGAGACTTTTATGGTTATATAGAGGGACATTTATTAAAGCACATCATGGCGTCATTATTTCAAGAGCCCAGGAGGATGACCAATTCTTCTGAAGTCACAGGCGGCTTCTACAAACTAATCTCACAAGACTCCTTACTGCTCCACAAATAGAGGCTCACCACATGTGAATAGTCCAATGTGCCTACGCTCTCTCTCTCTCTGAAATAGTTGTGATTGGCCAACTTACGTGACAAAGCAAACAATCTATACGATAGTTTTTTTCTGTACATTATTGATCAACCAAGCTCAAACCATTTGACTGGCTACACTTGTGGAGTTTGGGTACTAAAAACAAAGCCATATGACTCCCAAAGCATCAACTGGATTTTCATTATATGAATGGCATTTGCTCAGTGAGAAACTAAATTTAGTGAGGGCTACATCTACTAAACTATTTGTTTAGTTTTAGACTTAAAATTCCGGTACCAATTTTTGTTTCAAATATTACATTCCATTGCTCATGTGTGCACAGACTCACTATTACAAATAAGCATTGAGTATGCAGTCTCACAATCATGCACTAAACACACACACATATCTCATGCATGCATACATACAAAATTATAACAGGCACTCATAATTTTAAAACCAAAGATCGTATTATATATATTGAAACCCTTTGAAAATCCACAGCTGGATGAAGATCTTACCACGCTCTGTCAGCCATGGTGGTTGAGTCCAAGCCACAACGAGCATCAGTGACGAGTAATACCTGACCTGGCACTGGCTACCCCATTCCCCCTTCACTAACCCACACTGACCGTCATTGTGAAGCATGATCAAACGACCCCTAGGGCTGAAAGTGTGCGGGGGGGCCTGCATCCAGCGGTGTGTATTGCCAAAGGGATGTTAATTATTGATTATTTTGTATTTCACGAGCTCTGATTTTGACCTTTAGGAGACCACGTGCATACTGTCTGTCATATAATGCCACTTTCAGAGTCTGCCAAGGCCGCATAGACACTATACATGAGACTTCTCATCGCAATAGGACACGCATGGATATGCCACCACCCACACGTTTAGATTTGCATGTGTAACAACAATAAAAATGTGCGTGAAAAGCATCACGGTGCACGGCAAGATATTTTAAATACATCCCTGATAAGTATACGCTTTCAAGCCGGGTGACAATAATTACATGCTACAGCCCTCTTCCAATGCACTGCTGGATGAAGGCCTCCCCATACTCTCTCTGTTGGAAGGGCTGTTTAACCATTCTTCATCATGCTGGTTCAGTGCGGGTTAGTGAAGGAGGAACCAGGACCAGTTCAGATATCACCCGCCACTGATGTCAGCTGTTGCCGGCAATTAAATTCAGGTCAATGCAGTAAGCTTACCACTGTGCCATTGCTCCACCCATAAAACTGTTTAAGGACTCAACAATGGATTCATAGGTCTCCCATTGCATTCACCAAGGGTCCATCTTACCCGTGTAGCCTGCTTTTATCATCTGGAAAACAAGTGAGCAGTTTGCACCCGCACCTGCCTCAATGATTACAGATGTAGGTCTAAAGGCTGGAATATATCAACTAATTAGCGAAATCAGATGGGTTTTTTTTGTGCAATCACAGGTGACTGGGCTGAGACCATCAGGGTTGCTACACGTTGACATCTCTAATAATCTTGGGTGGGAGTACAATAATTAAAGCCAAGATCTCAGCAGCTCATTGATTGAGCCAAAGAACCACTTCAAAGTCTATGACATTTTCATTCATATTCAAGCCTAGTTTGGATTGAGGTAATGGAGAATGATATAATTAGTTCACAACACACATTTTCTACTCCAGTTCTCACAGAACCTATAACGTTATCCACAGATTGACCAATTGACAACAACCACATCAAGGCTTGTGTCAATTGTTGAAGATTTTTGCATTCGATAAAAAAAACATGATGAAGAGTTTTACTGTCAAAAAACTCACTGATACTTACCAACTGATGAATTTAATTGCGATTGACTTCATCAGACATTGGGTGTTTATCAAATGGTACAGATTTTCAGTGCTACAGATGGAAGCGTTGTGATTCCATTCAATAAAACATCTTTTATTTATTTATAGAGTCTCATTTGTATTGGTTTTGTATGTCATTTGCAAAGTTGTGTTTGCAGCATCAGAGAAATAGAACACACAATTCGAATAAATTGTGTGTAAATAATACTTTCTCCTGCATATTATTCGATGCATGTATCCAATATATTTTGCTCGAAACAATAAGAAAATTCTACTCCAATTGCGCAAATGGAGTCATCAGTCAAACACAAGTTATTCTGGAATTTCGTCAGTCAGAAGATGATCGCATCATGCTTCCGAAGAGCTGTAAAAGGTTACGCCACGGGAACACCGTTGGAATGATTTAAAATCGTTTTTTCTGACCATAAAAAAACTGAAGGTTGTCCTTGATGCCCAGTAAAGAGTGGTTCGCTGGATGTGATCTATCTAACATATCTGAAGTGTTTAAGTTTCATAGATATATAAACCAAACTAAGTGAACAACACATTTCTCGCAAACATTTTTTTTACAGTCATAAGCCATGAGGCTGAGACTATGCATGAGGAACTGGTTTAAACGTGGATGACTGGCGCCCAAAATAAAACCCTGGCTCAATATTCTGACATCGCCATTACAACCCCAGGGTGGACCCTCAGCCAGCTTTAAAAAAGAATAGAAATCTAAAAAGACATTTTTAAAATGTCTGCACAAAAAAAAATACACATATTTCAGCCCGGGTGGAAAACTGAAAACTGGAGTGAACACAATTTTACGCAACTATGAGACAGAGCCATGCAGAGCACTTTAACTGCAGTGGCAATGGTTTAGGCAGGAGAGGTGTGTGTGCAGAAATGTTTGGATGGAATCCACAGCACTCACCAGGGTTGTGAATTCGGTCGAGCAGTTTGACCGAGCGGGCGCTCACTACGCCGGCAACGTGGATGAGGAACCCGGGTGGGAAGGAGGTCAGGGTGAAGAAGGGGAACTCCTAGATGGGACATGGGGAGGAGGGGGGGGGGAGGTTAGTAGAAAAATATGATTGGTGGCGAGGGATAGCTTAAAGTGTCAAGGTGACTAGAGAATGTTAGAAAATAAGATTAAGGAGAGTATTAAAGTGAGTTTTTGGGAGAGAAGAGATGATAATGGTAATAGAGGGAAGAGAGCTTGGAAAGAGAACAGTCTAAGCACGCAAGGATCTTAAGACATGAACAAATCAAGAGTGGCAGCGCATGTCTATAATCCAGTGCTTTGGAGGCAGGGTTGAGAAATCATGGGTAACTTATCATTTGCATAGACCTCAAACCTGAGGCGTTGTGAGGCAGACAAGCAACGGCAGTACAGGAAAAATGTTCCGGACCTGGCTGCGTGGATTATAATTTCACAATTTCAACGCGCATAGTAATCACGCGCACAGGATGAGAGATTGCTCATTTGGGAGGAAAACGGAGAACGCAGGAAAAACCCCACACACACACATGGGTAACACTCCGCATTGCCATCTTCTGGCCACCTCACAGCCACTCAACTACTGTACAAGACCAGGCTTCCGAGGTCTGACACGATCAGGCACATCTCGGGTGATTGGGACATCGACAAAACCAGGGCACCATAGTGGTGTCTCTCTCAGAAAGGAGCCAGCAGGGAAGAAGGATTGTGCTGTCTCACCAGTTGGTCCATGGTAGCGGTCGTGTGCTGCCGACTCAGCATCTTCATGGAGTTTCCATCCCGGCCACCGCTGCCACTGCCGACACCCGCTGGGTGGAGGGGGGGAGATGGGGACAAGGGGTACGCGGAGGCACTGGCGGACGGGAAAGAGCAGGCGTGCTACGTTGCGGGTGGCAGAGGGCAGTGCCGCTTGCACCGTGCTATGCCACCCACGTCTATGCCCGCCACCTTCACTAACCCGCACTGACCAGCGTGGTAAAGTATCGCTAAATAACCCCCATGACTCGCACAGTTTTGGGAGGCCCTCACATCCAGCGGTGGATTGACAAAAGGGCTGATGAGCAGTTCTGGTTTCGCTTCGCATGCAGTTGCATGGTTCAGCGTTTAGATTGTCTCATCAGTATCGTTATATTTGTAAGCCATTCTCTTTTACTGATTTTTCTAACAAAACAACATCCGTATTGACCATGGACGGATAACGGGTTGAGTCAAACCCCCAATCCTGAAAATGCACTTCAAACCTTACAATTGACAGTTCAATGCTATTGCCAAGTTGCTACCCAGCATAATACAATTGCAATAAATAATTCAATTACTGTTCCGCTATTCATTTCATTATTTAACAACTACCCTACCCTGGAAATTATTCTCAATTAAGACAGCAGCAACTGGTGTTTCATCTCAGTTTGGATCGTTATTTGCCTGAAAACCATGGTAACAAAGTGCAACGATTTCCTCAGGCAAATACGAGCCGAGATTATAATTACCCAGCCTGAGCAACAGAAAGTAAATAGAATTTAACTAAAAAAAATGTATTAACTCATACTTTATTGTCTCAAAGCGCAGCTGGCGTAACAGCAAGACAGTTCTGTAACAAATTGATGGCTGAAGCCAAATTTGGTGCGACTGATATTTATCCTTTCAACTCTTCCTCACTTTAAACTGCATTCTCAACCACAAGGATGTGTCACCTAAGTTTTAAAGTCAACTTCAACTAATTGTGATTATGGTGGTCGTAACTTCTGTTCATGGAAACATTCGTACTACTGGGCCTCAGACGAAGGCTTCATGTTTTATTTACAGGATATCGTGAGGTGGACGGGTAGGTAGTTAAGTTTCATATTATGACGAGCTCAGAGCCAGCACCTCATATAAATAATAGGCTTAAGACCTGGGACACCAATCGAGGCAAAAGAAAACTTCTCATGTATAGCAAGTTTTACAATATCAATAAATCACCAATTAATGCATAACACTCCCTAATTGCAAAGAAACGAGAAGAGGAAGAACAGTTAAGTTCACCATAAATTGACCAAAAAACCGGTGCATTATTATCTGGATAATTCAAATAGGTGAATTTAATAAGAAACGATAGAAGTTGTGCAATATCCATCTCTGGTGCATTTTCAGGTTGTGCTGCGCGTTGTTCAGCACGATGTCTGACGTTTCACTTCACATTCTGGGAGCTTCTTCAGGAACCGAATTGAGCAGCACACTTTCTCCCTCGAGCACAAAGCCTGTGATGAAATGGCACTCCCAGCACGTGGCACGAAATTTTGGAAACAATGCCGAACAAGACGGCAGTATAACCTTAACAAAAATACACATCGGAGAGTGTTTACATTTGTTGGTCTCTAATTTAGACGAAGCCTCTGGATAGATTAGTCCTGTCCGTCTAACCGATCTCCAGGTGGTCCGGCTTTCCCCTCCACATTTAGCGACATGTGTTTAAGAGTATTTGGCTGATTTCAATTCCACGATAAGCCACTTCGTTGAGCCATCATTTGTGGCCAGGTCGCTTCTGAAAAAGAGTTAAATAGCTCAGTGGGCCTTACCTGGTAAAATAAAAATCTGTAAAAATGCTCTTTAATTATTTAAGACCGTACATGTTTGATCATTTGCAAAATGTATATTTGCAACCATAGTCATATAGGAATAGATATTAATTTAAGACTGAAGCCAGACTTATTATTTTCAATTATAATTGTTGCTCAAGACACCCACACATTAGTCTAATGTGTGGTTAGTCTAATGTGTGTGTTACCGATAATAAACAGTTAATCTTAGAACAAAAGAGGACTTATCCAATCACAAAACTAATGCTCCATCGAAATGCATGGCGAGGTGGATGCAGAAAAAATAAAACTGCTGAATCTGCACAACTTTGACTGTCAGGCATAATTATCACTTTGCTATACATTAGGAGTGTACGAATGCACCGATTCATTGATACTAATTCTTCGAGCTTAAAATACGCACATTTACTGGGTGTGTAAGAATCAATGTTTTTTTCAATTCATATACGTTGTATGTCATGTGTTTACACAACCCTTTTACACACTAAAAGTCACTACGTTCACGACAGTGTTACAAAAATAATCGATTTTTGATTCGCAACCATTAATCGTCACAATTCATTGTTGGTGGCTACGTATACAGTAGGGACGAATCGTCACACCCCTACTAAATACATAGCCACCGTTATCACAATGTAGAACATGGGGAGACAAATAGGGCAGGGTAACACAACTAAAATAATAAGACAGACAAGGGGGGCGAGTCACACGCAAGATTAGTGGTATGGTGACAATAAGGGCTGGACAAGACATGCCATTGGCAGTGAACGGGGTCTTACCCATCTTGGGGGTCAGACTCAGCTCAGTGTCGGAGGAGGAGGACTGTCGGCTGAAGGACTTGATAGGAGAAAACGAGTTGGTGGTTTGTGCTTTTTGAGGACTCGATAATGGCGGTGACTGACTCAGGAGCGCTGCCTCATCCAGAAATGGGGCCCTGTTAGCAGAGGCAGCACAGAGATTTTGGGCTTATAGGAAAATCTTCAACCCCACTCCCCCCCCCCCCACTCATATCTAAAGAAACAAGTTTAAATAAAAATATATCTCAAGAACTATCCCTCAGTTAGCTATTGGGGTTAAACAATTATGGTTGTAATGTAACTACTTCAATATAAACTTAGCTAAATAACAAATGTTCTTTTAGGTTTCATTTAAAAAAAAACACACAACCATCTTTTCACATGCCAATAATTGGGTGACACAAGGTGTACATTTAAATTTCATGTGACCAGTTGTGGGCAGGAATTTTAGCGTCAAGGTCAGTGTCTGCCTTTGCTAACATTGTGACCCTCCTTGTCAAACATCAAGCTTCGTAAAGGGGTGACCTTTTGTCTGTCTGCCCTGCAGACACATGCAGGGGCTGCATCCGTGCATGCTGGGGAATGGAATTAAACTTAAAAAAAAACAATCTTTTAAAAATAACTTGTCATCACAGCATCCAGCAGTTCAGGGGTCAGTTGGTGTTAAACGAGCACACACTTTTTCCGTCTAAGGTTATAAAAAAGAAAAACAATCGAGCTAAAATACTGAAGGCCAGCTAGTCAGTCGATCAACAGTGGGCACATGCTCACAAAGTCAATCGTTACAAAAAAAAATGCACCGAGCAGTAGATTTACCATGTGCTAGTGTTAGCACCTTTTTTCGGTAATTAACATGACCTCTGGGTCAACAGCTTTTTGTCGTGGAGCAGGTGAGCACCAACTGAAAACCACCACGCAAGGTACACTTGAGAAACTTCGTATGGCAAACAGAGATGTAATTCTTTACGAATTAGTCGTGGTTAAGGACACAGGCTCGCATGCGAACCAATTCGTGTCGGGGGTTTTGCTCCACGCGGTGCCATACACACGCAACATGCAGCGAGCGGTGTGGTTCCACTGTATGAGTCGAGTGCTGGCCAAATACCAGATCAGCTTCTTTAAAGCAATTTAACAGCACAGTAAAACAAAAGTCCTGCAAAGGCAACAGCAAGCTGTACCAAAGGGTGGGCTTTCACAAACCGGTGGCCTCTAGAAAAAAAGCAAAAAGGAGAGAGCAACCCATTCACAAGGGAAAAGTCTTGACCACAAACTAATCACCAACCGAACATTTACACCAGCCAATCAATCATTGACTTTGACCTTATCTACAGATACAATAATTGGCTTAGCATGTCAGGACTTCTCATTGCGCTGTTACTTTGCATTAGAGTGCCGCCTCTGATAAATCTCACACAATTCTGGCCGATACATAGCAAGGTCCAGAATGGCAACAGAAGTTGATTTTTGATATTCAAACGCGCATACGCAACACATTTTCATTTGGCTACACATAGCTGATTTCTAAATGCCTTTGTTACACAGACAGAAAGAGGACATTAAAATGTGATAGTAATAAACTCCTGCTTCAGAGATATGCAAGCAAGGACCAATCTATCCATAATAAAAAAAATGGTATTACGTATTTCACAATTCCTATTAAAGAGATATTCACGTGAAATTTGGCACTTAAACTGTTATTTTTAATCTATAAAATGCTATGCTTGATACCAAACACAAGCCGACAAGAACAGCATGTCGCTGCATATTTGATCAAAATTTTCCTTAAACATTTTTACAAAACGAGGGTCAGTTTACAGGGCTGATGATGATTGCACTAGCGGCCCAGCAAGGCTTCTATTTAGGCCAGGACCGCTGTTTTACACCTTTCTCTGGAAGAAGTGCAAAGAACAATCCTCTTTATTCCGCATGGCTGAAAAAAGCGCAGTCTAGCCGGGTCGAGCATCACAGGCCTTTGACAGGTATAGCGACAATAATCATTCCAAGAGATGACACATTCTTACTGTCTCTTGAGAAGATCTGGAAAGGATCAAAAATATACTCTTCATTCTCTGCACTTAAACATGCCAATATGATAGACAAGACACCGCAGTTATCATGGCAATGTGCAATGACATCTGGTGTCTCCCTCATATTCTCTAACCCAGCCACCAGACCGTGCTCTTTTTTGTGTTGTTTTCCAAGGGAGTTATTGGCATGCGACCATCAACCAATTCATGCCTTCAGAGCTGATTTAAGTCTGATTATGGAAAGCTAGGCAAAGAAGCTGTTCATTTGTGCACTCATTGATGACCGGGCTGAAACCGTAACACTCACTACATTTAAGAACCGTTTCATAACTGACGGCTGGATCTGAGGTTTGACACCCGGGAGAAATCAGTGGTGCCAGCTCAGTGCTCCGACACATGCATAACCCCCACGAGCCACAGAGTCACCGCAACGGCTGCCATTTAGAGAAACCGCTCCCTCGCCAACGGGGAGGCTTGTGTGTGGGAGGTGGTTGGCAGTGGTGGCTCGAACGAAGGGGGGGGGGTTATAGGAGGGGAAACGTTAAGAGGGCATTAGGATCGGGTGCTTGCCGTACCGAAAGACAGGAGGGTGGGAACAGAAAGAGAGAGAGAATGTCCCAGGGCAGCGCTGCGAGCAGTTTGCACAGGGCTGCTCAGGGTGGAGTGGAAACCTTTCTGCATCAGCGTGCGCTTAGGCAGAAACCTACGGAGGAGAAAGGGGGGAGCGGACGAAATGAAACGTTAAGGGGGACATGAAAAACACTGGACGGTAAGGGGAGGACGGTGGGGACCCTGTTGGAGGATCGCAAAGTAGGACACGCTGATGAGCTGCAATACTCTCCACAGCCAACGCAAGGAGAAGAAACTGGAAAAAGAAGATAGCAGGCCTAGACAAAAAAAACACGACTTCACAAGAAGGGCACTTCAGTTCAGGTAACACCTGGGAATTTATGAAAATATCGAGAATGTCCCCGAGTTACGATGGTCAGACTTACGATATGTCGATCTTACCATGGCGATAGCGATACGACAACATTTTTAAATATTTTAAATTTCGCGCGGCAGGCAAACGCAACAGCGTACGAGGTACGATACTGTACATTGGGACGCTGCCGGGATGTGATGCAGTAAGGATTGTTCCCTGAAAAAACTTTCTATTAAATTGCAGTTCATATAGGTAGGCTATAGAATTTACCTTGTTTTTTTACTTTACATTTTACAGTGCAATACAGTATTATTATTAATTAATACATACAGTATATAGTTTATACAGTATGGTACTGTAAATTGCTCTGTTTTGCTAAATTATCACCCTTCTTTAAGACTCCAGGGTAGGCTAGGCCATCTTCGACTTACGATATTTTTGACTTACAATGGGTTTCGTCGTAACGCATCTCCATCGTAAGTAGAGGAATACCTGTATAGTGTGATCCATTTATAGCTATCCCACTAAAATAATGAGGGATAATATACAGAAAACCACATTTTAATTCAAAGCCTCAAATCTCAATTAACTTATAGAATTTCAACATGCTCACCTCTGTAAGGTATGGAGCCATCACTTTCACAAAATTAATTCACCTGTTGAGAAGACAGTCACTAGAAATTAATGGAGTATCTATAAAGGATCGCCCTGTATATTGGATTTTTCTTCTGAGCGGATGTGGTTAAGTTACATAACAATCTTAGCATTTTCATATTCGGTAACATTCGAGACTCCCTTGCTTGGTCTATAGAACGTTATCTCACTGTATGCCATCATCACACAGCAAGAAGTCTGAACAAGACAATCAACCTTTAATAGTTTAAGAACAGGAGCCTTTGAAATTCAATTAACTACGATCAAGGCTCCCAGATAACTGTGGCTCATGTCACAAGTGGTTTTACTTCAGTCATCTCAGTCAGTCGACCCGTGGCACCTGCTGGGTGTGCCCCGTGACCTGCCAGCGGGCGTTCGACACTTCGCGTGGCCTCAAGGTGCACATGGCCTGGCACAAGCGTCGTGGTGACGTCACCGCCACTTAATGGCGAATGGCGGTTGTTGTTGTTACTTCGTCCGCCAATGGACTACTAAAGTCACTAATCGGATCTCTATGTTCCAATGTGATTCGTGAATGCCGCTTTTTGTGCGTCCCAATGCATTTGATGAAGATCGCAGATAATCGTGGATAAGGGTATGTAGAGCACTCGGCTTTTATCTGGGATAGCTATGGATAACAAAGATGAATGTATGTCACGTAGACTCTTGTGTAATGTACTGGAGTGTGCTGCATCTGCGGGCTGCAGAGGTGATTGGATGCCACAGAAATGAACAATGTTCTCTTCGAAATTGTTAAAACCAACATATCGTGACCATCGGTTTTATCATCACAATCCATCCCCTTCGTCTGTATAGCATTGTTGTCTTTACCTTCATCATACATTGCCACGGGTAATGGGATGCATTTACCACATGATACACAATGCACAGCCTATGCTGCCAGCAGAGGGTAGTAAGGCAAAAATCGATCGTTTTACAGTCCTGTTCCAACGTCTATGCTCGCTTCCTCCACCAACCTACACTGACCAGCATGGTGAAGTATGGTGAAATAATCCCCATACCCACACACCGTGGGGAGGCTCTCATACAGCGGTGTCTGGCAATGGAGATGTACATGTACACGTGCACGTGAATACATAAACATGTTTACAGGTACACACAAACCACGACTGACTCCAAGGCAAATGGTATGCCAAGATTAAAAACTCAAGATCTGATGTAAAAAGGTGTTATTCAGTGGAACATAACTTCTCAATTTGTACCCGCAGCTACCTTCAATGTATGGTTGCCATAACAATAGAGAAGAGGAGGCTTAGGAAAAGGGAGTTGTGAGCCAGCATAATCACAGACCTGAGCTTGTGGCTTCTAATAACCATGAGGTCCTTAACATTCCTTCCTCATTAAATAAATAATATAACAGTTAATGTGTTTAAAGTCTTGCTGTGGAATGCTTGTAATTAACATTGAAGGCCAGTGGCTCTCAATCTAAAGGTTTTAAGTTCAAATACAGGCCGGGGTTGACACAGTCCATCATCCATCCGGGGGTTGATAATATAAATACCACTTTGTAGGCAAGTCAATATTGGTTGTTCTATGGATATGAATGTGGAATTTCAATCAGTCTCAGGACTGTAAATAGGAGGTTAGCATTTGAGCAAGAAATCACTCGACATTATTGAAAATCGAATGCCCGACAACGTGATGGTGGTATCTACTCAGAGAGTGCAGTAGAAAATGAAATGAAAACTGAAATAAAAGTAGAGGACCCAGGTGAAGTTGTCAAAACAAAGGTAAGAAATTTCAGACTGGTTCAGCAGAGGACAGATTATTGGTGGAAGTAGGTGTAGGTTATTAAAGATGTTAATAAAACAGAGGACAGCAAAACACTATTCTCTATAATGAACACATTTCTGAAGCGCTTGTAAAGATATAGTAACAATATCTGATGAGATTGAGCACATTCTGGATGATTTGGTCACCATAATGATGGTAACCAAAATACTTGTGGTCAGAATGCTAACAAAAAACATTATCTGATAATATATGCATTGTCTTTGAAACTGATTGGTCCACACCAGAGACAGCATTCTTTGGAGCCAGTATGTTTTTTGTTTGCATTCTGACCACAAGTATTGTAGTTAATACAGACATGATTCCTTGTAAAAGGTTTCAGTTTGGTGTTTTAACATCTTAACACCTGTTTTGTTGCCAGAAAAAAGGGGAAACCCTATTCTCATGGGGAGGCAATAGATAACTATGTATTTCAGAAATAATTTGTACAAAATAAACAACTGTCAAAAGGCGGCTAAGAGACAGTTTGCAATGTCAGAAAAAGTTATTTATGGGTTATACAATCACTTTAAAAGGGTAGAGTGGTCCAATTTGGTGTTAAAGGGACTGGTGTTTTAAGCAGGAGTAATGTATGTTACTGCGTAGAACAGAGTGTGGGCCAGGAAAAAAACTATATATATAAAAAAACATTCAATCTATAAATACAGCTGCTTGTGGAGTGCACGAGAAATTTTATAATGGGACGGCGTCGGTAACTTTGCAAGCTCAGAATAGAACACGGCATGAAAGCATTATAATCAGGAAAAGGAGGGTCTGATGGGTGAAACATGTTCAGGATGGGGAAGGGCAGGTCACGAAGACAGGCGGGGGGGGGGGGGGGGGGTCGCAATCAGAGAGAAAGCGTTGCAATGTGCCTGGGATACAACACTTGCTGGGCAACAATTGACCAAAAATCCCATGCACACAACCCCTCCAGAAATGTATATTTTAAACATTCAGTGTGACTTTCCTCATTAAAAGGAAAACAATATGTTCGCTTTTGTTTCCATGACTAGGAGTGGAAGATTCTGTGTTGGAATTGAATACAATTTTCACCATTTTACTGTGGGCGATTCCTGCAGGTATCGTGATTTTCCCATGGGAGATTCCAAAATTTCAATCTCCATTCACTTGGATGGGATTCTCACAGGGTTTAGTGTGCTATCAACTAGGCATATCTGAAAAAGAGCTTCATAGCTCATCGGATTTCTCCAGGAAAAACATTATTCTGATCTATTGACAACTCAATGTCATCATTGAAATCAGCAGTATCTTCTGAAACTACCAAAGCCTGAAATTTAGTGGCGATCCATGTAATTGTCACTAGAATGAAGATCCAAGGACTTTCATGATAATGCACAAATATTCTATGGACGGTTCCTATGCTGTCAATCCCATTCAATTAAATGTGGATTCTTGCAGCTTCATCATTCACAGAATCCCCATTCATTCAATGAACACTCCAAAACGGTCATTCACATGAACAGCATTCCATTGGAAAATTCATAGGCTCTCAAAGAAAACCATTAGTTTTAAATGGATATTCCCCATCACTCCATTTAAGCAAATGGGATTCTCCGACAGCCTATGCATTCCCATTCATTTCAATATGAATTCGTGGAACTTAATGAACATATACAATTCTAGCAATTCCACAATACTATATTCCCATTTGGAATCACAATTCCAGGCTAGAGACAGTGGGACTCACCCAGAACTGCACATAACGAGAGTTAACCACATCTCGGTTACAAACAAAGATTCAAAGAGTCTTAAACGTTAAGTCTGTAAGTCTGAAAGGACCTCACATCGTGTGGTTAAATTAGGAACACAAATCACAGGCAAGTCACTATTCCAACACACCTTGGCACTCATTATTATCTCATCAAACTACTTTAATCTTTTGATTTGCCCTTTGATTATTAGTGGTCCTCTGTGCACGCGAGCTACTCACTCCTTTGTGTCGCGAGGAATGGGGGTCGGCTGGCTCTGTTGCTGCTGCTGCTGCTGGTGGTGCTGGTGCTGCTGCGGCCCAGGGCTGGATTCACCAACCAGAAACTGGACGCCGGTGCCAGGAGCGTTGCTGTTGTTGGTGGCGCCAGCTGACAGGGGCGGAAATGGCGTTTGAAGTTGGCTGACCCGTCGTTGGCCGAGCAGAGCGAGGACAGGCGGGCTGGGCTGGCCAGGAGCGGCGGTGGTTGTGGCGATTGCCAACTTCTCAAGGGTGCAGGCTGTGCCGATGGCTCGGACCACCAGGCCAGACTCGCCCTCCAAATCGAAGCATTGCAGGTAGCCCACAACGGCATTGCCAAACATCTCCAGCACCTTCAAGCCAATCTTACGCTGAAGCTCACCTGCTCACCCACACGGAAGCACGTACACAGAACAACACTGGTCTTTTCCAACGGCTTTACAAGTGCAACTGAGTGTCACTGCCGGTGACACTATGGCTGCGTGTGTTGAGAAAAGATGAGAAGATGAAATTAGAAGGGTTATGGAGATGCCGGTGCAGGGCAGAAGTCCAGAGCAGATCTGGGGTCAATCCTAATTAGTCACTGCCGCCAATGCTCTCTGAAAAGTAAAAGCGAGCAGCTGACTTTTTTTCTCCAGAATAATGTTTTTTTGCACTACTAAGGCGTCAACTGCGAGATTCTACACACCAGACATTTGCGAGATGAGGCGCTGGCGAGCCTCGTTGGAGGCACGGGGGGTTCTGATGCGGTCGATCCACTGGTACTCGGGGTCCTCGTTCACCACCAGCTCCTCCACAAAGCCGTGCACGGCCAGCGCACGGTAGCACCGTGGTATGCACGTTGCTATGAGCGAGCACGCACACGCGCACAGAATCATTGAATTGACACGCGCACCCAACTGCATAGTACGTAATAGTACAAGGAAAAAGTGACTTTTAGGCAACAAAAAGCGCAAATGTGATCACTGCATTGGTCTTCCCATCATGCCCTGTATGTCAAGTGACATCACCAAAACTGTGCGTTTAATGCACATAGCAAAAATATTATGCATCCAGTTAAAGTGGGAAGCTAAAGCGATAAATAGTAAAGTCATGAAAATAATTCACAAGCCAACACTCACAGCTGAAAAACTTGACTCCGCACGATGACTGGCGGAAGCGATTGATGTCGTTAAAAAGATCCACCTTGATGGTGACATTGATTTCGCCACGGATTCCTGAAAAACAAGAACAAAAACATCAATTACAAAATTTTTCTAGTAATGACAGCATCAAATAGGGGCAGAATCGATTTTGCCAACTGTCCCCCAAGTTCAGCTCTCTGACCTATAAAGTAAAAAGACATCTCCTTGACTGCAATGAGGAGTAACCCTGTCAAGTTTCCACGCCCATCACTATCCGACTAACTAGGCACATAATGCTTGATTAACACCAACTGATACACGCATTTATTCGTGATGACGATCATTACCATCTCCTTGCTGGAGGTAAAAGGGCTTAGTTGTTTAAATAAGGTGGTTTCCCAAATGTATTATGGTGAGTATTAATGTTCCCAGCCACTCTACATGTAATCATGAGTTCAGTCAACTAAAGAATGAGCATTTTATCTTACAGAGAAGCAAATGGTAACTTATAAACACAATGTTACATGCAAATTGCAGGTTACTTTGTATTTATTTTGGATGAGTCACATTACATACTGTAGACTACTCTGCATATCCGATTGTTAAAAAATTCTTAACAGTCGAATATACAAATCGTTGATAATGCAAATGTACAGCCTCTGCATGCGTTTGCACATATTTACATCGTTTTACTGATAAAGTAAAATGTAACATCTCAGTCGATGTATACTTTATAAATATATTTTACTTGCTCTGACTTGGCTGTACCTAAATGTACAAATGCACATTCTGAATTCTTCTGGGCCAGATTATGTTGTCCCAAATGGCATTCATCGTACTACACGTGAAAATGTAAACCTCGACAATAGTGGGTCACAAGCACCGAAGTTTGATAAGCGTTAGACATTATTAACATTTGGCGGGGGGGGGGGGGGTGATGTGTAATGTTACTTGACTGTTGGTCAGTGTGGGTTGGTAAAGACAAACATACCGAATGAAAAACACCGAATTCTTACAAACAAATGACGCTTAAGAATTAACATTCATTGATGAATCAATCCATCACAATAACACATAGAAACAAAGGAACAAATACATGTGACAGACATCATATTAACCGTTCAGCAAAGTAAGTGGTCTTAGTCAGGACACGTTGCAACAAGGGTAGAGGGCCGATGGCGAAAGGAGAGAACATGCCCAAGATAATGACCACCGCGGAGATGGAGCAGAAGTGAGTTGAACTGTTGCATCACGAGACTGAGGGGGATAGCGACAACTTGGGGAGTCTTTCACCAAGCAGTAAATAATGGCAGATTGTGATACAGTATTAAAACACATTAATCACTCATGTGCATGACTTTCAAGTACCCTTTGTTCCATTTTACTGAACTAAGCACAAGCTTTATGCAAGGGCTGGCATTAAGCCCTCATTTCGGCATAGCATTAACTATTCTGTGACCCTTGCACAAACAACAGGAATAACAGCTGCATCACACGCACTGTAATGGTGCTGCAGGGTTGCTCTGTTAAGCAAAGAGTTAGTTCACTTGTGATCAGGGAGTGGTTACATATCTACTATATTTGTGTGACACACTGAAAGTTTCCAGCCATAGCCGTTATGGAAACTTAGGGCTTGAGAAACTGTTGTGATACCTTTGATTACTGCTATGTTCAAGTCTCGTTGACTTGTGAGTTGATTGTTTTGGTTCGTGGATATGTATGTGTTAAGATGTCTCTGCAACCACCCATAGTCAAATCAGCAAAACCACTTTTCAAATATTCATTCCGAGTGTGATAGTACCAATACAGTCAGTCGCACTAAATAATTTCCAGGCGTGGTTCCCAATGAATTCTACAAGTTTCCAGAGTAAAGAAATATTGGTTTAGGGAGAAAAGCAAATAAATCTTGAAAGCAGGAATCAGAACCTTGGAACATTGACGGACAACATATTTACTACTATAACGAGCCAAGAATGTCTGTGTGTCCCGCGTGACGGCACTCCACGTCGACCAGCCCCCCTCATTAATAATCATAAACAGGTGAAGTCCTCCAAATGGATACCCCCCCCCCATTAACAATAATTAGCGGGTGACGTCACTCCACATGGGGGGGGCGAGGCGCCTCCTCCTCTCTCCTCAGCATAAACTTATAACCCTCACGACAAAGGCAGAACCCTCACGTCACGCCATCTGCGTAACGCTTTTGAGACAAAGAAGTAAAAAGGACGTCAGAAATAAGTCTGTGTCACTGCGGCCTTACAAATTGTACACGAATGGAGGCAATGCATATCACGTCGCGGTCTGCTTTTCGCTTTCAAGTTTCAGATTTACTGCAATACACCCGTCCTTGGACGGGCAAAAGAATAGTTTTGCATATTAATGGCAAATGTAGAAAAATAACCGATTCATAAACAACACTAAATGCGTTCTATGTCAGGATATGGAACGTTGATCCCCCTTAAAACCTCACCTACAATGCAAAATGTCATGCTTAAGGTAAGCGAACTAGGTATAAAAACCATCACGAGGCCCCTTGAGTAGCATACCCATCATGTCACATTGCCAAACAAAGCCAGAGGACAAACCTGCACATGTAATAGGATGTTTACATCCTATAACATGTGAAAATTACTCCATCATGTTCTTAGGTTTTTTCGGTAAAGTCACGAAGGTAAAACATCAAAATTAATGAAAATAAAATAAAATCACGACGTTTCGGAGGCAACACAAGTCTCCGTCATCAGGTGGGACCGTCACAGCCAGATTAGCTGCATCAAGTGAGGCAATGATTCAAGATGTAATCCCTTAAAAGCAAGTTGAGGGGGGAGGAGGGGGGGGGGGAGCTCATCAGAATGTGGTAGCCAATGAATTACTCCATCAATCTGTGATAAAAATCACACATCACAAATGAGTGGCACAGTGGTTTGTTGCACTGCGCTATGAATGCGATGACTTGAAATTGATTTCAGGCCATGGTGGGTGAGATCTGACCTCGAGATCACCCAAAAATGGCCTTCCTCCCCACCATCTCTCACCTTCTATAAACAATCTGTGATGTAACGATTTGTGTAGTGTGCATTTCTGTATTAATACATTCCCTCTCTTCATACCCGAAAAATGTACAACTATCGCTCGAAGCAATTCAAAGAATGCTACGCTTTTCTGTTGGAAACCTTAGAAAAATCATCACAATACAGACCGTGTATGGTGTCGTAGATGGGGAACCATCCCGAGATGAGGGAGGCAGCCTCGGTGGACAGGAGGGGGTCGATGTCGATGTAAACCTTTCCAATGGCATCATTGGCACTGTACGTGTCGTGGTCGAGTACTGTTATTTGCAGAGGCTCGTCCTGCAGCTCCTCATCGTCCACCTAATTCACACGCACGTACGCATCCGTATACATCTATATATATACAGCACGTATCCACTCACGGACATGAAAGCACATACGCAAAAATAAAGACAAGGATCCCCCGTATTGCTGATAGCGGGCACTTATGAAGGCCGGCATGGCACACGAGGGGGTGGGTGGCGATGTTTACACACCGCATCAGGTACTCATTTGAGCCTGAGTCAACCAAGGAACGGTTCAGATAATTGTCACCTGTGTTGGCCATGAGTGGGAATCGAACTTGGAACGTTGGGTTCAAAGCGCAGCATGCTAACCGTGACACTACCTTGGGCACACACACATGTACCTACATATACACAAATACGCACCCTTCAGGGCAGTCATGACCATCGTCATCATCATCCATAGTCTATCCACTGCTGGATGAAGGCGTCTCCAAGCCACCCCCAGTCCCACAATTCAGCAATCCATCTAGCTGCCGCAAGCGAGCTGATCTCATTGCTAAAATCTCTGCGGTGGACACACTCTTGCGCATGTTCTCTCCTTTGGCTGCTACTACGTCATGAGTCCCAACCACCGGCCATCATTCCTCCTAGTGGCGTGTCCTGTCCAAGCCAATTTACTTAAACAGTCAATGTGTCTAACTTGCATTTGTTCACCGACCCGTGTTGCTCATTTTGTTTCTCAATGCACATCTGAAGTATACACCTCTGAATGCTTATTTCAGTTTTTGCTCGATTTTCTATATAAATGTCCATGCTTCTGAACATTGTCGTACCAGGTAATATATTCAATGATTTAAGAATTTTTTAAGACATGTCGAGATGATTTTAAATAAGTAAAGTTTTACAAAAGCAATCGAATCTGCTCTTAGCTGCCTCTTTATTTCATCACGTTGATCCCGGTCTGCCTTAAAAGCTAACCTACATATACATGCTCTGAACACTGAGAACATAGGTATACTTACTATGTTGAAATAAACTACAATAAATGGTGGAAAAACCGAATAAAAAATGCTGCAACGCTGGGCTCATGATAAATAGGAGAAAAAAAGTCACGTACAACAATTCTGCGAAACAATTGGAAATATCTGTTGGTGGCACATAACGGAAAAACACACCAGTGGTATACCATGCCCATTTCAGAAAGTTATTGGTGGGGTAGCAGTACTAATCGTGTCTTAATAGGCATCCCCTTGATCTGTTGTTATTAATCAACTTAGCAGTATATTATTAATAACTAGCTTCACTACCCGGCGTCGCCCGGGACTTGGATTCTTGTCTTGGATTAATACAGCCTACGCGGAGGGTGGGGGGGGATGCGTGACGTCAGCAGGCACACTGCGTGACGCTGCCGCATGCGGGTGACATCACAGATTTGACGTCACCGCTCACTTGCCGTGCATAATATATCCATTATTGCGCCCCCCCCCCCCCAAAATACAAAAGTCTATGTTTATACTTTTTGCATTGTGTACAGTCTGGAAGCTACCCACATGCCAAATTTCAAGTTTGTTGCATGTCGGGAAGTATGCTAAACATTTCGAACAGACACACATATTCACAAATTTCCCTTTTATATATATCTAGATTACAGCTGTCAATACATTGCTGGATTGAGAAAGGGCAACTTCACCAGACCGGTCAGTGCAGTTTGGTAAGGAGGGATTAGGCCCGATATCATTGATGTGAGCTGTGGCTGGGAATCAACCTCAGGTAACCCGGGTTGACAGTGCGGTGAACGAAGCACTGTACCACCACTCCAGTATAGAAATAATACATTCTATACATTTCCCAGTCCAAGACTATCAGGGTCAATAAACACAATGGGAAACTATAAACATGTAAAACATATGCTGAGTTATTGCTGTTTGGAAAATTAAATATACAAAAATGCCACGCACATAAACCCATATTATACACTTTCAAAACATCATACAACAACTATGTAAACATACTTTGCTTGTGTGCTTCAAACACAAAAACATATACGCAGAAAATACGTATTAAATCGTACGTGGAAGAATCGATTATTTACAAGACAATATATGCAAAGGTTACGTTTAGGATAATGGACAAAACGAGACTGGACAACTTAAACTAAAATTAGATGGCATGTACCTTCCTGCACATAACTTCTTACATTCCTGAAATGTTAAGCAACATCCTACGGTGAAAACAGTAACACATTGTTGGGCCATTAAACGCAATTAAAGTACAGCTTGGAAGGCTGGGCAACTTGTGCCCTGCGATCATCTGGGTAGCATGGCCAAAGTAAACCCGGAAAAGGGTCTAGGCAAAGGCACCTTCTTGGCTAATATAATAAAAATAAAACTATCCATTAATTTTAGACAAGCTGATTATAGGTGGAGCAGTGGCACAGTGGCTAAATATTTACTTTTGGGTCCCCAGGATGATAACTTGACACACAAACTACTATGTGGCTGCTTCAAACAGCACACCCACAAATGCACAATATAAAAAAAGCAAATATAGCAGTGCTGATGGAAATACAAATATCATGATCTGTCTTGGAAATAAATTGTGTATTTCAGTGGCTCCTCAACTAACGGAAAAACATACGGTACCTCAACAAAGTTGTGTTTTTCATGCTCTGTCTGAAAGACATCTGTTTTAAGACATAACCACAACAAAACGACTCACCTCAAACTTGAACCACTCAGAGTTCCACTGCGGGTTCAGGGACTTGGGGTATACGTCCGTCTTAAAAGTGATGTTGCTAAATTTGACCTGTGAGAAAGCCAACACAAATACATAAAAAAGCAAGTGAATAACTACACACAAGACTGCCGAAAATGTCGGATTACCAACTAAACAACGGAGCACGAATTTGCTGGGATCAGCACAGACTTGCTGATGCACAGCCTTATAAAGGACACCTGTAATGACGGTAAACTCAAAACCGTTCCATGCAGTTGGAGTTAATGCAGCACTTGTAATTTCATAATCCTGTATGCAGTTCTTCAGTTATGGGTCCTCACTTTCCCTTCAATTTTAACCAGTGTGCATATATAATTTTGACCTTAAATGGTGTATGTACTAGTCAATGTCTGCTAACAGAAAATCCATTCATGACAATTCAAAACTCAATTTGTCAACTTTCTTCAAATGTATCAATTTTCACAGGACACCACGGTGATAAGTGCAATCTCTAACTATAAGTCAGCTGATCTCTCCACCCTCTGCTAAGAAGGGATATTTCCCAAAACATCCACCTGTTATCTACTTAAAGTTCAAATGCAATTGATTCATTTTATGTACATAACTAAATGCTTACATATCTCAAGACACTGTAAAAATAGTGGGACATGTGCACAAACATTTTTTTTAGGAAAAGAGGCAGTACGGCCAGCCATAGGCATACAAGAAGAGGCTATCTTAAGCATTAGATTGAACAGAGGGAGTCAACAAAAGTACAATTTGACAGGAGGAGGGAGTTCCAGAATAAGGGGAGCAGCAGTAGAATGCGTGACCTTCCACCGAGTGAAGGTTGCCTAGGAGCGTCAAAAAGAGGCCTTGGTTACTGGAACGGAAGAGCCCATGAAGGAGCATACAACGTTATTAGAGGGGAGACTCAGCAGAGGCAAGTTCATATGGGATCTCAGAAAGGGTCAGATCCATTTTGCAGTCATTCCCAGGACTGGTTTGAGAACCAGTGAAGGGTTGGAGTAGTGGGTTGACTCACGATGGTTTATCAGTGCAAGTTAATGAATCTGTCAGCGGAAGTATTAATGACAGCGTTAATGACGCATGTGGTGCGATTCTTTGATTTGTGCTCCGTGTTGTGTGCTCCAACACACTGCAGCATTTCTATAAATAGAGCTCGTGGCAGAGCCGTAAAGTTTATTTGAAAGGATTTTTTGGTTTAAGATCTCTATTAACTGCTGTCAAGTGTCAACTCTGAAATAAGCCTCCTGATGGGCAGAGGCAGCTGTATAAGCAAGGGCTCTAGTTTCACCTCGGTGTAAGGATTGGATGGAACAGAAAGGCACGTTTTTTCTGCCTCGTAAAATCTATCTGGGGAGGGTAGGAGCAGCAGTGATGTGGCGTGTACTACGTTATGGGCCGGACCACATGCATTTGATCCTGGGCACAGCTAACACAAGTTATCCGAGCCGGTCCTCGACACTCTCATTTACACCATCCAGCACTGACCAGCATGGTGTCGTGTACTGCCGCTACAACACGAGGAGGCCATTTCTCGACTGCACCTTGAGATGTGGTTCACTTTGAGAGGCACCACAAATTCAAATTGTATCGTATCGAACTCCTTCCGTGCACAGCACAGCCACACGCAGAGACAACTGATGATGGGAAGCACACCTCCACAAAAGCATCTGTTAGGTCGCTGGCGCGGTCCATGACGGGCAGATGGCGCCCCGCCAAGATCTTAACCTTCAATTTCCCGGGCATGGCCGCGGGCACCCTGCGATGACACAGACACGCCAATCAAAAACCTGGGCTGTGTTGTACCTAGTTATGTTTCTTCATTGCCGAGATAGCAGAGCAATGGCAAAGGCGACACGGAACACGTGGCCACAGCAGACCAGAAGATGGGCTCTGCAGAGCATAAATATGCATGACATTGATACAATACATTTTTACTGTAACGGTCCCACCTGAAGACGGAGACTTGTGTTGCCTCCGAAACGTCGTGATTTAATTGAGTTATTTTCATTTATTATTATTTTATTTTATTATTGTTATTTTTTTACCTACGTGACTTTACCGAAAAAACTTAAAGAGTATAATATGCATGACACACAAACCGATCAGACTGGGTGGTGCACAGCATAGGAAATTGGGACCCCAGCAAACAAATGCAGCCTCAAAATAAAGAGTGAACTTGCAGCAAGAACCCGACTGCCTTGGTACAGAATATTGAGGTTGTTCATTTCGGCAGGCACGTGTAAAAGTAAATCCATAATATTATAAATGAATGTCCTTTTAATTATTAATTATATTAAAATGTCCTCAGCAGGGTAGCACTGCTGTAATGCAAGCACATCAACACCCATGTTTTGTCCATATACTGCTGGACGAGGGTCTCCCCACGCCGTACATGACCACAGATGTGAGAGCATGGTGTAGTATATCAACTGATTTTGCCGCACTGCACACCGCTGCCCACAACCGAGTCACAAGGGAGTTCAACATGGCACACTCGAAAAGCAATTGGCCAGATATTTCCATCAGAAATCACTTGATACTCCTCTTGAAACTCAAGCATTGCTGTGTAAACAATTCATCAAACCCCCAGCCATCATCCTTCAATCATATCGTCATTCAGACAGACTCCACACTGTGCACGTGTTGCAATCCAATATCCCTTGCATAAGGCATTGTTAAAAAAAAGATATTATACTAAATTATCGTTTGTTTTCGATGTACCGTCTGTATAGCTCCACTACAGGGCAGTCCGTTCTACGGACATGGTTACAAGACCCTCAACTAAACACTTAGCCAACCAGACACATACTAGACACTCACTCCTTTGTAAACGAATGATATTATTCTACGAGCCGAATAAGTGACAATGCATATGGCCAGTTTCGAGTTTGGATATCGCTTGTATGAGTGACCACCAGAGGTGTGGACTCGAGTCATGTGACTTGGACTCGAGTCAGACTCGAGTCATGAATTTGATGACTTCAGACTCGACTTGGACTTGCATAACAATGACTTTGTCCCACCTCTGAGGTGTGGACTCGAGTCATGTGACTTGGACTCGAGTCAGACTCGAGTCATGAATTTGATGACTTCAGACTCGACTTGGACTTGCATAACAATGACTTTGTCCCACCTCTGAGGTGTGGACTCGAGTCATGTGACTTGGACTCGAGTCAGACTCGAGTCATGAATTTGATGACTTCAGACTCGACTTGGACTTGCATAACAATGACTTTGTCCCACCTCTGAGGTGTGGACTCGAGTCATGTGACTTGGACTCGAGTCAGACTCGAGTCATGAATTTGATGACTTCAGACTCGACTTGGACTTGCATAACAATGACTTTGTCCCACCTCTGGTGACCACCATGTATGTATGTTGAACTTCTTTCGCACAATACCTAGCCAAACACTCATCGTAGGTGCTATAGGCTGCTACGGTACCAGTGAAGCAAAATCAATTGATGTACTTTGCAGTACAGTACCGTGCTCCAATTGCCCTATACTGCTTCGTATCCAGCGTAGTGAAGTATGTTCAAACACATTCCTGCGGAGGGAGCTGGTAGGAACGTTGGGTTGCTCGGTCAATTGCCAGGATCAACGGCGGCGTGGTGTATTACGCAAATATGCCCGACTGTGAGGGCGGGCACAAGACGGCGTGAGTAGGTTAAACGTTCAGTTTTATAAGGGCACCACGGGGTGAACAGACCCTCCCCACCCAGCCCCACCCCTCCCACCCAGCCCCACCCTCTCCTCCCCACCCAGCCCCACCCTTCCACCCAGCCCCTCCCCACCCTCTCCTCCCCACCCAGCCCACCCACCCCTCCCTGCACGACTAACGGACGGACACAATAATCCCCTGTGGGCTGGTGTAACCAGGAGGTTCCTAACAGTATAACCCTCCTACCAACCACGACCCACACAGCATGCAAAAGCGCCGTACAAATGTTACACACTCCGGTACATGGAGAGTCAATTTACATCATCGAGGCCACGCGTGATCACCGTCAACTAGGCCCTCTGTGCAGCGCCCCCGCCTTATTAAAACACAGACACAGCGCGTACACCTTTACAATCACGACCCTTTAACATCAAGGTAGCCAGATCAATTCTGACGTTACGGCGACAGACATCCGCCTGTCATTATATAACCACAACTGTGCTGTTAACGATTGTGCCACACACAACACACAACACGTGTGTGCGTACACTCGCAACGCGAGTGAGGCCTGCCGCACTCGTTTAACCGCACTACCGGAATGTTACTTTAACGTGGCCAGTCACACGTACCCTTGGTCGATTAAAGGTTAAAAACACACACAATCACACACACGCAATTTAATCAACACAGTCGCGATATCGCACGGGCGGCCACGTGTTTGCGTGTGACAAAAACATCGCCACCTGGGCCTATGAACTGTACTGGATGAAGGCTCCACGTCAACACGCAGTTAACTAACACGCTGTGTGTACACAAGTCCACACAAACTGAAGGCTGTAGTAGTCGTAGCTTTAACCGGTGCTCGTTTGAGGCCGAGTCGACCTAGGGGAGGATGGCCATGACCGGTTCAGATAATCGTCACTGGTGTTCGTGGCCGTGAGCGGGAATCGAACTCGGGTGGCCGGGTTCGTGGAGTAGCGCGCTGACCGCTACACTACCGCTCCCCATACACACATAGAGCCTGTACCACACACACACAGCCTGTACCACACACACACACAGCTTGTACCACACACACACAGCCTGTATCACACACATAGAGCCTGTACCACACACACACAGCCTGTACCACACACACAGCCTGTACCACACACACACACAGCCTGTACCACACACACACACAGCCTGTACCACACACACACACAGCCTGTACCACACACACACACAGCCTGTACCACACACACACAGCCTGTATCACACACACACAGCCTGTATCACACACACACAGCCTGTATCACACACACACAGCCTGTATCACACACACACACCCTGTATCACACACACAGCCTGTAACACACACACACAGCCTGTACCACACACACAGCCTGTACCACACACACAGCCTGTAACACACACAGCCTGTAACACACACACAGCCTGTAACACGCAAACACACAGCCTGTACCACACACACACAGCCTGTACCACACACACAGCCTGTACCACACACACAGCCTGTACCACACACACAGCCTGTACCACACACACACACAGCCTGTACCACACACACACACAGCCTGTACCACACACACACACAGCCTGTACCACACACACACACAGCCTGTACCACACACACACACAGCCTGTACCACACACACACAGCCTGTACCACACACACACACAGCCTGTACCACACACACACAGCCTGTACCACACACACACAGCCTGTACCACACACACACAGCCTGTACCACACACACAGCCTGTACCACACACACACACACAGCCTGTACCACACACACAGCCTGTACCACACACACACAGCCTGTACCACACACACACAGCCTGTACCACACACACAGCCTGTACCACACACACACACACAGCCTGTACCACACACACACACACACAGCCTGTACCACACACACACACAGCCTGTACCACACACACACAACCTGTATCACACACGCAGCCTGTATCACACACACACACACAGCCTGTTTGCAATGCAAGTGAGGCAGGCCTCTGCCGTGAAGCAATCTCCTCCCTCGTTAATCAGCACTCACAGTACCGGAATCTTTGCATACAGAATGTTCACAAGCTCACCCGTCGTCACGTACAGCTCGTTAAATGTTTGTTTTGAGCAACGGGTACAGCATTAGCTGCAGATGTCCATGTGCGCGTAACTTGTCATTAAACAGCAATAAACACACACTCACTCATACAGACCTGTGGGTACACGCTTGGCTTGTCGATGTGCCTCGCCTGCTTCAAAGCAGCAGCAGCAAATGCTGCCTCCGCTGCTGCTGCTGCTGCAACATCGTTTGGCCTCCAAACGTAGCAACACACACACACACGATGTGTTTTGTTGATGAATAACTAGTAGAAGAGAGAGAAAACAACCTCACTCGACCATCGGCACGGCTTTGGCTGCACGAGCACAGGGCGAGATTGAGGCGATACAATCCCCAGCGCGGATAAGAAGGCGGAGAGGAGAGCCGCGCCAGAGTGACGCGGGATCATTGGGCCGGGCACTCCCCCCCCCTTGCTCCTCTACCCCCCCCCTTTCTCCCCCAACCTTTCTCCCCCCCCCCTTTCTCCCCCCACCCTTGCTCCCCCCCCACCCTTGCTCCCCCCACCCTTGCTCCCCCCCACCCTTGCGCCTCTACCCCCCCCCCTTTCTCCCCCCCCTTTCTCCCCCCCCTTTCTCCCCCCACCCTTGCTCCCCCCCCACCCTTGCTCCCCCCCCCACCCTTGCTCCCCCCCCTCACCCTTGCTCCCCCACCCACCCTTGCTCCCCCCCCACCCTTGCTCCCCCCCCACCCTTGCTCCCCCCCCCACCCTTGCTCCCCCCCCCCACCCTTGCTCCCCCCCCCCTTGCTCCCCCCCCCCACCCTTGCTCCCCCCCCCCTTGCTCCCCCCCCCACCCTTGCTCCCCCCCCCACCCTTGCTCCCCCCCACCCTTGCTCCCCCCCCACCCTTGCTCCCCCCCCACCCTTGCTCCCCCCCCACCCTTGCTCCCCCCCCACCCTTGATCCCACCCTTGCTCCCCCCCCCCTTTCTCCCCCCCACCCTTGCTCCCCCCCTTGCTCCCCCCCCCACCCTTGCTCCACCCCCCACCTTGTTCTACCCCCCCCCCAGCTCTACCTCCCCCTTGCTCTATGCCCCCCCCTTTGGTCCCCGCCTTGCTCCTCCACCTGCTCCCCCCCTATTGCTCTCCCCACCCCACCCCCTTGCTCCACTCGGCTCCTCCTCAATGGTAGCCGCCAATTGGCGGTGGGTGGCTGATGAGGATTTGAAACGCCGCAGCACCCCCCCCCCCCTCCCCACGACTATTTAAAGCAACTCACTCACCGTGTCAACCCATACGGTTTATACCCCCCCCCCCCCCCCCATTATTGTACAAAGGAAATTTGAGTTTTCAGGTCCATACGGCGTACAGCCGTTTCAATAGGGAGACCAATGTGTGTCTATTTGTTTGTGTTTCTCCCTTGTGATGGCACTTTGTGGGATGAACGTTGAGATTTGTAAGGGCACGGGGTGATCAATGAGAGTCTGCATTTGGTCTGTAATCAGGTAGGCACTGATAATGGGTTTACAGGTATGCACTCATCAATTAATAATTATAATTCTGTACTGTATTGACGACGTTGCTCGCTACAGCGAGGGTGGAATGAACAGTCACAAATCCTGTAACACCTTTTACTGGTAGGAACCACCTGGTTCCACCAGCCCACAGGGGATTATTGTGTCCGTCCGTCCGTCGTGAATCCAAAAATGGGATGGGCTGGGTGGAGAGGGGAGGGTGGGGAGAGGCTGGGTGGGGAGGGTGGGGCTGGGTGGGGGGTGGGAGGGGAGGGGCTGGGTGGGGAGGGAGGGGCTGGGTGGGGAGGGAGGGGCTGGGTGGGGAGGGAGGGGCTGGGTGGGGAGGGTGGGGCTGGCTAGGGGGTGGGATGGGTGGGGAGGGGCTGGTCACCCCGTGGTGCCCTTATAAAACTCAACGTTTAACCTACTCACGCCGGCTTGTGCCCGCCCTCACAGTCGGGCATATTTGCGGAATACACCACGCCGCCGTTGACCAACGTTCCTACCAGCTCCCTCCGCAGGAATGTTGTCGGGACGAGGTAATCCCCCCAGTAAATAACGAACGTCGGGTCAACGTTGTAACCCTTTCCATAAGGTGGCGGAGGCATCGTCAAGAGGGTCGGAGGTTCAAATCCAACCGCCGTTATAATATAAAAAAGTTTACTCAATAAACAATCATTATATTTAGTTAGTCGTGTTTTGCAATGTTTATCAGCATGGTAACATACAATAAAACATTTTTTCGAAAAGTATTTTAACTATTAGTGTTATTATATAAACAAGTGTTTTTTCAATGCATCAAGGGTATTGCGGACAGGTTTGAGCAGTTCTATAATAGCCCAACAAGCGTTTTTTGTTAACTGACACCGAAGCTCACCTGTCACGAGAGCCACGAGGGATCAATTCCAAATTAATCCAATAGTTAAAGGTGATAAGGTGTCGCCTGCCATAGCTTGAGTATCGACTAAAGGCCTTTTAGACCCCCTCTTGAACGTTTTTAATTAAATAAATTACAACCCTCGCCACAAGGCGGCGGCAATCAACAATCATTGAATTTACTTAATCATTTGTTGAAATGTGCATCAATAATGTGCAAGAAAAAATCTAATAGTATTTAAACTATGTGTATAATAGTATTTAAACTATGTGTATAAAACACATTCCTGCGGAGGGAGCTGGTAGTAACGTTGGGTTGCTCGGTCAATGGCCAGGGTCAACGGCGGCGTGGTGTATTCCGCAAATGTCCGACCGTGAGGGCGGGCACAAGCCGGCGTGAGTAGGTTAAACGTTGAGTTTTATAAGGGCACCACGGGGTGACCAGCCCCTCCCCACCCAGCCCCACCCCTCCCACCCCCCACCCAGCCCCACCCACCCTCCCCACCCAGCCCCTCCCTCCCCACCCAGCCCCTCCCCACCCTCCCCACTCAGCCCCTCCCCACCCTTCCCTCCCCACCCTCCCCACTCAGCCCCTCCCCACCCTTCCCTCCCCACCCTCCCCACTCAGCCCCTCCCCACCCTTCCCTCCCCACCCTTCCCTCTCCACCCAGCCCCACCAGCCCCTCCCAACCCAGCCCCTCCCTCCACACCCAGCCCCTCCCTGCACGACGGACGGACACAATAATCTCCTGTTGGCTGGTGGAACCAGTGGGTTCCTACCAGTAAAAATGTTTAATGCATCAACGGTACAGGTAGCAAGTTACGTAGCCCAGAAGCGTCTCCTGTTTCCAACTGACGCCGTAGCTCACCGTGCTAAGACCCTTTTAAGGGGCCGTCCATAAATGACGTCACGCACCTAGGGGCGTCAGACATTTGTGACGATGTGTGACGAGATGGGAGGGGAGGTGAGAAATGTGACGTCACATCAAAATGCGCAACTTTAAATAAATATAGACAACACGTTCTACTTAATTAAATAAATAGTCGTTTTAATAAATGTTTTCTCCTACAACATCAGAGTGCAGCGCCACATTACATACGCACTACAATGACAATAGTTTAAAGCGATTTGAAGCATGTTTTTTTTGGGGGGGGGGGTCTGACTTTTTGTGACGCCGTGTGACGATGGGGGGGGGGGGGTCAAAAATCGTCCAAAATCGCGTGACGTCATTTATGGACAGCCCCTAATTGAAATTTGGGATCAATCTCAAATTAATCCAATAGTTAAAGATGAGGTGTCGCTGCCATAGGTCAATTGGATACCATCAAAGCCTTTAGACCCCCTCTTTTTATTTTTTATACATTAATTTTGTTTAAAATATATATTGCAACCTTCGCTACCGTCATCGCTCGTAATACGGCAACTCAATATATGGAATTTCGCAAAAACAGGAACGCAACTTATAAATTAGGGAACAAATTCGATATACCTTACGTTAAAGTCGCATTTCAAGCATTTTTCTTTTTTTTACGAGAAGTTACATATTTTTTGCGTGGACAAAATCCAACAATGCACGGTCTGTCATTCCTCGCGTTAATTCCAGGCACTTCCAATAACATTTTCAACGTTTTTCAGTAAAAGTAAGTGAACATGTTCCTCGGTGTGGAACTCTCTTATCCCTTTGCACATCCGCAACATCAAATGCACTCTGACTTTCAAGAAACATATAAAGGCCTATCTCTTGGGTCAGGCTTTCGAGCAACTCTGAGCTTGACTCCGCACCTCTGAGTTGTTGACTTGTCTGCAAAATCTGACGCGTTATAAATGGTTGGTGGGAGGGTTGGTGAGAGGGGTGGGAGAGGTGGGAGGGTTGGTGGGAGGGGTGGGAGGGTGAGAAGGTTGGTGGGAGGGTTGGTGGGAGGGTGGGAGGGGAGAGGTGGGACGGTTGGTGGAAGGGTTGGAGGGGGGGTTGGAGGGGGGGTGGGAGGGGTGGGAGGGTTGGTGGAAGGGTTGGAGGGGGGGTGGGAGGGTTGGTTGGAGGGGTGGGAGGGTTGGTGGGAGGGGTGGGAGGGTTGGTTGGAGGGGTGGGAGGGTTGGTGGGAGGGTGGGAGGGGAGAGGTGGGAGGGTTGGTGGAAGGGTTGGAGGGGAGGTTGGAGGGTTGGTTGGAGGGGTGGGAGGGTTGGTGGGAGGGGTGGGAGGGTTGGTGGGAGGGTTGGAGGGGGGGTGGGAGGGGTGGGAGGGTTGGTGGGAGGGTTGGAGGGGGGGTGGGAGGGTTGGTGGGAGGGGTGGGAGGGTTGGTGGGAGGGGTGGGAGGGTTGGAGGGGGGGTGGGAGGGTTGGTTGGAGGGGTGGGAGGGTTGGTGGGAGGGGTGGGAGGGTTGGTGGGAGGGTGGGAGGGTTGGTGGGAGGGTGCGAAGGTTGGTGGGAGGGTGGGAGGGTTGGTGGGAGGGTTGGAGGGGTGGGTGGGAGGGTTGGTGGGAGGGGTGGGAGGGTTGGTGGGAGGGTTGGTGGGAGGGTTGGAGGGGGGGGTGGGAGGGTTGGTGGGAGGGGTGGGAGGGTTGGTGGGAGGGTTGGAGGGGGGGTGGGAGGGTTGGTGGGTAGGACGGTGGGAGGGTTGGTGGCAGAACCGGCCCTAGACCTTTGGGGGCCCTAAGCAAAATTTGGTTGGAGGCCCCTTTGATGTATGATTTTTTCACCCACTAGCTAGCAGTGACTCTAGGGGGCCCTCTGCTGGCCACGGGGCCCTTTGCAATTGCAAGGGTCGCTTAGTGGCTGGGCCGGCTCTGGGTGGGAGGGTTGGTGGGAGGGAGGGGGCGGTCTTACGACCATCAATCACTAAGCCCATCACCAATGGCCGTCTGCCTTACACGCGCGTGACCCTCGCCCCGCTGCAGCCAATGGCACTGGGCGTCTCGGGCACCTCCACACTGACTGGCTTGGCCTCTCGGCGGTGGCGGCAAGTGGCGTGCGAGCGAGCCAAGCAAGCCCAGCGAGCACACGCAGACAACACAGACACCACACGCTCAGTGAACACCACGCTCAGTGCACACCACGCACGCGACATCCCAGCGGCGCGCGGTTGTTGTTGTTGTTATTGTCGTTGTTGTTGTGGTGGTTACATCGCAGCGGTCGGCACCCGAAGCGTGGGTTGGGAGAGGGGGGGTGTGTGGGATTGCGGGCGCCGTCGTTGAAACTGTTTCGAAACGATCGTCCAGGATAACAACAACAACAAGAAGAAGCAGCAGCAGAAAACAAAATGTCGTACAATTACGTGGTGACGGCGCACAAGCCGACGGCTGTGAACGCGTGCGTCACGGGTAAGCGGGAAGGCGGCCACCACCATCACCACCAACACCACCACCTCCATCCTCATCTACGAAGGCCGCGATGGGGCCCCATCTAGACACGTGGGGGGAGGGGGGTGGTTATCGATGTCATCGACTGCTGCTTGGTGAATGTCTGCCTCCGTCTCCCGACAAGAGCCACTGGCCGCTGTTTTAACTGCTTCTCTCGGAGACATCCGTCCACCTCGTGGCATTCATCATCACCTCGTGTGTGTTCCAACGTTGCTCTCCAAACAAACAAACTCGACGTTAGTTAATTGACATTGCCCCCCCCCCCTCCCTCCCCACCGTACAGTTTTATCGACCATTGCAACTAAATTGTGAGCCAGACATCTCGATTGTAGCCTCCAATGTTCGAAGTTTACGATTGCAAAACATCACGGTCACCCTTTGCTGCTAGCAAAGTGTCTGGATGGAGGATGGGGCCCACGCACCCGTTTGCTTTGGCCTGTGAAATGCATCGTGTGTGGTTAAATATTCAGCGAGTTCATGAAACAGGCCCTCTCCGAATCTTTCAAATCGTATATTGACCGGTAGGATTGGTGCTTTACGCCGTCTCATTAACCACGATTGTCTCCTGAATTGAACTGTATTGTCATTGCTGTGGGAGGTTAACCACCAGCTTTGGGAAGTGTTCTGTATATGCGGTGGCTAAATTGGCTGTGTAAATGTGGGGTTTAATGGGGATACCAAATGCAGAACAACACGCAGAGATATGTTGTCCTCCATGAGACCCCAATGGCATTCATCACCGTGCAGTAAGTGGTGAGGCCATGGGTAGTCCTAGCATGCATATCCAAAGACTGAGATGGGCATTTCGTGGGTTCCAATGGGACAATTTACAATTGTTGTGGAGTGCTGGGGTAAGCACGGCATTACTCAATCGCAGATTAGTAACCATTAGGCCACTAGCATACCACAAACTGTACAGGACTTAAATAAAACACAAAACACCGCACTTGTATCCTTTATTTAACCAGGAGATGAAATCGACACGGTATATTGTGCATCGCTTACAAGGGCGACCGAGGTAAATTCACAATATTAACATCTCTCTGGCTCATTGCTCCAAAAACCCCCCCATCAGTTGGCATTGGACCACATAATTCAATCTAAAAACATGCTTTTTGAATCGTGCATTTTTCCCTGATCTTCGCTGTAGGGAATTACTTTCTTCTGCGGATCTCTGCCAAAGCAGGGTTCCCGATTAAGAGGTTACCCGGACATAACGTGGGTTGTTATTTGTAACTGATGCCACGGTGTGCAGGTCACTTCACCTCCGCAGAGGACCTGAACCTCCTCATTGCCAAGAACACCCGGTTAGAGATCTACGTGGTGACTCCCGAAGGCCTGCGGGCGGTCAAGGAGGTCGGCATGTACGGGAAGATTTCCGTCATGGAGCTCTTCCGGCCGCAAGTGAGAAATCCTTTTTGATTTAAAGCTTTCGTGACTGCAGGGATTCAAATTCTTGGTTCTTTCGGTAAAGTCACGTAGAAGGGAAACAATAAAAGAATAAAAATATGAAACAATACAATTCTCACGACGGTTTCGACTGCGACACAAGCAATCATCATCAGGTGTGACATTTTATTGCAGTGGATTTCACACCTGATGATGATTGCTTGTGTTGCAGTCGAAACGTCGTGAGAATTGTATTGTTTAATATTTTTATTATTTTATTGTTTCCCTTCTACGCGACTTTACCGAAAGAACCAAGAATATGAGTAATCCTTGATGCATAATTGGTTGGACATCTGGGTTATGAGGTTCAATCGCTATGCCAACGAATGTGTTCTGATACAGTGCCGTATCATATCCATTATGTAGTTGCATGGAGGAGCTGAGGGTAGAGTCGTTGTAAATAAGATGAAGCAGATGTGTTCTTGTGGTGAAAAGTTGCGATTAAAATTTTAGTGAAAGATGTTCAAACTATAGGGATTTATGGAAGATTTTTTTCACGATTCGTATGGGGACACCTGAATTCGTGCATTGCCAGACAGCGGATGGAGTCAATCAAGAACTGTAAAAAACTGACATTACTCGTAAGCATGTGAGCTATGGTTCTTTCAATGCGCTGAACCAGATATGTACAATGATATTATTTTCATGTTGGCGTCACAATGACGAAAGCGTGTTGCTCACTCTTGGGAGTACCCGAATAAGTGACAGTGCTGTGGTTGAATGTTTCTTTTAGGTGCATGTCTACTATCTACATGTAAAAAAAAAAACTGATGCACACTTATGATGCATTGCTCGTGAAGCTACATTTCGGCATTATTGCTGTTGACTCTTATTTTTATACGCTTGGGAGTACCTGAAGAAGTGACAGTGCTTTGGTTGAATGTTTCTTTTAGGTGCATGTCTACTATCTACATGTAAAAAAAAAACTGATGCACACTTATGATGCATTACTCGTGAAGCTACATTTCGGCATTATTGCTGTTGGCTCTTATTTTTATACGCTTGGGAGTACCTGAAGAAGTGACAGTGCTTTGGTTGAATGTTTCTTTTAGGTGCATGTCTACTATCTACATGTAAAAAAAAAACTGATGCACACTTATGATGCATTACTCGTGAAGCTACATTTCGGCATTATTGCTGTTGGCTCTTATTTTTATACGCTTGGGAGTACCTGAAGAAGTGACAGTGCTTTGGTTGAATGTTTCTTTTAGGTGCATGTCTACTGTCTACATGTAAAATAAACATACTGATGCACACTTATGATGCATTACTCGTGAAGCTACATTTCGGCATTATTGCTGTAGGCTTTTATTCTTTGAGATGTACAAACTACTTTCCCCTTATTTTGCATCAACCGCAAATCATGAGGGTAAAGTGCAATCACACTTATGGTATCATGTTCACCCTGTAAATTTGGGAAACTTCGACCTTGGGGAATGTTTACCCACACGTTCCTTTTGAGTGTAATTTCTTTCATAGTAATAAAAAATACTTTTATTCATATTGCACCCATAATCTACTGAAACGTCTCAGACCTCAATTTTCTCGCCTAGAGGACTGCCTAATGGTGGCTTGTGCTCCACAAGGCGACCACAGCACTGGCCTGCATTTGTCTCCCAGTAGGGGGCGATGTTGCTATTGGTTATGAAGGAATTTTACATGACGATGAAGCATGTTGTGTGGTCTCCAGGGAGAAAAAAAAGATCTTCTCTTCATCTTGACTGCCAAGTACAACGCATGCATCCTGGAGTACAAACAGGATGGGGATAATGTGGATATCATCACGAGGGCACATGGTAATGTGCAGGTAATAGCACCGCTCCATTACATAAATGCTTGGGAAATCACCATGGAACAGGCTGGTTCAGATAAACCACAATGTCACCAATATATACTTTTAAACACTTGTGGATATACAGACACCTACATAAGTTTATGTATGCAACAGTCAACGTTTTCAAAATGGCTTCTTTTTACGGTGAAGTATGATGCCAATTCGGAATCTACGAATTACAATGACATTTTATACAGACAATGCATAATGGGGATGATATTGATCATGGCGATGGTGAAGATTTGCGATGGCATCAATTACATTGACAAGAATGATGATGTTAATACGATGGGGAGGCAAAGATGGTGTTAATGGTAATGTTTGTCTCTGCAGGACCGTATTGGACGTCCATCAGAAACGGGCATCATTGGCATTGTAGACCCCGAGAGCCGCATGATTGGTCTGCGCCTCTATGATGGCCTATTCAAGGTCATCCCGCTTGACCGGGACAACAAGGAGCTGAAGGCATTCAACATTCGCTTGGAGGAGCTCATGGTCATCGATGTCAAGTTCCTGTTTGGCTGTGCCGTGCCAACCATTTGCTTCGTCTACCAGGCACGTGGGGCAGCAGGGATCACCTCTTAGCCCTGATCTACCAACTTTTTATTTTATTTTATGTGGTGGCTAGGTGGTTAAGAGGCAGCAGCATTGAGGCAAGCTGCCTGTGATTAACCATATTATCATGTGATGTGAGTTAATGGGCTCAGTCCGGTCACAAATCAACATGATTCTGTGCTTAATTTGACTTAATTCCAGCTCTGAGAATGAAATACAAGTTTGTATTCATTTTAACTTTCATGCAATGGACATTACTGCCTGTGGCCAAGTGGTAGGGGAAGTTTTCCTCGTAACTTGAATCGCACAACAGTCAGATATCACGCTGATGTCTCTGCAAACTCACAAGATTACCTCAGCAACTGCACAAAATCGGATCATCTTTAAACGTTTTAACATGGATTTGTGTTTGGACACATTCACAGAGTTTTACCCGGTTTAACAAACTAAAACATGATTCTGTCATTGGGCGTTCTGGGAGGAACAGTCATATAGGATTAGAGAAAAATACATTTATAATGAAACTATGTTTAAGCATATGGTTATGATTGTCCCATTATTCCCAAGTGTCCCTTTAGGGTAGAGCCATGTTATAGGCTACCAAAAAATGCTGCAAGGCCAAATGGCTTTCATACAAGAGTGAGCAGGCATTGCCTGTGCCAGACCCTGTTTCAGTGGGGTGGGGGAAGGGGATAGGTGAACAACGATCAACAAAATCCTTAATTCCTTAAAGTAATTGCACTTTAACATAACAACCGTGAGTTGGTATGATCCAACAACTTGGTCATGTTATCGCCAGATCATGTAGCCGACTCCCAGTTTTATCCATAAAATTCCAAGTATTGTGGTGCTGATGGTGATTAGGCATGCTTATGATATTTTCTTTGATGGTAGTGAGTGTCGTGTTTTAGTGATGATCATTATTGTGGTGGTTGTGGTGGTGTCATGATAAAGGACCCCCAAGGTCGGCATGTGAAGACCTATGAGGTGTCTCTTCGAGATAAGGAGTTTAATAAGGGGCCTTGGAAACAGGACAATGTGGATGCCGAAGCTGGAATCGTCATTGCAGGTGAGCTTTGAGTTCCCTTCATCGCATCATTTATGAGCATGAACAAAAGTGACATCATCCGATGTAACATGACATCATTTTCATTATGAATGGTTGAAACTGTGATATAAACCCAGTACCTCATCTTCATTGGCTCATTACGCCGTCACAGCCATTACGAGCTCATGAGAGCCGTCTTTTTGGGTTTTTAATTTCTGACATGTACAGCAATATTTTTTTACAACTTTCTGCACTGATGTTAATTTCTTATTAATTATACATTAACTGGTGTAAAACATACTTATAGGCACATTCGTCACACATTTTTTTTGTTATGCAACTAACCAAGAGTGTTGTATGTGACAGTGCCTCAGCCAATGGGAGGAGCTCTCATTATTGGACAGGAAGCTATCACATACCACAATGGTGACCAGTATCTACCCATTGCTCCTCCTGCCATCAAGGTAAATGTGAATTGTTATGATCAGCTTATCTTAGTCTCAAGGCTTCCTCAGGATGGTCCTGCATTGGGCTGTTTGACGAATTGCCATTCATATTCTTGGTTCTTTCGGTATTGTTTTATATTTTTATTATTTTATTGTTTCCCTTCTACATGACTTTACCGAAAGAACCAAGAATATGAATTGCCATTAATTAGTTTTTGGAATTTTGGAAGGAAACCAGGAGTATTGGGGGAAAACCCACGTGTATGAGGAGGTGACACTCAGCACTGCCACCCCTTGGCTACAACACCTGGCAAGCCTGGTTTGAGACACTTAAGATGTTGAAAGACCCGATTTGACAAATGCATTCAAACATTCAGAGGCTAAAGGCCTTCTTCCAACCTGACAATGTTTAGCCTTCATATGAGCCTGAAAGTAACGGAGTCCATGGCACATTTTGGATAAACGGCGCTGCTATAAGCACCATACAGCAACATGGTTACACGACCCCCTTGATGAATTGGTTTTGGTTTACCGTGATGGACTGCTGGCGCTGGTTCCAACCTGGGCTTCTGGCAGGCTGTTTGATTGGTGGAGATTGAAAGTTTATATGTCATGTGTATTGAGATTTCATCTGGTGGTCTGGGCTCCACAAACCATCATCTCTCAAAAAGTAATCTACCTTCAATGGAATGTTAGTGGGGCTTCCTTGTCTGAAATCTTCTGACATGGATGGTGATGTGATAATACCACCACTTTGTTGCCCCTAATTTCAGAAAAACGAGGAAAATAAGCAAAAATAAATCACTATCACCCTCCTGATAATCTGCTGCATTACTCACCCATGGTGTAGTTCTGTATTTCTGCTTGTGTTATCCTAAGAAGCAATTATGCTTTTCCATCTCCACCCCAATTTTCTCACCATTGCCTTGTCTGGTTCACTTCACCACCAGCAAAGCACCATCGTGTGCCAAAATCGCGTGGACGCCAACGGCTCCCGCTACCTCCTGGGCGACATGGAGGGGCGGCTGTTCATGCTGCTGCTGGAGAGGGATGAGCTCATGGACGGCACGGCCACCGTGCGGGATCTGCGAGTTGAGATGCTCGGGGAGGTGAGCCAGAGACCTCATGTCAAATCTTTGTACTACTGATTTTAAGAATCCTGGAGCCCGATTCGGGACAAAGGATAGCATAGCCTTAACAAAATATTTTTCTATGAGCAATGTTATCGTGTTGCTTTTATTTTACCTGCATACCAGTTCCTCAATACTACACTTGACCTCTCAAAAAATCTCTGCCCAATGTATGGTAAGGTGGGTAATTGTTAGGGAGTAGGTTAAGGCTACGTTTACAAATTATTGTAAATGAATGTTCATGTAAGGAATGGTTACATAAAAAAACATTGTTCATCCTTTGTCAGCCCTGAGGTCGTTGTGAAAATTCCACATTGTTATGGCAGGGCCCAGTCTTTCCACAGAACAATCATTAATTGTTCACGCCCTATGAAGTAGGATGAGTAGATGGGTTTATCCTTGACAGGGTTTTGAACTCTCAACTCTGAACTACTTCAGAAGTAAACCTGACAAATAAAATATCACAAAAAACATAAAAGTACAGTTGATGGTTACAATTGTGTTAAGGTTGGCATCATTGCGTCTTCTCCCTCAACAGACATCTATTGCCGAATGTCTGACTTACTTGGACAATGGTGTGGTTTACATCGGTTCAAGGCTCGGAGACTCCCAACTGGTTAAGGTAATTGATAAACATTCGCATAGTAATGGAGAATGATAGAAGTTTGAGTGCTTGAAAGAGTGATGTGATGCTAATACTTATGCAGCATGAGAATGTGATTGTAGGGATGTCCTAATCTTAAATGTAGCTCTAGTTATGTAGTTTATTTGTGACCATTGCCCTAATTTTCCATAGCCCCTGACCCATTGCTTAACTAATCCTAATCCTGACTACAACCATAACTTGAGCCACACATTTAACTGTTCAGAAAATAAATAACGATATATTAAAGTAAACATGACGACGGACGCTTGTGTTGTGCCCGAAACGTCGTGGTTTATTTCATTCTATACCTACGTGACTTTACCGAAAGAACCAAAGAGTATGTTATGTTTAACAATGGGCATTCTGCATGTTTGGGATGAGTTTTTACATTCTTAATATATTTAAAGCTAGAACTCTGATGTCACGCTAACTCCGTAACGCTATCATTAATAATCATCAGTGGGTGACGTCACTCCACATGGAGGACTCCCCCTCCCCCCTCATTAATAATCATGAGCAGAACGTTTTTTTCGTTTGAATATTTCAGATTTACTGCAATACACCCGTCATCGGGACGGGCTATAGGCTGGTTATATAATAATGTGTCTTCCTACTAACTAAAGTGGCGTCACCTGATGCCACGTGACACTACTTTAGCGGGAAAAGCACGGAAGTTACCGATTATGCGACATCGTTTTCTGTGACGTCATACTTTCAGATCAATCTGAAACAAATCTCTTTGGGATCATAAAAAATTTCGAATCTGAAAATCGGGAACACATCCCCTAGTGATCTACATTGAAAGTCCCGAGCAGCCATTGGTGTGACTTGAATATTTTGCACAGCAACAACTTTTGATATGCCAAAATGTGGTGCGAACATTTTACTGAAATAATTTTGCAAAAGCTAGAGGGATGACACGCTAAGCTGACCCTAATCTGGATTTGAACTTGTAGGGTTTGTTGGAGGAGAAAACCACTTCTCCAATGATTTGCATACGATTGAATGTGAGTATTATGAGCATAGGAATCAATTTCAATCAACGAATGAATGCCTAGTTACATGTTTACTGTGTTGTCTGGCTACTGTGTGTTTTAGTTGAATGTTGACAGCAATGAGCAGGGCTCATATGTCACAACCATGGAGACCTTCACCAACCTGGGCCCCATTGTGGACATGTGCGTTGTGGACCTGGAGCGGCAGGGGCAGGGCCAGGTGAGTGCTCAACCATGGCTCGTGTTCTTGCATATGGCATGCACATGTTGCAGCCCCTTTGTCAATGCTCTGCTGGAAGAGAACCTCTCCCCATGTCATGCTGGTTGTGGTGGTTATTTGACCATGAGTCGCCATGCTTGTTAGTGTGGTTGTTGAAGGCGTAGAGTGAGACATTGTACAATACAATTCTGGAATTTGCTGCACTGCCATCTGTTGCCCACTACATAGACCGTACAAGCCCATTGACAAACGTGTGCATGACGATCACCATCATGCTGCATTTTCTGTCAATTTCGACTAAATGTTTTGGTCAAAACACCTTCAATAATGTTAGTAAGCAGTTCACAGCAAAGAGCACATTTCATACTCGGAGCCACTGCATCTCTAAACACTTACCTAGTAGGGGCCACATGCCAGAGGAATGTGGTATATCTCCGCATGTCTATGCATGTCAATGTGAATCAATGTGCATTTGCACATGGATCTTTTTTTCTGGCGCCACGGTGGCGAGGTGTTAACTACCTCGCCTGGTATACGGGAGGTTGTGGGTTCGATCCCAACCAAGACGCCTGCTGTGTATTGGGAGTTTGCATGTTCTGCCCGTGGTTTCGTGGATTTTGCTCTGGATCCTCCGGATTTCCCTCCCCATTTAGAACATGTCTTTAGAGTATTTGGTTGCTAACACATTCCTGCGGAGGGAGCTGGTAGGAACGTTGGGTTGCTCGGTCAATGGCCAGGGTCAACGGCGGCGTGGTGTATTTCGCAAATATAGCCGACTGTGAGGGCGGGCACAAGCCGGCGTGAGTAGGTTAAATGTTGAGTATTATAAGGGCACCACGGGGTGACCAGCCCCTCCCCACCCAGCCCCTCCCCACCCTCCCCCATCCAGCTCCTCCCCACCCAGCCCCTCCCCGCCCTCCCCTCTCCACCCAGCCCCACTCCTCCCATTTTAGGATGCACGACGGATGGATGGACACAATAATCCCCTGTGGGCTGGTGGAACCAGGTGGTTCCTACCAGTAAAAATTTCCACCTGATAAGCTACTTCGTTAAGTTATCATTTGTGGCAAGGTCGCTTCTTACCTGGTAAAATATTTTTTTTATTTAGTATAGTATGTTTGCATGTGTGTGTGATCGTGTGCGTGTGTGTGTGTTCCATGTGTGCGGAGCAGTTGGTGACATGCTCAGGTGCCTTCAAGGAGGGCTCATTGCGAATAATCCGCAATGGCATTGGAATTCACGAGCATGCCAGCATTGACCTGCCGGGCATTAAGGGTACCGATCCACACCCACACACTCGTACATGGCATGATCACACTCCACTTAACCAGACACGCATCTCGGCACACTTGTCCCAATTCAGGATGCTGCTCCACTCGATAGAGCATCTGTGATCTCAATGTAAATGTTCATATTCCGATCAGGATGAGCTAATGTCGTTGTTGCCAATGTCATCATCTCATTGGTGAAAGAGCGACCTCCTATTCAGCAGAGATTAAAGCATTTTAAGGGGAGAAACTCCTTAGCCGGGTTATCCGATTAGCACGGTTGGCTATGTACGGTGCAAAAGAAGATCAACATACATACAGAGAGTAATAACAAGATCAGATCTGACAAGTAAATGACGATGTCCTTTTATTTTCTCTCTCCATCTCTAATCCTTGGCCATGGCAGGCTTGTGGCCTCTCCGCTCGGACCCCACACGTGACTTGGATGACATGCTCGTTCTCTCCTTTGTCGGCCAGACACGGTATGACAATTATTTTAAGCAACGAAGGTCATTGTTTTATAGTCTCTTTATTTAGTTACCTTGATCCGCGTCCCATGAAGTAGCGAAGGCTCGATCAAGGATTACGGAACAAGACTCAAATTGCTCGCTGTAAAAGCTTAAATAGTTATTTAATAATGTCATTACTTGATGCAGATGGCACATGTGGAACAGAATCTGAGGGGAAAAGATAAAAAAAAAATTATTGCAAAAAACAACCCTTTGGAGATATGCGTTGTGTTTGACATAAGTTAGTGTGGAATGTGTAATTTAATTTAATGGAAGCTAGTGCGAACACCGAGTCAAAAACAGCTTTGATACAAGTAAAAGAATTCTGCTTGGGTCCGTGTGTTTTGACGTGCGTTTGCAGAGTGCTCATGTTGAACGGTGAGGAGGTGGAGGAGACCGAGTTGCCCGGTTTTTGTGATGAGCAGCAGACCTTCTACTGCGGAAACGTGGCCAATGAACAGCTCATCCAGGTTTGAGGTTCCCCCACACACTCCTTACCGACTCTGCTACACTTCCATTACCCACACTGGCAAACATTTTTCCCAAATTAAAAAATACCTTTCCATACATTTCCTCATGCTTAACTGCTTGCGAATTTTGCATTTATTCCTGGAGGATTTGAAAGGGAACTTGAGAAAATGTATTTGAATGCTTGAACAGTATGAAACACTTCTGTTCAATACCATACCAGCTACACACCCCACACACCATCCACGCACTCACATAAAACATCTACCAACACACTTTCTGATGTCATCACAGGATTTGCAACTGGTGCACTTGACATTTGTTCAATTTTGAGGTGAATCTTGTTCCAGCATTTTGTCCATTGTACGTGTGTGCTGCTTCCTTTGGCTGCCACTGTTGTTCGTCTCGACCAGGGCCATCGGCCCTTGAAGCAGTGTACCCTGCCCAAGCCCGCTTGCATTTCTTAACGATCAATCTGGTGTCTTACTACTGATGTAATGTATTCTGCGGAGGTGGAGCGATTAAATCAGTACATGTGCAGGTGCTAGATGGATCGCTGCATCGTATTTACCCATGTGAGATATCGACGTCTTGGTGAGACCTTCAACCATGAATAGATCATGACTGATGACATGTGCATGCTTGCTCTCCCCCCCCCCCCTACTGTGCTAGATAACCTGTGGATCCGTGAGACTGGTGGACCACAAGTCAAAGGCGCTGGTGAGCGAGTGGAAGGAGCCCAGTGGCAAGAACATCAGTGTGGCCTCCTGCAACTCGGCGCAGGTGGTGTGCGCCGTGGGCCGAATGCTCTTTTACCTGGACATCTCGGCAGGGCAACTCAAGCAAGTCAGGTGATCACAAACCTTGAACGGCAGTGGCCTTGCTCCCCTTTTCTCACTTCGCTATTCACCCTGGCCCCTGACCGGCCCCGCTGGACCAGGCGCTGGAAAACCTGCGGCTCCGGAGCCGCATGCGGCTCTGTAAAGACTCCTTGGTGACGTCGTTTATTCAGTACCACCGTCCCATATTCACGTGCATTGCGGCTCTTGAAATGTTGAGTTTTTTTTTTACCGAATTCGAAAAAAAAAATGGCTCTCTTTGTTATTTTTGTTGCCGACTCCCCGCACAGGACGCTCCGGATGCTAACTGCTAATGCTAATGTCAGATAATTAAAGCCCACGTGAAGGATTTCACAATGTGAAGACGTTGGCACCTTTGCGTCGTGCTTCTATTTAGCCACTTAGCCTTTGACCAAATCACCCACAATGTGCCCGATCTCATTATTTCTTGGAAGCTAAGCACAGCTGTGCCTTGATGGTGCTTTGATGATGCAGGCATCGATATGAGATCACACCATGAGCATGTAGACCCTTTTTCCAAGTGGATTAACTTTGAGACAACGTTCTTTATGTATGAGGATAACAAAAAGTCGACACACTTGCGAGCTTGAGGTAACTTCCTTCGAAGTAATGGAGAGGTTTGATAGATTGTTTCAAAATTTAATGGAGTATTTTCTTCCCTCGCTACAGTTCCACCGAGATGGAGCATGAGGTGGCATGTCTCGACATCTCGCCGCTGGGCGATGGGGCCGGCAACTCGACCCTGTGTGCCGTGGGCCTGTGGACGGATATCTCTGCGCGCATCCTGCGTCTGCCCTCGTTCGACACACTGCACAAGGAGATGCTGGGCGGAGGTGGGGCACAGTTAGGCCCCCTCGTTCGTTGTTGGACATATTCTTGAGTGTACACCAGACTATCCCTGAAAGGCGTGGATGTCGGACATGCAACCCGCAGCTTTGTACGGCAATACAGTGACTTGATTTTCAGGATGCTCCCATGCTGTCGGTGCACTTGCAATACAGAGGTCGCCACTTTGAACTCTTTCGGTGCTGCAGTTGAAACAACGGGCAAGTTTCATAAATCCCTCCTACCTCTGTCCACCCAGCAGTATAGATAAGCATACCACCACCAATTACAGATCGTGTGTGGGTTAAAGTGCAGGTACCTCTTCCAAGGCGTCAGGCCAGCGTTGGAACAGTAGGCCATATATCTTCTAGAGGGGGTTCTTTAGGGCTGCCTCTAGTGGAGGCACTTCCACCAGCAGTGGTGTAAAGAAGAAATTACAGAGCTGCACCTTTACTGTTTAAAGTGACCTCTGTAGACTGTTGTTATACTGGTAGGAGCCTCCTGGTTACGCCAGCCCACAGGGGATTATTGTGTCCGTCGTGCAGGGAGGGGCTGGATGGAGAGGGAGGGGCTGGGTTGGGAGGGTGGGGCTGGGTGGAGGGTGGGAGGGGTGGGGCTGGATGGGGAGGGGCTGGTCACCCCGTGGTGCCCTTATAAAACTCAACGTTTAACCTACTCACGCCAGCTTGTGCCCGCCCTCACAGTCAGGCATATTTGCGGAAAACACCACACCGCCGTTGACCCTGGCCTTTGACCGAGCAACCCAACGTTCCTACCAGCTCCCTCTGCAGGAATGTGTTAATGTTCTGACCCCCCCCTGCTGGACATCTGTGACCAGGAGTTTTACAGCTCATCAGATTCCTCCAGTGTCCGTAAATATTCTGATTTTGAACATGGACAGTTGTCTGGACTGTGCCATGTTTTGTTTACTCGACCATCTACCTTGAATTACTGTGTTGCACAATTGTTGATAATTATAAACATGCCATTATCATTCTTTAAACTGTGCCACAGTTTTGTTATATAATTGGCTGTAGTCCCCTGTGGTTTACATTGCTTTTACGCTGCTGCCTCTTAAGGTCAACAGAATATAGTGATGCTCTGGCCCCAAGATAAGCAATGTGTTTTCTAAACGATGCGCACTTGCTATGTGGGTTTTCCCGTCGTGATTAATTCACTGCCAAAGCAGGCGGTTTCATCCTTGTGTCATGAGTTGCGTCGGCGTGCTGTGGGTGACTTGATTTGTGTGAGGTTTTCTTTGCCGTTCAATTCACTGTGTTGTGCCGTCCCATCAGAGATAATCCCTCGCTCGATCCTGATGACAACGTTCGAGGGAGCCCATTACCTGTTGTGTGCACTTGGAGACGGAGCCCTCTTCTACTTCAATCTCAGTGTGGACAGCGGTGAGTGAAGGTCGACGGCTCTGGATCGGTTAGATTAAAGGGGGCCTTTAACTCGCTATCTTTCCTCCCCCTTGATGTCCTCTATTCATTGGCATTCTTATGATGCTCTTCTATTCCTTTGCCCCCCCTTCCCTACCTACTCATTTGTTAGCACTCTCCAAACGTCTTTGCCCTTCTTGCCACCCTTTGCTATTTATGGACCAGGTCGCCAGGTTCACAGCAAACCACTGTGGCGCATATGTATGTTGAACTTCTTTTGCACAGTACGTAGCCAACCACGTCTAATTGGAGGTGCAGTTAAGCGCCGTATCCTTATAATTCCCATCTTGCCCTTCCACTCTCTCATCTCTCTTCTTCCTAAACCGTTTCTAATCAGCACCCTTGCCTTTATTCCTGCTGACTTGTTCCTACTTGACCTTTGACCCCTGCCTTCCATTCCCCCGTGTCATCCAGGCTACCTGAGCGACAAGAAGAAGGTGACACTGGGCACACAGCCGACGGTGCTGCGCACGTTTAAGTCTCTTTCCACAACCAACGTGTTTGCCTGCTCGGACCGCCCCACCGTCATCTACAGTAGCAACCACAAGCTGGTCTTCTCCAACGTGAACCTTAAGGAGGTCAACTACATGTGCCCCCTCAACTCACAAGGCTACCCTGACAGGGTACATTCTTATCAGCGGGAGTTTTCCGTTTGATTTATTTACTAATCACGAACCACCGAGCAAGTTAGAATTGTTTAGTGATGCTGCCTTGGCAGGGGTGTACAAGCACAAAAAATAAACTCAACTCATTCATCAATAACACTGCCTTCAAATAATAAGTGTATAATAGTTGATGTTTTGAGCAATGGCCCTTTAACACAGTGCAGAGAGAGGCCAGAAAGGTAAAGACCCTACCTCTCTGGTAACTACTTTACCTGTGACAAAATGTGTTCAGTTTTGTTTTTAACACGTTATACTGGTCATCTTCTTGGATCTTTCAATAAAGTCACGTAGAAGGGAAATAAAAAAATAAAAAAACATAATAAAATAAAAATTCTCACGACGTTTCGGCCACAACACAAGCAGCCGTCCTCAGGTGAAGAAACAGAGCTGTTGGAAAAACAATTCATTAATTTGGGAAATTAATTTTGTTAGGTCGATTGCTTACGTTTCATAAGGTATTAAGCAATTATTACATATTATTTTCTGGTCACTTTCTTGGAATTGCACATCAGACAAAGATCCTTAGCTGTGCTGATATTTTTCACCTGGAATGATTTGTCCACCTGCTCCAGATTTAAGGGCGCACACTTAAAAACAAACCCTGTATAGCTTGGAAACGAACAGTTGGACTTGATACAAATGCCATCTTCATACGGGGAGGGGAGAGGGATATTTCTTCCTCGGACATATTTTGTTGTGCGTGCGTGTTTGACACTTGTGATATGCGGTTGTGTTTCACGGACAGCTTGGCGCTGGCGAACAACAGCACTCTTACCATTGGCACCATCGATGAGATTCAGAAACTGCACATCCGAACAGTGCCACTCAACGAATCTCCCAAGTGAGTCCGTAACCACAGGCTATTAACTCTTGCAACTTGAAAGCTCACTGAGTCTACAAACACACCTCCGTCAATGGGATGGCGCGCACGCATACATTGTGTTTGCACCGATGGGTCTCTGTCGAAACTGACAACTGTGCACCTTGTCTTCTGTTCGAACACAGGCGCATTTGCTATCAGGAGTCATCGCAATGCTTTGGCATTCTCAGCAGCCGCGTGGAGTTACTCGACCAAAATGGGGGCACCAGCCTCGTGCGACCGAGTGCCAGCACGCAGGTGAGGGCCTCTCCTAGCTCCCTTCCCCAATGTCCGGAACTCGCCGCTACAAGCTGGGCATGCATACAAGATGAAGAGGTCATCAAGGCCAATTGCTGATGGTATTGCATCTCTGGTTAGCTACGTATGGTGCGAAAGAAGTTCAACATGCATATAAATACATAAATGCTTCTTTCTCCCTGCCCGGATTCAACATTGCAGACTATGGTTCCTTGGAAACATTCTAGAACAAAGAAAACTATTGAAATGTCTAAGATTTAGTTTAGCTTTTCATTGCGATTTTATTTTTAGATTTTGTTCCATTACCTGTTCCTTTTTGTCTTACAATTTCAATTCTTTTTCTTTCAGTCCTGACTTTGTCTGTCAACAGAGAGACCGTGTTTTAAGTATGTAAAACAAGTTAGAATACATCAACGGTGATTCTAACGGTAATGTGTACGATCTTCCCCAGGCGTTGTCCAACAGCGTAAGCAACAGCAAGCTGTTCTCAAGCAACAGTGCGCAGCACGAGAGTTCGTACGGCGAAGAGACGGAGGTGCACAGCCTGCTCGTCATCGACCAACACACCTTTGAAGGTACCCTGAAGTTTACCTCTCGGTCCATCCTCTCATCTCCTTTTTCTGCCCCCACTATACGTTGAAACCCCTCTTGTTGTTTGCATTGGGGCGCCATGAGCGTATCCTTATTATTTGAAACCCCTCTGAGAAAAATAGCTCTTCCTATTTGCCAAATTAAGTTGGGATTAATCTTAATGGGATTAATTTTCCACTTGGCTGCTTTTTTTTTAAACATCTAATTGGTTAAGTCATGAATGTATAAATGAGTGAGTATAATCGTAGAGTTTTTTTTGTTTACTTGGGTACAGTAACAAATTAGAACCATAAGTCAGATAGAAATCAACATTTTGAGAAATGGTCATAAAATGTCATGCTGTCGGATGTACTCGGACTCACTTTTACATCCATGCTAGGATGGTGGTGGTGCATTCAATTTTGTGAATGCATTAGACCATTGACTAACTTCGTAAATATATGTTTTCAAAACAATAGGTAAATGCCCTCAAAATGACACCCTGCTATATGTTGATGTTGACCTTGCTTGAGTGTTGATACTACCCACCTGTAATGCATTTGCCCTTGGCGCTTGTGCAGTGCTGCATGCGCACCAGTTCCTCCCGAGCGAGTACGCTCTGAGCATCGTGTCGTGCCGTCTGGGGAAGGACCCCACGACGTACTTCGTGGTGGGCACGGCCATGGTGTACCCCGAAGAGGCGGAACCCAAGCAGGGCCGCATCGCCATATTCCACTACACTGACGGTGAGCGTGCGAGCGAGCGGTCGTGCGAGCGGTCGTGCGAGCGAGCGCTCCCGGCCACCCGTTGTCAGCTGTACACAAGTGTGAAGATGTTCAGTGTTTTCACCTTGAAAATGTTTCCAGATGCTCAAAATGATCTTGAGTTGTCCGCAATGGTCTTGAGCAAGCTTTGAGCCGGCACCGTTGAAATTTTTTCTTTTTTAAATGAGATCCCAGAACAGAGCACGAGTGGCAAGGGGGGTGGGGAGGTACAGATATTCCGCGGGCAACAAGCCTGATGCCAGGTGCTCATGGGGCAGGAGAAAGGGATGCGGTGGGTGGGGTGACTGCCCTACTCACATAGGGGCAGCGATCGGATCCCACCACGTCCAAATGAATCCAGTTCTGAAGTGCATTTATAGCATTTGTCCAGTCAGAAATTACTGCAAAAGTTAAACGAATTTTCAAAAGTACGTGTTGCCTTGTGACCATGCGTTGTACAATGCTGGCGTGCGTGACGCACATCCGCCTGTTGTATGTTTCAAATACGTATCGTGTTTATTTCCATTTTGTGTGGTATGCGATTTGAATGGTCGAATCGTGCGTGTTCATGTGCCGTACGTGTTCACATGTTGCGAGGTGCAATTAGATTTTCCGTGTTGTGTCAATATGTTGCGTGCCGTTTTCTTCTCATGTTGTGTGGCATGTGTTTTTCCTGTGTCGCGTGCGGTGCTTTTTCTTGTGGTGCGTTTATGGGGGGCACCACCGTATGCTTGAGCACGCCACGAGTGCCCGCTGCATGTTGATGCGTTGCTTTTGTGTCGCTGTGCAGGGAAACTGCAGACGGTGGCAGAGAAGGAGGTGAAGGGTGCAGTGTACTCAATGGTTGAGTTCAACGGCAAACTCTTGGCCAGCATCAACAGCACGGTGAGGCCACATCCGTGCATAGCCATTATCCAAAGAGTATTGACGATGATTTCAATGACATAGCTCTTATTCTATGAATCGTAGCCATGAAGCATGTTTATATTAAACTGTTCTTCAGATTACTTTGTTTTTTGCCTACATATGGGTTAGGTTTATACACGCGTTGTGATGGTTGCACTCGTTGGGATTGTTAAACCTGTGTTGTTGGGGTTGACACGTGTGTAGTTATGGATACACGTGTCTAGCTATGGGGTCAGGTTTGCCCCTTCGTCGCGATGCTCACGTTCGCCGCTGTGCCCGTGTGTGCGTGTTCGAGCGTGCGTGCTTCCCATGCGCTTGATTGCATCTCGCGTTTATTCACTCTTAATGTGTCATTTTATTAAGGGACTTGCGTCTTATCTTGGTGTGGTCTGGGACTGTTTTATTGTTTTTCTGGCCTTGCCCAAGCTTAATAAATTGAACTTATGCAATGAAATGACTTATTACGTATTTGTATTTAGTGACTTGCTTACCTTTTTCTTTATTTTGCACTCCTTTCGTTTTTTTATTGTTTGCCGTTGGAACTTGCTGACATCCACCCAAATGGACATCTGTGAAAAAGAGCTTCATATATTTAATCGGATTCCTCCTCCTCCAGTCTAAATAAAGATTCCGATTATTCACGTTGGTGCGCGATGGACATGCCCTTGCTCTCGTGTGCCACTTGCCCAGGTGCGCCTTTACGAGTGGACGGCGGAGAAGGAGCTGCGCACCGAATGCAACCACTACAACAACATCATGGCCCTTTACCTCAAGACCAAGGGCGACTTCATCCTCGTGGGCGACCTCATGCGCTCCATGCTGCTGCTTGCCTACAAGCCCATGGAGGGTAGCTTCGAGGAAGTGCGTCATCCTACCGGTTCCCCTCCTCCACACGCATCCATAACACGATTCGTGAATCACTTTGATAACCACTGGTCTACAATTTCTTAGACGTCGTCTGCTTCAGAGATGAAATGTGCTGTTTATTATGGATTTTGTTTTGCTGAATTCACATATGACACTTAAAACAACTGATTGGCTACTGTTCTCAAGATGTTTAACTTTTTACATTTTACGTCTATTTAGAGTTTTACTCGTACATTGTAAACCTAGGTCTTTTCATTTGTTGATGGTTGCTTTACATGATAACATGTCACTTGTCCTGTTCATGTAACACTTGAAAAATCAGCAAAAGGGCTATATATATATATATATACAATTGATTATGAAACAAAAGGCAAAAAACTATTATGTATATATAAGTACATAGTTTAGTCCTTATTCAGTGTCGACTCGGCGCTTCTTGGCTTGTCTCTTGTATTCATTTAATGGAGCATCTCTCGTCACTGTCCAGCAATAGTCTGCAAGCATTGATGGGCTCCATTTGCCCTTATTGCGTTTCCCCATTGTTGCAATGTTCTGGTGAAATCACTTGCCATTCTCGTCGCTCACTGCTCCTCAGTTCGGTGGGAAAAAAATCTCGAGAGTGCAAAAAATGTATGTTTAGTGACATTGCAACCAAGGCTTTTGTATGCCTTGAGGTTTTCCACCACCGCCAACTCCCTGTAGTTGTCTGCCTTGTTGTTTCTGAGAAAATGTGTTGCCACTAACTTGGAAGGCTTTCCATGCCGTCTTTTATTTGCCACAAAGTGAACTGTCAAATGCATCACCCCGAAAACGTTCATGAATCTGAGGACCAACAAAGACACCTTCCTTTATCTTAGCTTCACAGAAGTAACAATTGCTGATATGATCTGTTGGCTCTCTCCAAATCATTGGCACTGCAAAAGGCATAGATTTCCTTTTCCTGTTCAACCAGTGGCGAAGATTTGTTGCACAAGTGTTGCAGCATATGTGTGGGGCCCACATCTTGTCCTGATCTCTAATTTTGCAGCAAAAATAATTGTGATAGGCTTTCTTAACCATAGTGGTTATACTGCGCCTTTGTGATGCAAAAGTCACTTCACAAACATAGCAGAAGTTATCTGCTTTGTTCACACAAATACGAGGCATCTCTGCTCACTTTGGCTAAACAGAAATGTCCCTTTGCAAAATCAAACACTGACAAATAAGTGAGCACGACACTGAATGATTTCTCGAGCTGATATTGTGCAATTTGTTCAGCAGAGGGATGTAAGCCTCATTATGATTGCATCATCCATGACTTCTGGGAATAACATGATGCAATTAATATAATGTATGATGCAATACCAGGTTCAGATTGCATCATTCATTATTTTGCTAAAAAAAACCCAGTCATAGATTTTTTTATAGATCCAGTGAAAGATGTATTTGAGTGATTTCTGGTTTAAATTGAGATCCCTTCCCTTTATAACTCGCTTACCCTCCGCCATTCCCAAGTCAAGGGTCGTATCTACTGACCCAGTAGAATATCTTGAAGACTAGAGCCAATTAACAATTGTAAGCATCATTTTCATTCTCAGTGACCCAGAATTAGTAAAGTTGGACTACATTTATTTCAGAATCATTTTGGCTGTAGACCAGTGTAATTATTATTTGAGTACACTGATTACTTGAATTCTCGTTATGTGCTGTGAAGAAGGGACATTGCCCGAGAAGTTGCCAGAAATATTTTTCCATTTAATGCAGTGTTAAGGACGAATGTGTGGGGTTTTTTTTTATTTTAAATAGATCATGTCATTCTAGGAATCACACTGTGAAACAGAAATATACGGATTGGAACACATACCAAAGTTAAATACGTATTTTGTTTAGCAGTATTTTCACAGGAAACTTTCTAAACTTTAGTAGCCCGAGTCAAACCATTGTTTAATATAAGCAGGCAGGGGATTGACCCCCTTGATACTTTAGTTTTTTGACACGAATGGACAAGTGAATGAGTGCTGATCGGAGAGGTGCAGTGCATAGAATGTCGTTTACAAAAACGTGTCAAACTGTGGGGGAAAATGTTGTCTTTTGCTTTTTCACAGATTGCCCGCGACTTCAACCCCAACTGGATGAGTGCGATAGAGGTGCTTGATGATGACAATTTCCTGGGCGCAGAGAATTCCTACAACCTGTTCGTTTGCCAGAAGGACAGGTATGCCCTCTACCAACCCTCTGATTTTTGATGTCATTATTTTTGGGAGAACCTAATGAAATTCATGATTTAACAGTGTTGAGCAAAATTTTTATATTTTCATCAGAGTTTCCAATCCAGAATTTCACATCCAATAATCAGTGAAACTGCACAATGTTTTGTGTGGGCATTGAACTAAATAAGTGTGCAATGTAACCACCGGCTGTCATGGTCGACTTGGAAATATTTGGTGTTACGTAGCATCAAAGTTCCGATTTGTAATCCTTTTTTTGATGTGTAAGTTAGAGCTGCTTGTCAATACACTGCTTAATGAAGGCCTCTACACGCTGTGTCAGTAATGGGGGTTGTGTTTGATCACGCTTCACAATTCACTACCCAATGGACTCTAAGACAGAGCTGTAAACTAACTGTGATGTTACTACATGTAATCACATGAATGTGTTTACCAGAATTCAAATGCTGGCTTCCATTCATTCACATTCATATCTCAGTGTGCGCGTGTGCGTGTATGTGTCGCGTGCGTGCGTTTACCTATGCGCACGTGTGCCTTGCGTACGCCTGCGGATTTGTTTGTGCCTCTATATACCTGTGCGTTGTCTCCTGTGCGCGTGCGTGCGTTCAGTGCGGCCACGTCCGACGAGGAGAGGCAGCACCTGCAGGAGGTGGGGCAGCTGCACCTGGGCGAGTTCGTCAACGTGTTTTGCCACGGCTCGCTCGTCATGCAGAACCTCGGCGAGAGCTCCACGCCAACGCAGGGCTCTGTGCTCTTCGGCACCGTCAACGGCATGATTGGTGAGGTGCCCCCTCCGCCTCTTCCTTCCCTCGCTCGCTCGCCCGTCCTCCCATCACAGTCTAGGGTAGTGTGTGATAACTTTGTAATGTAAGTGACCTTTACTAAATTAAGCGTCAACGGTCTGCGGCTTTTTTGGACTGATCCTGAGTCTTTTTTTTTTTACATAAAACATAACACAAATGCCCCTTTGTCAGTGCACTACTAGATGAAGGCCAACCGACGCCATGTTGGCCTTGGTGGTTGTTTGGCCATACTTCACTACGCCGGTCAGTGCAGGTTGGTGAACGGAGGGAGCTGGATCACCGGGTTCAGAGCGCGTTGTGCGAACTGCTGCACCATCATTTAAACTGTCACGTGACACCAGAATCAGCTGTGAATAAGTCATTGTTATTCAAACGAGGGTATTTTTTCTGAAAAGTTTAACTTTTTTCTCTTTATATTTCTCTTTCAAAAAGCAGTTGACCAGTAAATCTTACATTTTAAAAACAGTTACTTGGTGTAGGTGTTCTATAACCACATACAGCATTGATGACTGTTGTCCTGTTTGCTACCCGATCAGCGGGAGTCGAAGGTGGAAGTTTACATTGCTCCGACCTACCAAAGAACCCTGCATTTTGCAGTTCTGCTAATTTTCATGTGTATTGATCCCTACATTTTTCCAAGCACTTTCCAGTATATTGGTGTTGCCCTTAAACGAATTTCCTAACTCTGCTCAAAACCTCTGCCATAAGAAACGTCTGGGCATACTCTAAATTTAAAGTGCAGTGTCATGTGGAACACCCAAGTGAGCGAACAGGCACGCTTGTGTGTGTGTGTGTGCATGTCTGCCTGCGTGGTTGTTTGTTTAAATGCTGTGTGTGTAGCAAGTTGTGGAAATGTTTGCCAACCTGCGCTTGTTTGCACAGGGCTGGTGACGTCACTGTCGGAGGGCCTGTTCACGTTGCTGCAGGACATGCAGGGCCGCCTCACCAAGGTCATCAAGAGCGTGGGCAAAATCGAGCACTCCTTATATCCTTGAGAGGTTGACGTATGTGCAGCCGCTGTGCACTTTACTATACCACTTGGAAGTTTTTTTTATCACTTTCCAAAAAAGGTTGAATGCATTACCTCTCTCTGTCTGGCTGTCTGTAGCGAGGGGTCACAAGATAACTCTCGTAACGATGATCCAATATAAATTTTACTTTGGTATAACTTTCTGTTGCTAATGTAGACTTACCCGATTGATAACTAAGTTGATCAAAGGGTTGCCCAGAACGTGTAGATGCAAACCAGAGCCAAATGGACTTTACAAATATGCAAGTACATTTTGCCCTGACCACTATCCATTTCCATTGGTTTTCATACCACTAATTAAATCATTCTCAGGACAAATGTATGTTGGAGAGCTTTAAATTTTTCATGCATAACATGATTTTCAGTTTTTATCTTTTTTTTCCTTGTTTCAATATTACATTGACCTGGTCAGGTAGTGGACATGCATTATTGCCACAAGTGTTTAAAGAAGCCGGCTGACAGATACTGGAGAACTCCATGAGAAGTCGGGCATATAATAGAGAAGAACTGGAAATATAAGGACATTTGCAGCATGCATTGCAAGACATTTTTTTATATTATGACATTCTTAGGCAAAAAAAGCCAACCAACTAATTTTGAAACTGTGATGGTTATCATCAACTTAATAATGGACAATTAACAACATAGGATGCAATGCGGTATCCACCAAGAGAAGGGAGGGGAGTTGCGTCATTGCCACTGCGAAGTCTAACATACCGAGGCTCAGGAAGACGCCTGACCGCCAGCTGCCTCGGATTTGTTCACGTCCTTAATGCCAGCCCTGCACCTGGAGATCATTCCACAACGAGCGAAAGACAGAAGCAGCGACGGGTTTCGTGGATGGGGACCTCATCGAGAGTTTCCTGGACCTTAGCCGCCCCAAGATGCAAGAAGTGGTGGCCGGCCTGCAGGTGAGAGGAGAGGGCCGGTGGCACTGGAGATGTATTTCGAGCCTGTGTTGGGCCAGAGCCAGAAATACCGCGACCACCGATGATGATATTTTAATTCGTAAGCACGAGTGAGAGAAAAGTTTTAGGTTAGTGAGCGAGTTGGCGTAAGGAACCGCGAGTGGTGTGCGCGATGTATCGGCGTTTGTGTTTCAGATGCGAGAATCTTAGTAGTTGGTGGGGGGGGGGGGGGGGAGTGTGAGAGAGCGAGTTGGCGAGCTATTTTCATTTTCCGTGCGTTGTCAGATTGACGACGGGAGCGGCATGAAGAGGGAAGCGACGGTGGACGACCTGATCAAGACTGTGGAGGAGCTCACGCGAATCCACTGAGCAGCGGGCATCTTCCACTGCACATGCTGTCCCAAACATCAGTAGCCCTTCATTGACCACCCCTCCCCGCCGAAGACATAGGATTTACCCTATTTTGCCTGAACTAGTTTTTCCTTTGTTAATTTTACCCACTTCTACCCTGCATTGTTTCTCTTTACCTTCCCTTTCCCCAACTTGTGTTCCGTTGTTGACAATTTGCTTTCACTCACCACACACACGTAATGCTCTTTCAACCACTTCCCTTTTCTGAATGATCCCTGTTATCGAGACGGCGATGAACACTGTCGTGCTTGTACTGTGCCACACCCCCGCCTCGCTCATCTGTACATTTGGACAACAGGAAGCATGGCCCTTGTTTCAGAGGAAGTGGTTTTTTTGTTATTTAACTGCTCAGGAGGGGTTGCCCTTCCGCATGGGCACCTACTTATAATAAAATATTCAGCTATGCCTCTTGCTGCCCAACTGTCTAGTTACCCCAAACAAACAAATGTTTGTTGCCCAGCTCTGCCTCGTTTTATCAAAAGCCCAGCTACACCACGACCCAATTATGTCTACATTTATTCAAAACTGCAGCCACCAATTTAGCCAATCAGTTGTATCAATCGCGCAGCTTTCCTCTTACTCGAATGCCTCATCCTGTCGCTCAAACATCCAACTATCCAGTTTAACAGCTTTTCAATCACCAAAACATCCAGTGACCCATTTATCTTAACAGGCAGATATTCGGTTATAAAGCTGCATCGTACCCAAGACTTATATTTCTCAGCAAGCAACCCTGTTACCTGATATCCAGCTGCCCAAACTGTAAAAAGTAAAATTCATGACCATCTTCCAAAGGCCTCTTGGGCCACTGTTTCCCCAGCAGCTCTTGTTCGCAAAAGAATAGTACTACAGATGTCGAGTTGTATTTGCTGATGACACACAGTTGATATTGATGCAGCTGCTGCAGAAACAGATTAATCCAGAAATATGTTTGGATGATGGATCTGATGTTATTTTGTTGTGATGGGTGTATACATTTTATGCTAACTTGTTACTGAAATACAACCCACCTTAGCATGTAATAATGTACAGTTTTGCTATACTGCCCTGAATACCCCAATGTTGCTGAGTTGTCCTTTACCTTTTACAAGAGCAATTTTATCAGAATTGAAGAGGCCATTCCATGCTGATGAGACACACGAAGTCAAAACTTGTCCAATTGACTGCTTGAAAAAAAATCCTGATGGATATCAGTCCTGCGATCCTAAAGTTTATTTCACGTTAACCCCTCGTTTGTATATTTATTTTCCACAATCTGCCAATATGGTTAACCAATCTCACCCGTTCTGCCAATAAATAGCCTGCTACGAGTTGCTGCCTGAGAAAAACACACCTTGCCACCGTTAAGCCGTGCTTTATGACGGCGAAACGTTGAAAGTGGGATACGGGTTTTCCAGTTACCCTTCAGGACACGGCGCAGCCACTAACCATCTCCCTGGTCCATATACCAGTTGCAAAACTTTAAAGAGCCAGCAAGCCATCATATACGTTTTCACTTTTATAAATATGACGTGCAGCTTCACAAATATCTACCTGCGGCCTGCTTGTCTGATCAGACGGCTTTGCCTGTACGCTCACCGGCACAAGCCAATGCTGCTGAGAGGGGGGGGGGGGGGGGGGTCTGAGCACTTGGCGAATCTGCTCTGCGCGCTCACCTCCACACACGCCCTTTTGCTCATTGGCATAGTACAACACAGGACACTATTCTCCCAACACAAGAGGCCAGTCTTTTCTCCTATGTCGCAAGAATTAATGCTGCGCGCCAACAAGTGGCGAGTGACGTTTGATTTTGACCAAGGAGTTGTATTAGAATGACGCTACCTTGGTCTGCGGTCTGCTTGTCTGAAATCGTGTACCTCAGATGTTTTCCAACACTATTGTGGGTTTTGCTGACTACGGGGGTTCTTTAAGGATCGTTTATTTGCTTCGTCGCATGAATTGCAGCACAATTGGGACATTGACATTTTAAGAAAATTACTCCTCCCTTTGCTCATAACCTGTAAATATTTAGAACAGTAAACTACTTGTTTGGTTATTGCCAGCATTGACCCAGATCATCGCCACCACGCCGGATCTTTAAAATGTGCACCACCTTTTTGGTCATTTGTGTTTAATGAACTCGCCGGTCTCCACCATCGGAATGTGGAATTGCAACCACTGACTCAGGATCATTCATGGGGATGAGTTTCAAGACATTAGTGCTATGTTAGATGTAGCTGTATTAACTTATTGCACACTGCATACCATTCATGAAAGTAACATGTACGAACCGTTCACGAATGATATGTGCAAATATTTGAGTTGATGACAAAACAGTTTTTTGGAAAGGGACTTCACAGTGCATCTAAAACTCATTTTTAGTGTCAATAAAGTTATGTAAATCTGGTTAAACGCGAGCGCGCGCGCCTACAAGATTATAAGACGCGTGCCCCAATGCTTGCTTGAAAATACAGGGAAGTCAAATGTCCTCTAATCCCAAGTATGACATCTCAACACTCACGCACACAGGAACCAAAATGTAAGACTGAATCTCACACTTGTTCGGGGCCCAATCTTCTGTTGTGTATACTCTCTGGTTCTTTCGGTAAAGTCACGAAGGTAGAAACAATAATAGATCACGACGTTTCGATCGCCTGATGACGGTTGCTTGCGTTACGATCGAAACGTCGTGTTCTATTATTTTTTCTATCTTCGTGACTTTACCGAAAGAACCAAAGAGTATGGATTCCTACAGTCACGAAAGCTTCAAATCAAGATTCTATTGTGCAGTTATGCAATCTTAATATCAAGTTCATTCTTGTCTCGTGTCCACCCGAAACTTACGATAGTTCTCGTACGAGATTGAAACACCCTTACTCCAAATCCGGCTATTCAGCACGCACCCTCGTCCAAGTCCAAAATCTCTCGTCACTAGTCAAAATCCTATAATATTAAGTCGGTCTTATTTTCGTCAGTTTTTTTCTATCGTAGGACAACTTTAAGCTTTACACGTAAAGTTTTTAAGGTCCTAATACCCTCCCACTGCCATTTACACAACATAAAAAACACGATCAATATCAATGTAAATATGAAAACAAAAATACCCAGTGTTTTATAGTTTTTGCTTGCATTAATCTTGAATAAATTGCAGTTTATCTTTACTGTCTATGCTGTGGTGTGTTGGTGGCATGCTTTGTAAACCCGGGTGGCGCACAATCGCACATCAAACTCGCAGAGGGCCGCGCTATAGGCGGGATATGAGAAATGGTTGGACATGTAAACATCTTGGTTCTTTCGGTAAAGTCACGTAGAATAGAAATAATAAAATAAAACAATAAAATCATTCTCACGACCTTTCGGCCACAACGCAAGCAGCCGTCCTCAGGTGGAGAACAGGTCTGTCGAGAAGACAGTCTGAATGACACCCCAGGCTTGGAGCGTCTAATTAAGCTGGGATGGAGGGGACTGATTTGCGTTGGAGGCAGGAGTCGCCGCAGAATCGAAGCCTTGGGACTGTCCTGCAGGATCAAGCCCATGGGTGTTGGCTAAACGTGTCGCGAAACGTCCTCGTCTGTAGAAAGTCTTTTCGTCGGGGAAAAAACTGACTCAACGTTCGTGGAAAAGTTCATTCCCTTTTCTTGCTTTGTCTGGTCTTGGACGTGTACATGGTGTTCGTGCGTCATAAGGCCGTTGCACTTCTTGAGCAGGGGTGTTAATGCAGTGTGCACTCCGGGGATGTGGAACAGCGTTGAAGTCACGGAGCAATCGTCTCGGCTCATTCTCATCAGCTTACTCCATCGTTGGACACCCCCCTCCCCCCTGTCCTTGCTCCTTCCAAGTTCAGCCTCAACTTTTTTTACTCACTTTTATTTAACTTGCCCTGTTTATAGCCTTTTAAAGCTTTGACGCTTAATATCTTCGGATCTACGAAGCCTAACGAGCTGATTGTTTTGTACACGGGCTCGCCTCTCGTGGCAATCGAAGATCCCACCGATGCTGGGCCTCTTCGTGTTTTTTTACTAAATCTTTTGTTGCACTATTTCAAACAGAATTATCCGGACAATAATGCACTATTGTCATTTTCTGTATTGAGATCTTAGAATGAATATGTACATAAACAAATAATGTTTTACAAGAGTAACGTAAAAAAAATGTCAAAAACAAGTTTATCAATGCGCACAATTTTAATTGCACTCAAAAGTACAAAATACATTGTTTTGACCCCAGAATACATCAAATTTGATATGCTTAATAAAAGTAGGTGGTTTCCTTTCGACATGTTTAATTTTCTTGGGTCTCTCGGTAAAGTCACGTAGATAGGTTCAAAGAAAAAAAACTATGACGTTTCGATCGTAACACAAGCTTTCCTGATGACGAACGCTTGTGTTGCGATCGAAACGTATTTTTTCGTAATTTTTGTTGTTATTTTCTTTGAACCTTTTTACTTGACTTTACAGAAAGACCCAAAGAAAATTAATTATTGCAGTCACGAAAGCTTTAAGTCAAGATGTTTAATTTTCTTCTTGCAAGCCACCCACTTTTATTCAGCACATCAAATTTGATTAATTCAGGGGTCAAAATGATTCACTTTGTACTTTTGAGTGCAAATAAAAGTGTGTACATTTTGCTTATGCATATGCCCGACTGCCTTGCCTTTCACTATAAAATGCACCCATTGTTTCCAGCGTCTTGGGATGTGGTCGCAATTGGACGCTGTGCACACCCACTCACATTTGTGTTGTTTGCAGATGGCATGTGGTGAAGGGTTGCACAAGGGAGGCATTTTATGTCGATGGCAGTACCCATCGATGAGTGGATTTCTGCCCACTTGACAGGCTTCAAATCCATGTCTAGAGATAATGCTCCTCTGCCACATAATAATGTACAGGTCAGCACTTTTAGAGTGCCACCTCTTTTCAGGTTCAACCAAAAACGAGGACACATGGGAAGAAGAATGTCTAAATACTTCAAGAGAGGAGAACTACACGTGTAAATGCATTGTCTACAGTGGTGTAATTTGTATGCAACTCACCAAAAAAAACACCCGGGTCTTTTTAACGTTACAAATTGGTTCCGATGACCTTTTTGTGACGTGTTCACATTTTGCCCTCGGTCGGGGGAAGTCCTCTAACGCTCCACCAACGCTTGATGCTACGCAAGCTCGGCAGCACTCGCACCAGCAGCAGGCAGCCTCTGCACCACCACCTCCACCACAGTATTTACATGAAGTGTTGTCTCATAACGACTCCCTTCATCTTCCTTCACTTTATTTCTCACCCACCTCTTTTATTTTTTTTAACAATTCAGCACAACACATTACCCATCCCTCCCACATCCGTCTCTACATGCAAATATATAACACGAATTTTTTTTTTACACATCCCATCGCCAACAGTTGACCTTTCACGATGACCAAAGCGTGGCTCGCAGTCGGTCTCATCTCAGCTGAAGCAGCTCACAACAAGTACATCTGGATCCGCGGACTCGTCAGGGTCTGGGGTCGGGGTTCAAACCTCCGCAGTTCCGAGGCAATTCGAGCCGCTCCTACGATGTGGTGCTTCAAGCACTCTGGGACGTTTCGTGGCTTGAATTTGGAATTAACTGTACGTACTGCCGCTTCAACGAACGATGTTGGGCAGCAATTTGCGAAATGATTCGCAGGCCATTTTTGTGAAACCACTGCTGGATGAAGGCCGCCTAATGCCATTGCGGCAGTTTCTCGGCCATGCTTAACCCACACGCTGGTCAGTGTAGGGGTCAAGGACCGGCTTAGATATCACTCGCCACTGTCGTTAGCCAGAGTTGGAGATTTAAAATGAAACTCGGGTTACCGGGTTCGCAGCACAGCGCACTCATCACTCCGATGATGCCACCGCTCTATCCCATCGATCATCACCGTCGTCGTCGTCGGCGGCGGCCATATAATCACTGATCGTGTAGTTAAAGATAATAATTAGCGTAGTTGTGGAAAATTTAATGAACAACGTAAATAAACAATGTCTCCAACATGTCACTCCACAGTATTACGTGGAGAGACTGGTATAATATAGGGGTCTTTAAATACGCCTGTTTTGGCAATCATGCACAGGTGCAATGCTTATTTTGTCATGAATTATCACCACAAATGAACTATGAAACACTGAAATGGCATGCATGTTTCTGTCAGTACGTTTTTAACCCATAAAAATTAAAAGACATTCTTTTGACAAATAGCATAACTTCTAATGTATGCGTTTGCTTTTGTAAGCTTTCTAAATGTAATTGTATACGTTTAAGCCGAATGTTTGTGAAGGGATATGGCATTTCAAAATTAAACATTTGTTTTGTCACTGGAAACCGCGTGCTGCAATAAAAAAAAAATTTCCCTGAAATTTCATCCGCATTTATTATAATAAGCACTATTGCGGGTTGGTGACAGATTTGTGGGGCGGGGGGGGGGGGAGACCTCCATTGCAAATACAGTACGATGTCCAAAGCAGTGGCTCATAACTTCATCAGCGAGTATCTAAGAACATCAGCGGTTGTGCCGTCCCTAGGGTACGGCATATCGGGGCGACCGCCCCGGGCCCAGCGCTTTGGGGGGGGGGGCTTAGACTTCACGGTGTCAGATGTAAAACTTGATTTGCCCCGTGCCCCGCACTCCGGTAGAGAAGACCCCGATAATCGGTGTTAGATTATAAATGCATACAATGTGTCGCTTGGAACCCTGGTTAAGACGACCCGATCAATTGCCTCATTTCAAGATGGGCAATGTCCACTGTACAGTGGTGAAAGAATGTCTCCCATTGGCCTAAAAATACATGAATATAAACTCCTTTTGTAAAACTACTCATTAATATGTACGAACATAGATCATGGCTGCATTGTGACCGTACAACCTCCATATTTTTGCAAATTCCAATATTCTGCACACATTACTCAATTGGAATTATACATAGCATCCATCACCCCCCCCTGCTGGCAGACGGATGCCCCAGGTCACTCTTACTACCAATGAGACTTAACCTGGTCGCAAACGGCGAGTCACAACATCCACTTGAAAATGTAACCTTATTACATGACCCGAAACAACCTCGCATATTATGGCTGTGCAACTCTATGAAATTACAGAATCGTTGCACAGTAAATAAAGACCGATGTTTTCAAACTATATATACACGAATAGGTGGCATGCATACCTGCACGTGTCACTGTTTTTCGCTACACTTTTCCAAAACGACCTGTATTCGGATGTTGTATTCTTTAGAATCTGGGAGGGGAGGCTTCGACCAACATTGAACTGACGAGCGCGATGTACACACACACGCGTGCAATATACCACACGTGCATTTGCTTACGCGAGACGTATGAGTCTTAGTCCGTGTAAGGCACACGTGTGTACAAAGTCATTCATTATTTATGTACATCGTGCAAAAAAACAGGCGGCTATGTCCTCAGGGGACAGTGAAGATAGGAGAACAATGAACGGCACAGGTGTGGGTCTCCCTTTGTTTATAGAACAAAGACGCCCTGCTGCTGCTGCTGATGCTGCTGCTGATGATGCTGCTGCTGATGCTGCTGCTGCTGATGCTGCTGCTGATGCTGCTGATGCTGCTGCTGATGCTGCTGCTGCTGATGCTGCTGCTGCTGCTGATGCTGCTGCTGCTGATGCTGCTGATGCTGATGCTGCTCCTGCTGGCCGCTGTGGCTCTGTGGAGAGTGAGGGTGGTCAGGGGGTGCGTGTGTGTGTATGTGTGCGTGTGTGTGTGCGTGTGTGCGCGTGTGTGTGTGCGTGTGTGCGCGTGTGTGCGTGTGTGTATGCGTGTGTGTGTGTGCGCGCGTGTGCGTGTGTGTGCGCGTGTGCGTGCGTGTGTGCGTGGGATGGGGCAGAGCAAGGAGTTGTGTTACAATGGGAGTGGCTGGGCAAGCTGAAAGGGGAGGGTGCATTGCTGAAGGCAGATGAGTGCGTGCGAGAGGGAGGAAAGGTGATGGAGCGAGGAGTGCGTGAATGATGATTGGGAGCGGGTCTGTGTGAGTGTGCGTGTGGGAAGCGGTATCGTAGTGGTTAGCGCGCTGCGCTACGAACCCGGCGACCCGAGTTCGATTCACCCTCACGACCAACACCGGTGACGATTATCTGAACTGGTCCTGGGCCTCCCCGAGAGTCTACTCAGCCTCAAATGAGTACCCAGGAGCTGTGTGTAAACATCGCCACTAGGGAGACAAAGGCGGCCGGGCGTGGTCCTGACCACCCACCTCATCGTGTGCCGTGCCGACCTTCATAGGTGATCGCTAACAGCACTTGCCACCAAAAAGTCTCTTTGTGTAAACTTTACATTTCTATTTTATCTCCCGAATTGCAAGTGTTTGGCGTTCTCTCTGTCGACGTGAAGTGCGCTGTTTGATCGACGTGCGTGTGCGCGAGTGAGTGAGGAGTGAGCGGAGAGTGGTGGCCTCGCTCTGGTCACTGCGCCACGCAAAACCCGAGTTGGAGTCCCACTCCCCGGCCACTGCCGACATCGGTGGCGAGTGGCAATTAAAACTCTTCCCGAGACTTCCCCTAGGTCGACTCAGCCTCATCAGGTGAGTACGCCGCGGTGTATAAACATCAGCGCTGGGAAGACAAATGCGGCTGAGCGTGGTGTTGGCCCAGACCAAATAGGTGCTCGCTAACAGCGCTTTGTCCCAAAGGTCTGCCAACAAGGTTATTATGTGAGAATATGGTTTTCCCCTTTTTTTCTGGCAACAAAACAGGTGTTGAGATTTTAAAACACCAAACTAAAACCTTTTTACAAGGAATCATATCTGCATTAACCACAATACTTGTGGTCAGAATGCAAACTAAAAACATACTCTGATAATATATGCATTGTCTTTGAAACTGATTGGTCCACACCAGAGACAGCTTTCTTTTGAGCCTCGTCTCAAAACGGTGTTAGACCAGAGGACGCCAAAAGGCGTTATATTTCACTGGCGTTCGTTGGGTTTTTGGTCGACTGCAGGAGGAGTGTGTGTGTGTACGTGCTGTGTGGAAGCCGTGGGAAGAGGCTGGCTAAGAGAAATATTAAAGTCACGAGAAGTGGCGTGGAGAGAGCCTCGGGGAGTGTGCGTGCAAGGCGTGGTGCTGGCCACCCACCCCCTCGTGTACCGTGCCGGCCTTCAGGGGTGCTACTCGCTAAAAGCACTTGCCCCAACAGTCTGTTAGAGGCTACACGAAGGGGATCTTTGTCTTTGTGAGGGTTGGGGAGCGGCAGCGCGTTAGGGTTAGCGCGCTGCGCTGCGAACCCGGCGATCCGAGTTCAATTCCCACTCCGCGGCCAGCGCCAGTGGCGCCACCCCTAGGTCGGCTCAGCCTCAAATGAGTACCTGGTGCGGTGTGTAGACACCGCCACTGGGGAGACAAAGGCGTCCGTGCGTGGTTGCTGGCCACCCACTCACGCGTGAGCCGTGCCGGCCTGGATAGGTGCTCGCTAACAGCACTTGCCCCAACAGTCTGTTAAGGCTACACGGGGGATGTTTTGTTGTTGTTGGTGTCTTTGTGAGGGGGGTGACAGAGTCCTGTGTGTGAGTGAGCGAGTGAGCAGGGAACCTGATCTTCACGTCTCCCACCCTTCCTCCTCCCACCTCTCTGCCTGCAGCTGCGTGGAGACACAAATGCTCCTCCCTGCCCTGTGCGATCCGCACATCAAAGGCGGACCCACCTCCCTGTGCCACGCACCTTTTACCGTGGATATTACAACGTTTCGACCGTGGGAAACATATATTTAGCTCATCTAACGTCGGAAAAGTAAGGACTGCGCCGTGCTGTAATGTGTAACGATCTGTTGTGTGCATTGGACGAATGTGGACTGGCTTCACAGTGGTTCGTCACCGTTACCATCGCTGGTATCATCATTATCATCATTATTCGCGTCGTATATTGTATCTGGAAAATATACGAGCTAACGTTTCGGTAAGTTATTCCTTCTGAGCACCGGAGAGAAAGGCAGAGGCAATTGCGCACAGATACAGTATTTTACTAAAGTGATGCACTGACACAGCGATGACATTAGAGAAGCCTTGGCACAACGTTCGGAGTCGTTCGTTATCCAACGTGCATTTTATTGGATGTGGTGTAAATATGGTCAGTGGAATAGGTTAAACAGTGGCCGTGGCTACCGCAGTTGCGAATAAAAACAAAAAGTCTTCATCACATTAAATTTGGATGTAAAGAGAGACAGACAGGGGAGAGAGCGGGCGTTCGAGAGGACGCCTCGTAGGGATACGGAACGACGCAATCTGTTCGCGTGTGAAGGCGCTATTAGATGGGTTGCATGCGTGCATGTATGTTGAACTTCTTTCGCGCCGTACATCGCCAACCGTGCTCATGGGAGCTGCCCGTGTCGTGAGGCTGGCAACGGCTTTAGGAGGCTTTTCATCGCGCAGTGGATTGATCGTGGCGAATGACGGTGATGATACCCGTTTGTGCGATACACTGGCACCCACCTGAGGAATGTGGAATTTCCACCAATTGTCTCGGGGTTGCCAAATGAGGTGAGCACCAACCCACGCTAATTTAAGCCGAGAGGCTTCTTGAATTTCAGAGAGTAAATATGGACCGCGCCAAACGAATGAGATTTAGATCTTTAACATTGTTTCTCTCTCTCTCTCCACGTTTCGAGAAACGTTCGAGCGTCAACAGGGTCTCGTGTGAAATGGAGTAAACATTTCTCTGAACACAAGACAACGTGCTCTATGCACGTTTGCCGTGTCGGCGCATTTATCGTCACGCACATTTGTGTGTTGCGCGCGTGTGGCGCCTTACCGGCGTAAATTCTTCCACTCAAAGCGTCATCGTCACATTAATGCTCAACATACAAATAGACATTTCTGAACGATGAGAATACAAATATCAGAAAAAAGTGTTTGGATACTTATAGTTTGAGATGATACAATGAGCTTGACGGTTATTCACTGGAACATCTTATCGTGGAATCCACACCTGTTTTGTTGTTTGAGATTATCCTACCTGAGATAGCAACAACAAAAAACCCACTCTCCTACTTTCTTTTCAATGTATTCCTCTATTGATATTTTATGAAAACAAAGTGCCTGGAAAGTGGCCATGCTTTTATCACCATAGTTTAATTTTCATCCATATTAAAGGTTTTTTTGCATTAGATCGCGTAAATATAAATGTGCCGTTAGCCCACCACCACCCGACATAGCCAATTAGTAAGCGCTTACACGTGACCAAAACGTGCTAATTTGCTATTGCTTCAGCGCATCGGTGTGACGGCGAGTAAACCCACAACATTTAAAATTTGAGTACGACGTTTCGCTGGTGATTACAACCAGCTTCATCAGGTGATTTTCCAAATCTAACCCACGAACCTTGTGTAGTATGAATAATATTGGTCGCACATAGCCTTCGTGTTTCCTGGCCCATCTGTGTACATTGCAGTTGAAATGGTTCATTCATGTGTTGTCTAACATAAGCTGTGTCATCAGCAAAGTCGAAGTCAAACAATTGCTTCCCCTCCTTTCCCGGAGTCATTCAATACGTGATGTAATCGATCCACGTGTTTCTCGTTTCGCGACATAGTCTATTACTGTAGCAAACAAGAGGGTGGAGGGGGTGGCGACATACATCCTCTGAGGTATTCCAGTTATGATGTTGAACCAAATATCATTTACCCTTTCTTCCGTCGTCATAGCACACAGTATTTACACCAACTATACTCGGGGTCGGAAACCAAACATAACAAGAAGAGCCATTGTTTTCGAATTCGGTTAAAAAATACCGAATATTTCAAAATCCGGAATGCATGTGACTACGAGACGGTGGTTATTTAATTTGTAACCTCACGAAGCGCGTTGATGAGCCGCATGCAACTTCGGAGCCGCAGGGTGCCGACCCCTGCCTATGGTAAACTCGACTCCCAGGGTAAACTTGACTCCCAGGGTAAACTGGACTCACGTGGTAAACTGAACTCACGTGGTAAACTGAACTCCCACGGTAAACTGGACTCCCGTGGTGAACTGGACTCCCATGGTGAACTGGACTCCCAGGGTAAACTAGACTCACGTGGTAAAATGGACTCCCATGGTAACTGGATTCCTAGAGTGAACTGAACTCCCATGGTAAACTGGACTCCCATTGTAAACTGGATTCCTAGAGTGAACTGAACTCCCATGGTAAACTGGACTCCCACGGTAAACTGGACTTCCATGGTAAACTGGACGTCCATGGTAAGCTGGACTTCCACGGTGATATATGCTGTGTCGGGTAGTCAGGGGTGGGCAACCAAAATAACAAGAAGAGCATTTTTTTTCGACTTTCAAGAGCAGCAACTGCAGTCCTTAAGGAGCCACCGCCCGCGTGCTCACGAGCCGCAGGTAGCCGAGCCCCGCAACGGTACCCGCTCCGCGTGATGTTGACCGTCTTTACAGATTTGTCACGCACGTGGAGGGCTTTCCCAACATTCACCCTGTCAGCGTGCAGCATCATCGTCGAAGGCTTCTTGAGGCGGACAAGCTTGTTCGTGACGATCTGCGGGTGGAATTTAGTACGTCGTGCCCACATATTAAATGCTGTGACGTACCCTTACAAGCAACGCGTAAGCACACATACACACAGACACACCTACAAATAGTGTCACAAAAAATATCACCTCTTTGAAGCCGGTGTAATTAGCGAGCACCTGTGAAGGTCGCCACGGCACGCGATGTGTCCGACACCGCGCCCGGCCGCCTTTGTCTCCCGCCTGGCGATGTTTAGGCGTCGCATCAGATACTCATTTGAGACTGAGTCGACTTAGGGGAGGCCCGGGACCCGATTCGGATAATCATAACAGGTGATGGTCGTGAGTGGGAATCGAACTCGGGTCACCGCGTTCGTAGCGCAGCCCGTTAACCGGTTACACAGTATACACAGACAAAGTTACCCCCGGTAGCTTTCACAGACTTTATGGTCAAGTGCTGTTAGCGAGCACCTATGAAGACCGGAACGATACACGAGGGGGGTGGGTGGCCAGCGCCACGCCCGACCGCCTTTGTCTCTCCACACTCAGATATATCCGCCTGCTGTAGTCGTGCCGGTATCACCACTGCTCCTACCTCCCATTCGCTCTCCTCATGCCCTCCCCCCCCCCTCTCGTGTCCAATCACCGCCTGCCCCACTCGCTTGTTCCTACTGACTCCCCCGCCGCTCTGACTGCAGCTGGGGGGGAGGTTCTTAAATTGGTGGCACCGTTGGCGAAATGTGACCCGCGAAGCCTTAAACACGACCAACAAGCTACTGCCAATATCTACGGGGATCTATTTGTCAGCATCAAAGATGATGAAAAAGCCATTGCCTGTAGTCGGTCGCCTATGGGTCACCCCAAAGGGGTGGGTGGGTGCGTGGGTGGGGGGCAAAGGTGTCACTCACCGCCGCCCCTCCCGCCTCTCACTACGACGCCTGCACCGCCCCAACAAAATATTTGAGCCACCAGCCCCACCGCTGCTTCTTCGGGCGTCACGGTGTCGAAATGTTAACTACCCCCGCCGAGGATGCAGGAGGTCGTGGGTTCGATCCCGACCCTGACGCCTGCTGTATATTTGTAGTTTGCGTGTCTCTCTCTCTCCCCGTGGTCGCGTGGACTTTTCTCCCTTCCACATTTTAGAATCAACACGCGTTTAGAGTATTTGACAGCTCCAAATTTCCACGCGACGAGCCCTCTTCATCGAGCTATCATTTGCGATGGCCAGGTCGCTTCTGAACAAAAAAGCCGCATAGCTCAGTGGGTCTTCCTTACCCCAAACAATCCCATGCAGGCGTGGCCCACGCCGCTGCAGCGAGCTGCCTGGGGCTACCGGCACGCCTACCGCACCCATGGGCACGTCACCCGGTAAATAAACGTCCTCTAAGTAGAATATGTAACGATCACAGTACATGCAATGAATTGTTGTGATTCGAATCAAAACTTTGTTTATTATCCATAATAGAAGGGGTTTTTCTTGGAGGGGTGGGATGGAGGGGTATGATCGCGTAGCTATAAATGTGTCGTTAAACCCGCCACCACCCGACAAAGCCAATTAGTGTAGGTTTGCCACGTAAACAAAACGTGCCAATTCGTTGCTAGTTCAGCACACACCGGTTGTGTGTTGGAGATTAAATCCGCTACATTTAAAATTCGAGTACGACGTTTTGACGGTATAATTATAACCAACCTCATCAGTCGACAGCCAGAATTGTGGAGAAATCCTCCCGTTTCGGTCTTAAATACCCCCTATGTGCTTTTGTGTATATATATATTGTGGCCTCTAGTGGCTGGAGGGTTCATGACATGCAGCATATACTCACATCGAAATACCAATTAGTCTTACGCACGCGATTCGATGTTATCCCTGCGTGTTGACCTCTTCCACCACGTTTCCCCCACGCCCGGACCTCATCGTCCAACGACCGTCGACTCTCCGCCGCTCTGGAGTGTCTCGACACGAGATGTTGGATTTAGACGTGGCGGACGCCGCCGCAACCGCATAATCACTGACATCAACGTCGCTGCCGCCGTGTGTTTGCACTCCGTCTCCGCTGTCGCGACGTAGAGGCGTGTGCAGGTGACAGCGGCCGCGGATCGACGCGAGGTAATTGGGACACGCGAGAACATGGATGACGTCACCAATCACCGCGTCGAGGTCAGTGTCGCCACGTGCCGGGGTTTCTTTGTTTATCCCCTTTGTGTCTGTTTTGTTTCAGTCGGGTGAACAATGCTCTCAAACACGTTTCTTGTGCTTGACTTAAAGCTTTCGTGGCTGCAGGAATTCATATTCTTGGGTTTTTCGGTAAAGCCACGTAGATAGGTTCAAATGAAATATCATTATTATAACATATATTTTTATGTTTTTTTATATTTTCTTTGAACCTATCTACGTGACTTTACCGAAAGACCCAATAATACGTTTTTGTGCGTTTTTGTTTTTGTTGTTATAAGTTGGTTGCGAATCGTTGTAATCTCGTGGAAGGTTATGAATAGTTAAAGAGAGGCCGAACGCAACACAACCAATACGGTCCACTAAATGATTCAGGCTCACATCAATCTCGCGCGGCCACGTCATGCGGCAGTTCTGTAAATACGACATCCAAATCACCCCTCTTCAAAACCCCCTCGCTCGTGGCCGCACACGCTCGCCTGTGAGCGGCCACGAGGCGATGACGTCCCCTGTCGAGAGCGTGTCACGTGACGTCGCCTGTGGAGACAGCGAGAGAGGAGGCCACTTTGTGACGACACACGGCAGGGGGGGGCCTGGCACGCGTGCGCGTCTCCACTCGCTCCTGTACGAATGACCAACCACCAACAATGGCTTTGTGACTTACGCCTTCTTGTTGCGCTGTCTGTTTCGACAATATCTGTACGTTTATTTTCTCGTGCGGAGGGAGTTGGGGGGGGGGGCGAAATTTAAGAAACGTTCCCATCCTTTCGACTGCCACGTCGGGAGATCGAACCGGCAAGAAGCAGCAGCAGCAGCGTCCCCAGATTCAGGATGCGCTCGTATGCTAATTTGTTCGCGCTCATTCTTCCCGACTGTTTGGGACCGCCTGGCGTGTCGCCCCCACCCTCCCCCCCGCGGGATGGGTTGGTTTGGTTGTGGGGGGGGGTGCAGCCAGAGGTGGGACAAAGTCATTGTTATGCAAGTCCAAGTCGAGTCTGAAGTCATCAAATTCATGACTCGAGTCTGACTCGAGTCCAAGTCACATGACTCGAGTCCACACCTCAGAGGTGGGACAAAGTCATTGTTATGCAAGTCCAAGTCGAGTCTGAAGTCATCAAATTCATGACTCGAGTCTGACTCGAGTCCAAGTCACATGACTCGAGTCCACACCTCAGAGGTGGGACAAAGTCATTGTTATGCAAGTCCAAGTCGAGTCTGAAGTCATCAAATTCATGACTCGAGTCTGACTCGAGTCCAAGTCACATGACTCGAGTCCACACCTCTGGGTGCAGCACCTCGCCATGTTCTCCGTGGACAAGCGAGCGGTGCAGCGGGCGGTGCCCGTGGGAGTGCGCAAGCTGCACGTGCTGCAGCACAAGGGCAAGGTGTGGAGCCAGGAGATGATGCTGCAGGTCAATGGCCACTCCGTCTGCCTCATCAGCAAAGACACGCAGGTGAACCAATCTACCCCCCCTCCCGCCCCCGCCCCCCAGCTTCTCTCCTTACGTTTTTGTTTTCCCCGCTGACGATCGCGGCCGGTTCTATTGCACCTCGGAAGCCGAGCAAAAGTTTGGGCCTGCGCGGCGTTTCGGATGGGTGACCACCGTGAAAAAACTAAAAACTGAACAGCGTTTTATTTTTTACAAAGTGAAGGCCGCTGAGCTATTAGCTTCTTTGTCAGAAGCGACCTGGCCACTAATGATAACCCAATGAAGTGGCTTATCATGTCCACATTTCTATCAGGCCCAGCACTCGAAATAATCTACATGCATGTTTATAAATGTGGAGGGAAAAACCCGGATGACCCGGAGAAAAAATAATCCATTTATTCCTAGCACCGGGACCCATGCCAACCGCGCTACACCACCGAGTTACCGGCACGACACACAACGCTAAACGTGGAGATAAGACAAGATTCAAGTGTGTACATGACGACAAACCCCATCACAAGATAAACGTTTGTGAAAGCCGGCTTCCAGAGACCTACGGCAGCAGTGAGCCTTCAAGACTACGCTACTGATGAGTCCTAATGTGGACAAAAGCGGCCTACGGTTTTGTCTTTGAGTCACCGCTGCCTATTGGCATGGCCACATTTTCGCAGCTCTCTGAGTTGGTGGTTCCAATTGACCAAACGGATCACACATTCAGTTCTTTTGAGACGGTGGTTTGGACAAGGCCGAGAGGCATTAGCACGCCTCAGTGCCGCCAGCACTTTGTGCGCTGCTCAATCGATAGGACACGAACCGAAAGCTGCAGAGGGCCACGGGCGGGCGTTTCGTGGCAACGTTGCAGGCCGTGAATTGCGATCCACACCCAACTCTTGCAGGACGTGCTGGAGAACTTCCCGCTGGCATCGGTGCAGCGCGTGGAGGCCGTGCCGTTTGAGCTGGAGATCGGGTCGTCGCGGGAGGATGGCCTCCTTGCCATCCTGTGCCAGGACGACACGCAGAGCCGGCCCGACATTCACCTCTTCAGCTGTCGCGAACTACCGGTGAGCCTGCTTCGGGTTGCGCGCGTCGAGTGGAGCGCGCAGTTCAGCGTGCGGTTTTCCGGCCCCGTATCGGGGGAAAAACGATGCTCGCGATGAGCGGGGAAAAAATAAATAACTAAAAAACTCATCGAATTCGTCAATAACGCTGCCTTCTAAAGAAAAAAGTGACGCTGCGGGCAATGGCTCTTCTTCACGCCACGTGTGAAGGAGGTGCTTTGCGAGCAGCACTTGCCCCGACAGTCTGTTGAGGCTGTACGGGGGATCTTTGTTCGTTGTGCATCGTCGAGAATAACCAATGGATGGCACTGTGTGGAGCGCAGTCGGTGCATCGGCCACTCATCTCAGTCAGTCACCAGGGTCTATGACCTACTCCCAGCGTGCGTTCGGCACTCCACGTGGCCTCACAGTGCACTTAGCCTGGCACAACAGCTGCGGTGACTTCACCGCCACTTGGTGACGAATTGCGGCTGTTTGTTGGTGTTTGTTGTTGTTGTGTGCGTTGTGCATCCCGTTAGGTGAACCTGGTCTGCCAGGACATAACGAGCGCGCTTGTGGACGCTCAGGCGGGGAAGGGCCGCGCGAAGGAGCGTCCTGCCGTCGTGGAGTAATAAGACGCAAAACTCAAACGCGGCACCGACACACCCGGGCACACTGCGCGCGCGCCACAACTGTCGCGGGTGTTTCGCGACGCGGCTGGACGAACCGGGAAGTTGCTCGTGACGGTTGCCGTGGCGAGCGCTGGCTCCTTTCAAGACGTCTCGCCACGGCCATCGCGAAAGAGCAGCTCTTGAGAATATTCCCTCGCGCAGACAACAACGCACAACGCGACACCACCGCAGCAGCAACCGCACCGGCAGCGAACGACAACAACTCGCGATTGCCAACGGGGCAGCGGTCGTCGCACAACAGCGGACACGAACTCAACGCGACACGACTGGCACGACAAACACACGCAACACTATACACACACTCTCAACACAGCAGCAACAACAATGCCAACGACAGCGACAACAACAATAACAGGATATACAATAACACTCCGATGCACATCTCCCTATTTTACGTCGTTTCCCAAATACGTCGTCACGTGATTATCACCGCCAACCCGATTTGCGTCGCTGTCTCGTATCCGTCGCCTCTCAGCCTTCCCAATCAAATACCACCCCTTCCCATTAGCACGGTTGGCTACGTGGCGGTGCGAAAGAAGTTCAACGTTGCCCTGCCAATCGCTTCGATTCACGTCGTTTCGATATTCGTCGTCGCACCTTGCTAGGAACGCATCCCCGACGTTAACCGGGGTATTGCCGTGGCAGCGCAGTGCCGGCTCAACGACCAACAAACAACGCCGCCGACAACTCCACTAACACCGCACGCAGCGCCAATGTAACAGCGTCCACCAGCAGTGCGCTAACCACCCCAATCACCAGCGAAACGGCGCAGTACTCGAACTGTGAATGTTGTCGGGTTTGCTCTCCAACACGTGGGTGTGCTGAAGCAGTCCACTCGTTGGCACGTTCTGTTTACGCGACAAAAGTTACGAATTGGCCGTGTCGGGTGGTGGTGGCTTAACGATGTATATTTATATTTGCGTGATCTAACCCCCCCCCCCCCCCCAAAAAAAAAACCTGTTTATTACGAATAATATTGGTCGCGAAAGCCTACGTGTTAAACTTCATTTATTAGAATTATGTACACAATTACGTATGGAGTGTTTTTGATTCCACGAATGTATACTTAGGTGTCATGTGATTTAGTGGACGCTAAACACAGGGCAGACTAATGAGTCAAAAGAGCCAAGGTAGAGGACATATCAAATAGGTTTCAGCGCAAGCCAGGACGATGTCACGTTTTCTCAGTCACTGTCAGAACGGTGGGAGAACCCTCCTGCGCCGAACCTGTGTGGCTGCTCTGACCTTTGTTTTTGTTGAGTGTTGTTTGTTTTAGCTGAGAGCTTATCGAGAGATACCTTCGTGCGTGTGACCCAGTGACAGGCAGCATCGCACACGCGAGCTGCAAGTAGACAGGCAGATGTTCTGGAGAGGCTCTTTCTGAAGTGGACTCACAGGGGAGGCAGAGAAACCGGCCTCCTAACATCGCTCACGGTATCAGTCAAGTGTGCATGTCTTTGAGCTCAGCTTTGCTCATCGGGTTGCCAGGCATAGTTGGGAATGGTCTGAATCTGCCTTTGTAGGGAATCAGGATTATTAGCTCCGTCATGCTGCCTCTCTGTGTCACGCGTCAATGAACAGACTTTTATTTATTAATTCAGCCCTGGATGGGGCCCTCCCCATGCCTGGGCCGGTCATGGGGGTGATTTGACCATATTTCACCACGCTGGTCAGTGTGGGTTGGTGAAGGTGGTGAGCATGGATGTGAGGGCAAAGAAGCACAGTACAACAATGGAATTTTCTGCACTGCCCTCTACTGTTCACTATGTAGACACATAGCCTTTAACACCTATGCTGCATTGTGGCGCCCAGCAAGCACTGTCCAGTCTCAGGCCTGCTTAGCTTCCGAAATCTGATGAGGCAAATTCCTGGTGATTTGGTCGTCGGCTCATGCTTCCACAGGCTGTAGCAGTGGCAGCAAAGTGTGGTAGCGTGTCTCCCAGTCTTCCTCTGTCTAGTCTGGCAGGAGTTTTGTGTCTATCGCGTTGTACGATGTCTTGTACAGCTCTTGGCCTTCCCATGCCGCGTTGGTCATGTGGATTGGGTTGGTGTGGCTTGGTGTGCTGTGGGTTGGTCAGGAATCAGAATTGTGGTTTCCAGGTGTACTTCTAGGACAATGCTAACCAGTGTTCCACCGCTCCGCCCTTTGTGCCCACGTTTGTCCCTTATGCTCTGCCTGTCAGAAATGCCAGTTCATTAGTCGGTCTGTCAACGTGTTTGTCTGTGCCACATATCCATTACAGGGTCGCACTCCATTACAAACAAAGCGCTCGCCACAAATGAACCACAATCACCTTGCGGATCTCGTCAAGGGGCATAAACCACCACGCCAACTCCAGTCAGCAGCAGCAGCAACTTTTGGTTAGCCATCGAACACAGACGGTCACCGCGCTTCTGCGGCCGTCTGGGACGCTCTTCCTTCCGATTGACAAACTCATTTCTTTAGAACTGCTCTTTGTGTTCAGTTTGTTGTCCGTCACCCCCACCCCCTCCCCGCACCTCCAATTTGCGCGGATCAGCTATGCGCACGGGTAGGGAACCTTTTTTCTGCCAAGGGCCATTTGGATATTTATAACATCATTCGCGGGCCATACAAAATCATCAACTTTAAAATTAGCCTGTTATATTTGATCAAACATTTTATTAACTCACCCCTAATCCGATGGCTGGAACTGCTTCTCTTTGGCGAGGCGCGTGATGTTAGCTGGTATTGATGATGTCGCTACTCGCAACTGCTTATCCAGGTTTGCTCCTAGATTGATTGAATTTCGAGTCCCACCTGCGGTTGCCTTGGCAGGGCCAGACCAAATTTTTGATTCCGCGGGCCTCACACGGCCCGCGGGTCGGACGTCCCCCACCCCCTGGGCTACGCGCACGGGTGCGAAAGGCGTCCAACGTACGTACGTACGCGCATCCCCCGCAGAAAAATCCGAAAGTTGGAACAACAGCGGGAGGACCAGAGTGCCGCCAAGCAGCGAGCCGCCGATGTGCCCCCCGGCACCTACACGTACACACCTTTCCCGGCCGCCGCTGCAGCGCCCATCCCGCGGCCGGAGTCGGTGACCCAGCAGCAGCAGCCGCCGCCCGAGGCCGCGGCGCTCCCCAAGGGCGTGCGGAGCAAGGAGGGCGCTGAGCGGGCGAAGCCGGCGGCCGCTGTGGACCGCGCGACCCCCAGGCTCGCCGGGGAGGAGCAAGGAGGCCACGGTGCTAAAGGTAAAGGTGCAGCCCGAAAGTGCACTGCTGGTGGAAGGGCGGGGGGGGGGGGGGCTCCAGTAGAGAGGGCGCGACTCCTCTTTCATGCTGTCCACGTGCCCACGGCGCTACCCATTGACCTCGCCGTGCCCTTTTGCAGAGGCGGTAGCGGCCAGTTGCGACGTTGGAAAGTGGATGACAGCTGATGGCTCATGCGCTTGCAATGAGCATGTCAGAGGATTGAGCCAGCGCTGTGACTAACTCTGGAGAGGAAACCAGAATCTCTTGGGGTTGGCAAATGTTCACACGCCCCAACTGGACAACTGTGAAAAAGAGCTTTATTGCTCATCGGATTCCTCCAGTATAAATACAGATTTTTATGATAGTTTTAGCTCAATCACCAATTGCAGCAAGTAACATGTGAAAACTACATTCAATTTTTTTAACTTATTCAATCTATTCCAATTGTAAACTAATTATTTGGTGATAGTGCATTGGCAGCGGTGCCCAAGCTGAAACTGACAACAATTAAATCGACTTAGCACATTCGTCAATGACACTCTGTGGTGGCATTAAAAAGAAGAGTATTGCAAGAGGCAGCTTATCAGGCAACGGGGCCCTTCTCGAGTCCTCCGTGGACACCGCCTCGATCAGCGGTCGGCAACCCGCGGCTCCGGAGCCGCGTGCGGCTCTTTAAGGGACCACTTTGCTACGTCGTTTACGAAGGGGCCATCACCGTCTCGAATTCACCACGCGGTGCATTGCGGCTCTTGAAATGTTGAGTTTTTTGTTGTTGTTAATCAGATTCGAAAAAAAAAAATGGCCCTTGTTTTTTTTTGTTTTCCGAACCCCTGGCCTAAGTCGTCACATAAAAGACGTACTTCTCCTTTGAAGGGAGTGCTGTTGATGAGCGTGTTGATGTTTTTGTAATCACTATTTTGCAGCTTCTATACGTAAATAAACGTGGACAGCCGTTTTGTCGGTTCACCCGTTGTGCAAATATTTAATCAGACCATGTGCATAATTAAATACCCGGACTGTTTGGTTTGTTTCATGGGCAGAAGCCGGAGTCCAGAGGAGGGCTGATGACAAGGAGGAGCTCGCGGAGCACCCAGATATGCAAGCCTTCAAGGTGGTGCAGAACACGGTGAGAATCTCGCAGCCTCCCTACCCCACGGCACCGCTACACGAGACTCTGAACCAGAGGTCGCAAACGGGTTTAGATTCCTTACCCGTACCCGGCCGCACCAGGGTCGCAAACGGGTACCTGTACCTGTACCCGGCCGTACCCGTACCCTTCCCGTACCCGGCCCGGGTACGGGTAGGGTACGGGTATTGGGTACCTGATTGCGACCTCTGGGATGAAGCAATGTTGCGGGCGCGGGTGGGTTGATTCTAGGAACTTGAATTGTGAGAAGAGACAAGACGTTGGGAAATGAGTGACAAACAGTTACTCACCAGTGACTCACCGCCTACCCGTACCCATACCCGGCCGCACCAGGGTCGCAAACGGGTACCCGTACCCGTACCCGGCCGGGTACGGGTAGCCGGGTATCGGGTAGGGTACGGGTATCGGGTACCCGGTTGCGACCTCTTCTCTGAACCCCACGCCAACACACGGCACGGCTACCCCCAATGTACTGCAGACTGGCAAACAAGACACGGCTTCGCCGGCCACACAGCACGTGCCCACTGAGGCATAGCAGACCCTCACCATGTCGCATCCAACTCGCCCGAGCCAACACACAGCACGTGCCCACTGGGGCATGGCAGACACTCACCAAGGCTCGGCACAATTCTCAGAGATGAGGCGCACGTCCATTTAGCCTGATCACAGCCTCGCAGAGACCAACCCGTGCCATTCGTGAAGGACGGCACTCGCTCACCGAGACATGGAACACCTCGACCGTGAAATGGCCTTCTTCCCCAAAGACGCACGATACCTTTCCGATTCGGATCCACAATTACCTCGCCAATCTCGTCAAGGAGCATAAGCCATCGCGCAAACTCCGGTCATCCTTACAGCAGCGGTTTTGTGCTCGGCCATCGAACAAAGACGGGCAGCGCATTGTGCACTTTCGGATGCGCTTCTACGGCCGTCTGGAACGCTCTTCCTTCCAATATTAGGAAGCCATTGGAAGCTATGCACTTTTAAATCTGCTACGTACGGTGCGAAAAAATTTCAAAATACACACATACTAATAATTGGCACCAAAGTTGAACCTCGCGCTGTGTATCCCACTCGCGGCCCAACGCCCACTCGGGCACCATCAGCAAACCCTGACGCGGGCCCTGGAGGACGTGGACTTCTTCGTTGCTAAGTTGGACCGCGTGGCGTCCGCGTGCCGTGAGCTGCACAAGCGCAAGGGCAAAGGGCACAGCGCCAGGGTCGGCTCCGGAGGTGAGGGTGCACACACACACGCACACACACACGCGCACACGCAGAGATCCCCAGTATAGCCTTAACAGACTGTAGGGGCAAGTGCTTTTAGCGAGCACCTATGAAGGCCAGCACGGTACACGAGGGGGCGGGTGGCCAACACCACGCCCGGCCGCCTTTGTCTCCCCAGTGGCGATGTTTATCACATCGCACCAGGTACTCATTTGAGGCTGAGTCGACCTAGGGGAGGCCCGGGACCGGTTCTGATAATCGTCACTGGTGCTGGCCGTGAGCTGGAATCGAACTCGGATCGCCAGGTTCATAGCGCAGCGTAGCGCTAACCGCTACACTACCGCTCCCCACACACACACGCACACACTCACACACGCACGCACACGTGCACACGCACGGGCGTTCAGCAGGCAGTAGCAGCGGTCAGTCGCCTCCTCATCAACTCCTCTGCCGCCACTACGACGGTTTCCGCTACCACGGACTTCGCTCGTTGATTCCTCCACTCGTGTTGAGGACTCGTCCTGGCAGACGCCCACCGTGTGGTCACACGGTGTTCAACCGTCGCACTGCACGACACAGCATCACGCTCACTCGATGTTCTTTCATCCACATGGTTACCCACTCACCCACCCACCCACTCATTCATCCACCAACTCGCTCACCACACCGCAAGTCAAAACACTCCTCTTTCTCCTTATTTATTAATCACGCCGTCCAGCTTCGGAATTCCCTCGAATGAAGAAACGTATAAACGCTGATCTACTTTACCCTCAACAGTGTTGGGGCCTAGAGCCTTTGGGCCTGCACCCAGGCCTCTGCCTATATTTTTCACGCGATTGAATGTGTCTGCGTGCCCGTGCTTGCACGCTCTCATACGCACGTGCGGCGTGGCCACGCTCACCCGTGCACCTGTGTGTGTGTGTGCCCTCTCCGTCCGTGCGCGTGCGTGCGCGTGCGTGCGTGCGCGTGCGTGCCGACGTGGGCCGCGCCGCTGTCCACCAGTCGGGGTGCTGACCCTGCGTGCAAAGCCGCCCACCGAGGAGGAGTTCATCGAGTGCCTTCAGAAGATTAAGTTTTCATTCAACCTGCTGGTGAGGAGGGGAAGGGGCACGCCTGCATCTGGATGGGTCAACGATGTTTGGTTTGTGGGTGGGGGCGAGGGGTCAGAGGTTGGGGGGAGGGGGTGGGGGCGGAGTCGTTTTGGGCAGTGTGAGCTGGGGATGGAGAAAGCTATATTAATTCAGTGGCTGATTATTGGAATATCTGGATGCATTTTTGGATACCCTATATATAAGCACCGATGTCACGGAAATTGGAATATTTATTTATACCGGAGAAATCCGATAATCTATAAAGCTCTTCTTCTCAGATGATCAGTATACCTATGACTATTGCACGGAATGTTTTATGATCCAGAATAGAAATCAATGGTGTCATCTGCACAAATGATATTTAATAGGAAATCTCGACCTTACGCTTTGTGCATTCAGGCTCGGCTGAAGGATCACCTCCATGACCCCACTGCCGATGAACACGTGCAATCCCTCTTCCAGACGCTCACCAGGGTACGTGCGCGTGTGTGTGTGTCGGGGGCTTCTCCTCCTAGGTCGACTCAGCCTCAAATAAGTACCGGCTACAATGTGTAAGCATGTCTACTGGGGAAACAAAGGCGACCAGGCGTGGTGCTGGCAACCCACGCCACATCGTGTGCCGTGCCGGCCTTCATAGGTGCTACTCGCTAACAGCACTTGCCCCGGCAGTGTGTGAAAGGCTATTCGGGGGCCTTTCGCCTTCGTCTTGTGTAATCCCAGGTCGTGCAGGAGAGCGGGGGCCCCGAGCTGGCCGAGACGGTGGTGAGCCCCCTGCTCACTCGCGACGCGCTGCTCCTCCTCGCTCCGTGCACCGGCGGGGACGGCATCCACCTGTGGAGCAGCCTGGGGGAGGCGTGGAACACACCAAGGTCGGGCACAAACCCCTCCCTCCCCTCCGTGTTCACAACGCGGGCAGTCCCTGACTTACGAACGCAAGACTCACGAATATACGTGCTAACGAACGACCTTCCTTAAGAAATGTAGTGTTTAGTCGTAGGTTTTTACCCTTTCAACTGGTACAAAAACTGACACCTTTATACAAGGCATCATGTTTGCAATAACCACAACACAAGCAGTCAAAATGCAAACAAAAAGAAACAATTTCAAGGACAGTGCATATCATTATCATTATCAGAGTTGTTTCTTTTTGTTTGCATTTTGACTGCTTGTGTTGTGGTTATTGCAAACATGATGCCTTGTATAAAGGTGTCAGTTTTTGTACCAGTTTAAAGGGTAAAAACCTACTACTATATTTTGCCACTGGTAAAGGAGGTCTCATAGTGTAAATGTAGTGTTTCTTTTTTTTAACAAATCCGACTTGCATACGTGAACTCGCGCTTGCGAACCGAATGGCGGAACTATTTTCAGAGTTACATGAACATGTACAATAATTATTTTATTCATGAGCTGAACAGTGCTTCCCTTTTTGTCGAACACGTTTTGTAACACGGACCGGACCGTATGTGCATTTAAATACGGTGCATTACTGTGCTCCGACTTACGAACCATTCAACTTACGAACGGATCTCAGGAAGGGAACCTGTTCGTAGTTTGGGGACTGCCCATAAATGCCCTGCATCCCTGCCTCTTCTGCACCTCATAACCTATCCTGCCCGCTGCCCTCTGCCTTGTACGTAACCTTCATTGCCATGCCCTCTGTGTGCTGCTTGAATTGTACGCTCGCTGTGCCATCTTGAATCATTGTTAAGATCACTGCCACCACCGTCAGAATCATCAGCATTCTGGCCATCACTACCGAAGACAAGGTCCCCTGTACAGCCTCAACATAATATTGGGCAAGTGCTCTTCACAAGCAGCTATGAAGGCCAGCACAGCACACGAGGGCGTGGGTGGCCAGCACTACGCCCGGTCGCCTTCGTCTCCCAAGTGCCGATGATTTGCATATCGCACCAGTGACTTATTTCAGGCTGAGTCGACCTAGGTGAGGGCCAGGACTGGTTCAGATAATCGTCACTGGTGTTCAGATAATCGTCACAGTGTGCAGGGGAGCAGTAGTGTAGCGATTAGCGCGCTGCACTACGAACCCGGCGACCCGAGTTCGATTCCAGCTCACGGCGAACACCAAGTGACGATTATCTGAACCGGTCCTGAGCCTCTCCTAAGGTCGACTCAGCCTCAAATGAGTACCTTGGTGCGGTGTGTATACATCGCCACTGGGGAGACAAAGGCGGTCGGGCGTGGTGTTGGCCACCGCGCCCCCCCCCCCCCCTCGTGTGCCGTGCCGGCCTTCGTAGGTGCTACTCGCTGAACAGCACTTGCCCCAACAGTCCGCCAAGGCTATACGGGGGAGGAATCTCATTTGCCTTCGTCGTTGTGTGCAGGTCCGCGTGGAATAAGCCGGCGCCCGTGCCCCACTACGTGCCCGTGTTCCGAAGCGGCTGGCACCCCCCCGCGCAGAAGAAGGTTTCGTTTGTGGACGCCGAGCCATCTCAGCCCAGCCCCAGCGCGTGGCCACCGGGACAAACGAGGTGCGGGGAAGGCGTTTGGGGGGGGGGGGGCTGTGGAGGTGCAGTGGTGGGGTGCGGGATGAACAAGACCTCGCAGACATCGTCAAAGGAGCATAAAGCGTCATCACGCGAACTGCGGTCATTCTCGCAGCAGCGGCTTTCGGCGAGCCGTCGGGCAAAGGCGGTCACCGCGTCGCGGGCCTTTAAACGCGCCTCTGCGGCCATCTGGAACGTTCTTCCTTCTGGTATTAGGAAGCTGCCGAAGCTGTGCACTTTTAAATCTAGATTGAAAAATTATTTCTTTAGAACTGCTTTTTGTGCTTAGTTTGTTGTCCCCCCCCCGCGCACATCCGATTAGCGCGGTTGTCTACGTACGGTGCGAAAGAAGTTTATACAGACACACATACACGAGGTGATGTCAATCTCCATGGGTCCAGGCTCAAGCGAAAGTATCAAATTATGTAAGGATTGACCCAATATATTTAGTTTTTTTTTTTAATCTCAGAAATCTGAAAGAAAGTTGTAGTGGCACATGGCCATTTATCAACAAATCGCCACTCTCAAAATTGCACATATGAGATACACGGGCTTCCCAGGAAACTTTCAACGTTGGCATGCGGTTAGAACCTGTGGACCAACGTTGGGCCACCGTTGGCCCAACGTTCCTTGTTTACCGGGTTGTACGCCCTCATGTTCACGTGGTTGATCAGCATCATTTAACTAAAGCGCATTCGCCGCTCGTATCAGGGGTTCACGGGTCGAATCCGGTGGCTGCCCTGATTAATACTGCGGGTGTAATAACCGTGAATGGGGCTATATAAAATTAAAGTATTATTATCATGAATATTTGGTACAGACACACAAAATATGACGATTTCGGGGAGACGGATGGCAGTAGTGCAGCAGGAAATCAAAATTCCGCTTCGCAGTTACATACGCACTGGTTGGCTGCGTAGGGCGCGATTTGCACGGTTGGCTACGTACGGTGCGCAAGAAGTTCAACACACATGCATACATGAGGCGGAAATCGATTGTTCGTGCAGGGGGATGGCGCGCTGCCTCTACGACTACGTGGCGAGGAGCAGCAGCGAGATCTCCGTGCTTGCTGGCGACGTCCTCCAGGTCTGGGCTCACCGCCTCACTGTCGACAGCGGCGGCTTATTGGCCAACGGTGGAGGGTGGCAGTGGCCAGCGATGTCCCACTGCCTCACTTGCACAGTGGCTTATTTGCTAACGACGTCTCACTGCCTCACTTTCACAGTGGCTCACTGGTTAATGATGTCTCACTGCCTCACTTTGACGGTGGCGTACTGGCTAATGATGTCCCACTGCCTCACTTTCACAGTGGCTTATTTGCTAACGACGTCTCACTGCCTCACTTTCACAGTGGCGTACTGGCTAATGACGTCTCACTGCCTCACTTTCACAGTGGCTCACTGGTTAATGACGTCTCACTGCCTCACTCTCACAGTGGCTTATTGGCTAACGACGTCTCACTGCCTCACTTTCACAGTGGCTTACTGGTTAATGATGTCCCACTGCCTCACTTTGACGGTGGAGTACTGGCTAATGACGTCTCACTGCCTCACTTTCACAGTGGCTCACTGGCTAATGACGTCTCACTGCCTCACCTTCACATCGGCTCACTGGCTAACGACGTCTCACTGCCTCACTTTCACAGTGGCTTACTGGTTAATGATGTCCCACTGCCTCACTTTGACGGTGGAGTACTGGCTAATGACGTCTCACTGCCTCACTTTCACAGTGGCGTACTGGCTAACGACGTCTCACTGCCTCACTTTCACAGTGGCTCACTGGCTAACGACGTCTCACTGCCTCACCTTCACATCGGCTCACTGGCTAACGACGTCTCACTGCCTCACCTTCACATCGGCTCACTGGCTAATGACGTCTCACTGCCTCACTTTCACAGTGGCTCACTGGCTAATGACGTCTCACTGCCTCACTTTCACAGTGGCTCACTGGCTAATGACGTCTCACTGCCTCACCTTCACATCGGCTCACTGGCTAACGACGTCTCACTGCCTCACCTTCACATCGGCTCACTGGCTAACGACGTCTCACTGCCTCACCTTCACATCGGCTCACTGGCTAACGACGTCTCACTGCCTCACCTTCACATCGGCTCACTGGCTAACGACGTCTCACTGCCTCACCTTCACATCGGCTCACTGGCTAATGACGTCTCACTGCCTCACCTTCACATCGGCTCACTGGCTAACGACGTCTCACTGCCTCACCTTCACATCGGCTCACTGGCTAACGACGTCTCACTGCCTCACCTTCACATCGGCTCACTGGCTAACGACGTCTCACTGCCTCACCTTCACATCGGCTCACTGGCTAACGACGTCTCACTGCCTCACCTTCACATCGGCTCACTGGCTAACGACGTTTCACTGCCTCACCTTCACATCGGCTCACTGGCTAACGACGTCTCACTGCCTCACCTTCACATCGGCTCACTGGCTTTCAGATTGTCTGTCTTTTTTCACCGGTTAACTTTCTCACTCTCACGACAACTCACTCTCGCCACGTCAGAGCCACCGAGCCAGCGGCACTGATATCCCCGGATTGTGTTCGGGCTCCTGCCCATTCATGATTAATCGAGAATGAAGTCTGGAAGGTTTTAGTGGCCTCAGCTCAGCCACGAGTAATTGCAAACCCTAACTTGCGTAAGACACACTTTGGCGTGCCATTAATTCGACGAGTTACTCCGTGTGATTCGGCCATGGCAATGCAACCCTAATGTCTGCAACAATTTCGAACGCCAATCCTAACCTCGCGGTCACGTTTCAACAGCCACTTGCAAAACGGTGAATGGAAGTCGCGTGAAAAAAACACACATTGTTGCTGTTTTGCACGGCTGGCCACATACGGTACGAGAGAAGTTCAACATGCATGCATACGTACTCTCTCTCTCTCGCGTCCTCATCAGGTGCTGGACTCGACTCGGTCGTGGTGGAAGGTTGCCAGCAAGGGGGCCCAGCAGACGGGATACGTCCCCCACAATATCCTGGAGCCTCTCAACTACATCTTGTACCCCATGCCCACACCGGTACCGTAACCGGGTGAAGGACGCCGAGATGGCGAGATGTTAACGCCCTCGCCTGGTATACAGGAGGTCGTGGGTTTGATCCCGACCCTGACGAGGCCTGCTGTATATTTTGAGTTTGCGTGTTCTCCCCGTGGTTGCGTGGATTTTTCTCCGGGTCCTCGGGTTTTCCCCTTCTCATTTACAAACACGCGTTTAGAGTATGTGGCTGCCATAAATGTTCATGTGATAAGTCACTCCGTTGAGCTATCATTTGTGGCCAGGTCGCTTCTGAAAAAAGAGCTATATAGCTCAGTGGGCCTTACCTGGTAAAATACAAAATAGTTTAGTTTAGTAGCCGTTATAGTCCAGTCAGAGTTCAGTCCGAGTGTCTATCCGCACTATAGAGCAATGGTGCTCATGTCTAATGTAAACCCTGATATAATGGTGGTAATTCCATATTACCATGGCCGCAGCCAATCCATAGAATGTTTTGCTCCAACAAGCTTAACTATTGCTCCCTCAGTCGCCCAATCACTGACCAGCAGAGGTAAAACAAACGCATCGCTTTCATCGGTAACATTGATTCTTTAATTGTCGCCATTTGGAAATCCAAAACTCACGATTGGCTTCATAAGGCCACAGTTTTCTGACGAGGCTCAGAATAAAAAAAACAGTGTCTCGTTTGACATGTGGTCGCGACTGGGAACTGTTGTAACCCAGGCCCGTTTTCTTCGACCACCTTCCTGATCTTCAGCGTTCGTAGGCAAACATTTTTCCACACACGTGCAACCTCCTCTCAGCATCTTTCCATGTTTTTGTCTTTTCTCACCAGGAAATGGACCGGGGCAAGGGGGCCCCCTTGCCACCCCCCTTGTCTCCGTCGCCCATCGTGGGGAGCCCCAAGGGGGCCCCAGTGGACTACTACCCCAACACCTTGAAGCAGCAAGAGGGCAACAAACATAAGCCGCCTATACCTGCGGCGTGGAAAGGCAAGGCTTGACGTATATTACATTGTCTGTCCACTGCCTGGTGCCGGTGTGCTGTAAACATCGCCGCTGGGTTACGCAAAGGTGGCTGGGCGTGGTGCTGGCCGCCCACCTCCCTCGTGTGCCGTGGCGGCCTTCGTAGGTGCTGCTACTCGCTAACAGCGCTTGCCAGAGTCTGTTGAGGCGACAACAGCCTTTGTGTCTGTCCGTGACGCACTCAGACCGCACGGTGCAACTGGACCAGATGCAGCAGGAGTTGGCGCTGAAGCTGAAACTCAGGAAGGCGGTGAAGAAAACGGCTGGCGTGAGTCCCACCACCATCCTCCCTCCCTCCCGCTTATTGCACGGTTGGCTACGTACGGTGCGAAGAAGATGTTCAGCAATACACACATGCTACCAGTGCCGGATTAAGCTAGTGCGCGGCCTGTAGCATATGTTATAAAGGGGCCTTAAATAATAAAAAAAACACATAAATAGTCAAACGCACGCATTTTTTACTTGCATAGTAAAGTAATTGTATTTTTTCATTTGCTATACAGCCAGATAATACGACAAATCGCTAACCTTTAAACACCCAGTAGTTCGTAAAAGTTGAAGGCAGTATAGTGCTATAGTAATAGAGCAAGTGCAGAATCAATGAACCGGAATTGATAGTTTGAAAGCATTTAGCGCGGGGCCCTTGAAAGTGCGGGGCCCGTAGCATTTGTAGCTACTTTTGCTACGAGGATCATCCGGCACTGCTTGTTACGCCGTACGAAAAACGACATAAACTCTGTCATGGCTAGCGCACCTCGCACATTGGCATTTAGCTCCTGGCCATATGGTCATGAGCAATAACAACAACCGATCATCATCAGTTTCTCCAGGTTTTCCCAATCGCATCTGTAGCCGTGCGTGTCCAAAACACTTTTGTTCCCATCTAACTACTCAGATGTTACAACTCTGGATATATATTTGGCAATATCTTGTAGTACACTTCCAAAGGTACTTCTTGCTTCCCACAGGGATAAGCAAAAAGTCTTCTCCAGCACCATCGTTTAAAAGCGTCGATCTCTCTCCCTTTCTGCTGCGCTGATCGCCCAGGCTGCACACGCGCGCATCGCGGTGGGAAGATCCCAAACGTCTTAACCGCGGCGTAGCTTTTCACGGTTTGCGCTGTGCAGCCCTCCGACGAGTTATCGAGTTGTGCCGCCCGTTGTTCTGCGCGGTGTCCGACGTTCCGACGACGTCTCGACACCGCGCTGACCAAACGCGCGGTCCAGCGTAAACGCACATCCGAGAGCCGACGCTGTTACTCGCCTGAACTGCGTGAACGCCACCAAACGATGCTTCCGTCTTTCCCAAAGGCTGTCCGTCGCAGCTCCATCTTCTCGTTCACCTCCCTCACCCCCCCGTAACCTGCCCCCCCCCCCGTGATCGACGTGTTTGCTGCGCAGAACTCGGACGATGAGGGCGTCATCGACGGGGAGAGTGATGACCCCGGAGACCTGGAGAACTGAGCGGAAGGGAGCGCTCGAGGCGGTTTTCGAACGGCGGTGGCCGTGAGCGGCGCAGAAGGCCAACGGGGATGGGGGTGACGGATCGAGGCCGGTGGGTTGGGGCAGAGGGGGGGGGGTGCTGCCCGTGTCTCTGCCATCTCGCGCTAATGTTGGGGGTTCGATCGCCAGTGGCAAGGCTGTCACGTGGGTATTTTCGATTGCACCCTCGAATTTCCCCCATTCCCCCTCTCCCCCAATCATCGGCTGGAATCTGAACTTGACACTTGTCAATTTGTGGACCAATACGTAAATGGTGTCATCACGCACGCGGCACGTGCAAACGCAAACATGTACACTCGTAATAAAAAATATACTAATACTTTCATTTTATATAGTGTCATTTATGCTAATAGCATACCACAACGCTGCACATTAATCACATATAACGACCAAATCCCACATATACAGCCACTACCAAGCAAATGGACACCCCCTACTGCCAAGTAAAATCAGAAATGAATAAACAAATTAAGAAATGGCACCAAACAACAACAAAAATTAGTCCATTCATTGAATACAACTCAGACGTACAGCTCGCAACTACAGTATTTGATGCCACCAAGACACCAAACATGCTCGCCGCTCCTCATACATATGAAAAAAATATATATTATTCACGCTCATGCACATTTTCCCATTGATGGGAAAGCTTCCGCTGTTGAGGAACGTGCCGATAGTGATTTATAATTCGTGAACGGTTCTTAACCGATGACCAAATACCCCGTAATATGCCCGATCTCGTCAGATCTTGAAACCTAAAGCAGAGTTGAACCCGGCCAGGGATGGGATGGGTGACTGGCATGTGTGTACGTATGAGCGTCTTTCGCACCGTACGTAGCCAACCGCGCTAATCGGAGGTGCGCGGGTGGGGGGGGGGGGGCGGAAAGGACAACACATTAAACACAAAAAGGAGTTCTAAAGAAAAGAGTTTTCAATCTAGATTTAAAAGTGCATAGCGCCGATGGTTTCCTCATATCGGAAGGCATGCGCAGACAGACAGGCGTTGCCATAGGGCTGCGGGACTACGTGGTGGGCAGCAGAGGGCGCACTGCAAATAATTGCATTGTTGTGTTGCACTTCTATGATCCCATGCCTGTGCCACCTTCATCAGACCTAACTGGCCGGCGTGGTGGAGCGTGGCCAGTTTCACGGCCACGACCCGCACAGTGCGTGGTGGGCTCTGTGGGGGGCCCTGTGGGGGGCCCTGTCTGACAGTGGAATCCACACGCTTCGCAAACGTTAGAAGACGTACGCTCGCACAACAACAACTGATAACGTACATTTTATTATATATATTACATAATACTCAATAGACATAATAATACTACACAATATGCACATTACTCAGTAGCATGCGGGTATGCATGATGCATATATATAATTACATCGGATACGTACAGATGCAAACTTTAACAAAACAGTAGCATTCACCACTAGGTGAATGATTGGATAAACACGGGGCCTATGGCATGCTTCGCGTACCAATCAAAACCACATGGAGTGGTAGGAGGTTCATAGGCACTGGATGGAGATATTCTTTCGGGAGCTGAAATAATGTTGAGGTGGCTGGAAATATTTTTCGTTTCAAAATAAATAACCACATTTAAAGAGTAATTAAAATAGAAAACAATTGAGAAAATGTATCTATAAAAAAAACCAAGAGTGCAAGCAAGGTTGCCACGAGCAGAGAACGTGGGAGACCGAGGACGCATCCACAGGCACAGGTTCACCGATCAGGCCAGCCAAGAGTGAAATATTTCTCTCCTCAAGGTTCAATGAACGTGCTTCTTTAAATGCGTGGAGTCTGGCGAGCGTCACACGGAGAGGACCCGCGTTTGCCTCGTGGTGGCCTTGCACTCTCTCGGCGAGTGCGGCTTCGAGAGGTTTCGCTGTGGGCTGGCTGTGAATAATCTGGGCCCAGTTAATAGTTATTCTTGGTTCTTTCGGTAAAGTCACGTAGAAGGGGAATAATAAAATAATAAAAATAAAACATCGTAAAATGCTCACGACGTTTCGGCCACAGCGCAAGCAGCCGTCCTCAGGTGAAGAACAGAGCTGAATTAAATCACGACGTTTCGGGCATAACACAAGCGCCCGTCATCAGGTGGGAAAGCATGGCCTACTGCTGAATGCTGATGCAGACTGTTTTAACAGTTTTAACAGTCTGCATCAGCAGTATTTTATTTGTTACCTACGTGACTTTACCGAAAAAACCAAAGAATATGAATCCCTGCAGTCACGAAAGCTTTAAATCGAAATTCAGTTAATAGTTTTTTTTTAGGCGGCTAGAAGCCCTCGTATAAGCCCAGCCAGACGAGCACCGCACTATGGGAAACAACCACTCTATGGGATGGTGAAGATGGGGACATTTAATATTATTTATTTTACCAGGTAAGGCCCACTGAGCTATGTAGCTCTCTTTCAGAAAGCGACCTGGCCACAAATGACAACTGAACCAAGTGGCTTATCACGCGGAAATGTATCGCAGCCAAATACTCTGAACGCACGTGGAGGAACTGGAGAAAATTCCACGCGACATGCAAACTCCAAATACACAGGATTTAACCCAGGGCTTCTTGTACACCAGGCGAGGTAGTTAACATCTCGCCACCATGGCATCCCCGCGACATTGTTGTGGGTGCAGAGTTTAAAGTCCTTTGACAGATCACTGAACAGAGCCATGTGGTTGGGTGGACAAATGAAAGCAGCAGATTCAAATGAAACGTGCCTCCTATCTGTGTCGTGTACAAGATGTTTCGTATCGTTTTGCCCTTCCTATTTCTACACATGTGCAAATATATATATATAAAGAACATCCATTTAATAGTTGTATGATTTTTTTTGTTTCGTTTACTCTGTATTGCGGTCTTAGGTCATTCCAAGAGTAAAACATGTATCTCCTTAAGGTTCAATATGCTTCTTGAAATCCCTGGCCGTGTCACCACAACACACGGGTGCGGAGGAGTGGACCCGCGTTTTGAAAAGCCTCACGCCACGGCCAGTTAATCATCGCCACCTACCGGTCAAACTCAAGCGTCGCCCATCGGTTTAGCAAGTCGGAGGCTTTCGCGACCAATATCCATAATAAAGGGTATTGTTTTGTCTTCTTGGTTCTTTCGGTAAAGTCACGTAGAAGGGAAGTAATAAAACAATTATGTTAAATTTTTATTGTTTTATTACTTCCCTTCTACGTGACTTTACCGAAAGAATCCCTGCAGTCACGAAAGCTTTAAATCCGTATTGTTTTGGTTAGATCGCGTAAATGTGCGTCGTTAAACCCGCCACCACCCGACACAGCCAATTAGTAAGGGTTGTCACGTAAAACAAAACGTGACAAATCTTACTAATTGGCTGTGTCGGGTGGTGGCGGGTTTAACGACACACTAATATTTACACGATCTAACACCAAACAAATCCTTTGTTGTGCATCACCTGCGTAGAATTATAACCGTATACACTGAGTTATTTTCTCCCCTGTAATTTAATGCAAAGGTTGGGTGGGGTGCATCTTATAATCCAGTAGGTGTGTTAGCGCGACTTTAATTTTCATGCCTTTACGGTTTTGGGGTGCGTCTTCCTTTACACGGCGTCTCGTGATCCGGAGAATGCTGTACGGATAGGCGCGCGCCCGTTTCATTCATCTTAGAAAAGGCCCTTGACACCGTTGACATTAAAGCCTAAAAGTTCAAATTTTGGGCAGTGGATAGTTTTCAAACGCACATTTATTGGGGGGGGGGGGGGGGGGATTTTCAAGCTGTCGTGGTTTTCACGTAATAAACTAGCTGACAGGGCCGTATTATCCAAGAGGCACGGTAGGCACTGTGCCTACGAAAACAAAAAGGGCCGACGAAAAAATACATTGACCAAGATATCCTCTTGCATAAATATATTTACATAGGAAGGATAGGCGCAGCGTATATATAGAGGCAGGGTTTTCAAATTAAATCTGCTCATCGGCGGCACAAAGCGTGCTTCCGTCGAATGAGGGCACAGACAATGATGAACGTTTCAGCAGCAACGACATCTGTCCAGCGGCTGGACGAAGTACCGCGTGGAACAAGCGGAGTGACAGCGGCGGTAGTAACACGTGGCAGCGGCTGTCCCAACTGACGGGAGTTATCACTGAAGGCCCACGGAACGGAAGTGCCGAGAGCCCACAAGAACCTAAATGCGGCCCTACCAGCTGTCCTGCCAGGCAGGGCAGCAAGAGGGGTCATGAACCCGTGAATGCGACCCCTCTGAGTGACACGGATGTTTTCTCTGGTTTTCAGACATACGTTTAACAGGGTCCTTGATCGAGTTTACTATAATTAATTCTAGATTTGAAGCTTTCGTCACTGCAAGGATTCATACTCTTAGGTTTTTTCGGTAACGTCACGTAGGTAAAAAGACCTATTATTATTTCTATTATTTGTATTTATTATTATTTATTCTTACCTAAGTGACTTTACCGACAAAACCTAAGAGTATTTACTATAATTAGCATATGCAGGAACGTAGTCACGTGTGAGGTGGATCAGAGTTTGATCGGTATGTGGGTGGCGCTCAACATCAGGACATCAGGAAGCTTGTGGAAGATGTGTTATTGGTCATTCCGTAATTTTTTTTTCTTCCATAAAATATGTTTTGTTTATTCCACATCCTCCCTCACATCATACATTGCAACATCCTCACGTTCTGGACGGCGTTACCATGGACATCGACAGTATCAGGCACACCAGACTCATCAGAGCAGGCGGGGGGTAGGAAGGGATTTTGTTTGGGGAGGGAGGTCATTGCCGTTCTGGGCTCAGGTATTTAAGACTGGTCTAAGGTTTAGAAATGTATCCTATGCACGTGTGCATTCTTCTTCCTTGACTCTGAGCTTATTGCTCAGATGCTCCAGTGCTGAGTATGTGTCTAACTAATTCAGCCATCAAGTAGGGGAGAGGGGGTTCGTCATTCTTGCACGTACTCACGAGGGGTTTCCTGACCGCTATATTGAAAGTCCTTAACACAACGTTCTGTTCTCGAGTCAGCCCCATTTCTCTTAAGCTCCACAGGGTAGTTTCCACACTTATTTTTACAGATGCATTGTTAATTGTATTGAATACCCCGACTATATGTTCATAGAGCTCAGCAATTGTCGGACAAGACCAGAAAGTGTGTTTGTAAACGTGCATTACGCCCGCTCTCGTGGCTTTTCAAATCGGCTGCCAGGTTGAACCACACCCATGCATCACAGCAAATTGGCAGCACGTTTGCTTCATGGATTGGCCAAATTTATATATATATGTTTTTTCAATTGGACCCCTCACTACCTTACTTACTCTATTGTGGCCCTAAGTCTGGATCCTGCGTGCCATCGAGTCGATCAAAGCGTGCGTCTCGTGACCTCGCAAAAATGGATGTATCACCTGAATGCGTAGCCAGATTGTTGGACACGAAGCAGCAGTGGCAGATTTTTTTTACACCGTTTAATTTACCGAAATACAGTAAATAAAGTATTTAGTTTGTATTGTTTTTAATTATTAAATTCATTTTTTTCAGTTGTATTTCTTTGCACATTACATAGTTTGCATATTTTAGTATTCTCTATCGATTTATTTTTACTGTGCTATTTTAACAGTTTTATACATTTGCACACAATTACAGTTTTCACTTGCTTACGTTCACTTTTTTAATACCGAAGGTCCATTGAGAAATAGACTCAACGCAGTATTTGTGTGGGTTAATGTTCAAAAAATAAAATTAGCTTATCCTCATGCGTTGAAAAACGTTAAAAACTGTACTTTACTTTGCAATTCTTTTGGACAACCTATTTTATTACAAAAAAAAAAAACCTAAACACTTGCCAACAATATGTTGGTCTTAAAAGGAAAATGGATAATAGGCAACGTTTCAGAACATGGCCCTTCAATAGCAAGTGCGATTGCTCAAGGCAATATCCGTTATATATTTTCCTTTAAAGGTCAGTGTTATTAACACACGTGTTAAACATTATTGTTATTTATGCTATTGCACCACTGCCAACGCAGTGCCACCAAATAATATATTTTATTATATTACATCTCAAATATTGTCTTTTAGTGGAGTCAATTTACAGTTGAGTAAGGTTTGTAATCCATTGAATGTATATACAGTACATTCATAATAAACAATTATGGAAACCTAACTCGTGTCAAAGTGCAGCACGAACAATAATTATGAGTCGGTCACAAGCTCCTTGAGAGGGATGGCACCCTCCACGTCTTCTGCTCTTGCCTCGAGGGTGGCTGTACCTGCAGGCCAGAGTACACACACACACGGAACCACACACACACACGGAACCACACACACACACACGGAACCACACACACAGACCCCCCATCCCTGGTTAGCTCGAAGCACTTGAAGGAGGGAATGCACAACAGACGGCCACTGGGACCACAGCAGAGAAGATAACGAAGCGTTGTACACAGATCCAACGACGGCCCGTTGATCAAAGACGCGTTAAATATGTTCATGAAATTTTATTACCAAAAATAACCGTCAATAAAGTCTTGATTTGAAGCTTTCGTGGCTGCAGGAATCCATACTCTTTGGTTCTTTCGGTAAAGTCACGTAGGTAGAAGAAAAATAATTATAGATCACGACGTTTCGATCGTCACACAAGCAACCGTGTTCACTCCCACCTGAAGACGGTTGCTTGTAATGCAAGCAGCCGTCTTTCAGATGGAGAACAGGTCTGTCGAGAAGGCAGAGATCTGTTCTCCACCTGAAGACGGCTGCTTGCATTGTGGCCGAAACGTCGTGAGAATTATTTTATAATGTTTTATTGTTATTATTTTATTATTTCCCTTCTACGTGACTTTACCGAAAGAACCAAGAAGATGAATCCCTGCAGTCACGAAAGCTTTAAATCGAAACCAAGAGTCCGTCAATAAAGTGTTTGGCTTTTTTGTTGTTCGTCGGTGACGACTGCGTGTGGACGAAAATCCATCGAGCGTGACGATGACTCTGACTGCCACCCGCCACAGACCAAACGCGTGACTTTGACGAGATGCATTTCACGAGTCTGAATGAACGAAGACGCGGAATTAGATGGTTTAGTCGCGTTATTAGATGCCGCAATACACTAATGCCGCACGTGGTTATTGGCTGTTTATATATAGACATAGATTTACAGAATTCACTGGTTGGCTGACCTCATTTTTTGACTAAATGAAATCCACACACGAAGACTCAACTACAATTTCACAGGTTGTCGAATCGGCTAAAACTATAATAGCAATAAAAAAAATGCTGACTAAATTACAATCGATTCAAGGCAGACAGGGCAGCAAGGTTGCATGAAAAGTAGACCAGATGGTGAGCTGTACACACGCTCAGAGAGCCCATGATTCAAACACGACAAATCAACATTCTCACGAGCGTGGTTGGCATGGGCCCTTGGGCGAGGGATGCTTGCACGACTTTTGTCACAAAGCAGACGCCTCGTCGAGGAACGGTCTTCCTGCCATCGATGGCATCATCCGCTCAAGGCGAGTCCGTCCGTTTGACCCACGTCGCAGGGATTGCGAAAGACGACATTACCGCACTCCGTGCCCTGCTCAGTGCCGGATTATCCTCGGAGCAAAAGTAGCTACATGTGTAGTAGCTACACGTGTAGTAGCTACATGTGTAGAAGCTACATGTGTAGTAGTAGCTACATGTGTAGTAGCTACACGTGTAGTAGTTATACGTGTAGTAGTAGCTACACGTGTAGTAGCTACTACACATGCTAAATGGTTTCAAGCTACATACGTAGTAGCTACATATGCTTAAATATTAATAGCTTTCAGCATATAAATGTGGTCCGGAAACCACGAGCAGAATGGTGGAACGTGATTAAAAGCAAACCTGCCTCTGTATGTAGCCAAATGTAGGTTACATTAAACGAGAAGTCTCAAAACTCCCACTGCAAGGGGTGGACGTTATCACCGGGTCTCAAGAACAGCCGAAAACCAACCGCAATCCCTGGGGTTCCACCACTTCCCACATACGGTGCGAGATCAGCGGAGATTAAAAACGAAATCTCTAGGGAAATGCACAAATTCCGTAATTTTGACCGATATCGCGTAACGCCCAGAAGGTTTAACGTTTTGCAGTGATAATAATCGACGCTTAAAAAAATACACACTTTCAAAACAGGGACAAACCGCTCTTAATGATCTCGCAATGGACGCAGAGAAATCGATGACTGCGACCGTTTCCCAGCAATCCTCTGACACTGTCGCGACTCGCGAGCTCAAGCGAGCGGTCTCCACGACGAACCAATTACGGGCGAGGCCTCGTCCACCATGAACCACAATTATATTTGTTTAAATACCGGAGTCTCCACTGCACATCCGACAGGACGTCCACCGAGGAGATGACTACAGTCAGTCTGTGTGCAGGTGCTAAGTGGTGGGGCTCGTGTCATAGGTGCTGCTCGCTAACAGCGATTGCCCCAACAGTCTGTGTCAAGGCGATACGGGGGGATCGTTGTCTTTGGTGGCGGGCGGTTTTACATCGTGGGATTGTGAAAAGTGGCATCGGCTTGGGGAGGCCGTCATCTGGCAGCGAAATGACCATGGCTGATGATGAGTCTCTCCTGCGACCCGTAAGCCAGAATATTCTTTGGGTCTTTCGGTAGAGTCATGTAGACAAGTTCAAAGAAAATAACAAAAAATAATTCCTGCAGTCACGAAAGCTTTAACTCAAGACGTAAGCCAGAAGTTCACAATGGTTAGCGCACCTGAGGCACAGATGTCGGTATCCCGTTGTTGTCGATTGAGCAGATGCCTGCAAATGTACAATATGCAACGGTGCAGGAAGACGAATTGCTCCTGGATATGAAGTGGAACGGGACGGTGGTGGGAGACAGAGATAAACATTGATTAGTTAGCACATAAGCAGAGCGACATTGTCAACAGCAAACAATTGTTCGTGTTCTTCAGCTTAGAATATATTTGTGGTTGATATTTCGCTTGTCCTCAAAATAATTTGATCACGAGATGAAATGATTGAAGGCAGTTTTCATTATTGCGCTCCTGGCGGGCACAGGGCAGTTAAACACACCCGTGTCAACACAAAGACAAAGATCCCCGTATAGCCTAAACATATTATTGGGGCAAGTGCTGTTAGCGAGCACCTATGAAGGTCAGTACGGTACACGAGGGAGTGGGTGGTCAGCACCACGCCCGACCGCCTTTGTCTCACTAGTGGCCATGTTTAGACAACGCACCAGGTACTAATATGAGGCTGAGTTGACCTAGAGGAAGCTTAGGACCAGTTCAGATAATCATCACTGGTGTTGACGGTGAGCGGGCATCGAACCCGGATCGCCAGGTTGTGCTGCACTACCACAATGCACACACACATACATACACATTTGTAATATATGACTGACCGAAGCTGTACAGTGCTGCCAAAACAAACTGAATCTCTTTAAACTAAACAAATGTGTCTGTTTTTTTTTTATTTTACCTGGCAAGGCCAACTGAGCTATTTAGTTATTTTTCAGAAGCAACCTGCCCACGAATGACAGCTCAACAAAGTGGCTTATCACGTGGAAATGTATAGCAGCCGAATACTCTAAACTCACGTCACTCAACGTGGAGCGAGAGGAAAAACCGGCGGACCCGGAGCAAAATCCACGCGCAAACTCCAAACACCCAGCAGGCGTCAGGGTCATGATCGAACCCACGACCTCCCGTGCACCGGGCGAGATAGTCAACATTTCGCCGAGCTCGCGAGCCGCTAGGGCACCTCGGTCTGCACCATGTTGACGCGGCTCCGCCTCAGCTCGGCCACCAGCGCGAGAAGGTCGACGGCGGCTTGGGCTCGCACGGGGCCCTCGGGCGAGCACTCATCCGGAACGGCCGCGGCACCGGGGAACGTGGTCTGCAGGCCGTGCAGGACGCGGTCCAGTGCGATGAACGTGCCCGTACGGCCGACCCCGGCGCTGTAAGGTCGCACGCACGGGCACGCGCAGGGCTCGCACGACGCTTTTGTCCGACGATGCAGGCGCTTGGCGCATCATTGCGAGCGACGGGTTTCACTCGGGGGCACGGGAGTCAAAGTGAAGTGCTGTTCTCAAGGAAGGACGTCTGACTCACCCTAAGCGCGAGTCGCATATCACCCACTGTCCCCGGTTGAAATTAAGCACTGGCCGTGCGGAATACTCGCTCCGAAAACCGTTCTCCACACACTGTTTTAATAACAACAACAAAAATGTAGTTGCTTGTGAGTAATCCCTGACCTGTTCTCGACTCATGAACATAGTTTCTGGGGCCTGCTTGTAAGTCAAACGGTTCGTAAGTGAGGGTGTCCGTAAGTCGGGTGTTTGTAAGTCGAGGACTGCCTGTATAACCCTTCATGAAACAGCACCAAACCATTTACTGCTTCAACACGGGACCTTTCTTTCCAGTATGAAAGTATAAGAATAGGGTTTACACTTTCTGACAATAAAACAGGTGTTAGATGTTCTAACACAAAACAGAAACCTTTTGCAAGGTATCATGTCTGCATTAACCACACGTACTTGAGACGGGTCAATGTAAGGGCGAGGGAGGTGGGGTGAGAGAGGTGAGGGAGGTGGGGAGAGGTGGGGTGATCGTGTTGGGTTGAGGGAGGTGGGGTGAGGTAGGGAGTCGGGGTGAGGGAGGAGGGGTGAGGGAGGTGGAGTGTAGTGAGAGAGTTGGGGTTTGGGAGGGGAAAGAGGTGGGGTGTGGTGAGGGAGTTGTGGTGAGGGAGGCGGGGTGAGGGTGGGGTGAGTGAGTGAGAGAGGCGGGGTGAGGGAGGAAGGGTGAGTGAGTGAGGTAGTTGGGGTGATGTAGGTGTGGTGTGGTGGTGAGAGAGTTGCGGTGAGGCAGGCAGGCTGGAGTGAGTGAGGCAGGCTGGAGTGAGTGAGTGAGGCAGGGGCAGGCTTCCACCTGCAGTGCACGACTATCGGCGCCTTCCAAGTGGCCGACTTCTTCCGCACTTCCCGGGCAAAGTCGACGAGACCGCCGGTGTGCTCCTCCAGCGGCACCCCCTTGTCTGGCCACGCCGTGAAGTGGTAGTGCCACAGCACACGAGACTCGGGCTGCTCGTTCTGTTGTTCAATTTGCCCAGACAGTGTTACCGGGGGAGGGGCGTTGAAAGAGAGGGGTGGGTGGGGGGTTACGGGCTAATCAAAATGTGTTCTTCTGTCGCGTCAATACCGCCTCCTCCCTGCGTCAAAACTGAAAGTTTGATAGCCAAGAGCCACCCAACCACGATCCCCCCTTCCCCCGTCTGATCTGGCCATAGTTGCCCCCTCCCCCCGATCCGTTGCCAAACTCCCCAGCCCCACCACACGGACGCCTCTACTTACGAACGAGTTCGGTTCCAGAGGACTGTTCGTAAGTCGATTTGTTCGCAAGTTCAACTGTCACAGCTGTCAACCCATATGGGGTATACCCCGTATTCTTGTGCAGGTCCATACGGGGTATAGCCGTTTCAATATGGGCAAAAAAAATGTTGATTTAAAGCTTTCGTGACTGCAGGGATTCATATTCTTGGTTCTTTCGGTGAAGTCACTAGAAGGGATAGAAAAAAAACGCCACTGTTTTCAAATTGTCTTGCTGTGGATTTCACACCTGATGGTGATTGCTTGTGTTGCAGTCGAAACGTCGTGATAATTTTATTGTTTTATATTTATTTTATTTTATTATTTGTCTTCTACATAACTTTACCGAAAGAACCAAGAATATTTAAAAAATGTGTTTGTGTTTCTGCCTTGTGATGGGACTTTGTAGAATGAACGTTGAGATTTATAAAGGGCACGGGGTGATCAATAAGAGTCTGAATTGGTCTGTAATAAGTAGACACTGATAAGGGGTTGACAGGTATGAGCTTTACTCCTGTAGACTCCAAACATGTTGTACGGCATGCACACCAAACACACAAGTTGTATAATCTCATGTAGATGTGTATGCCACTGGTTCTTCATGTTCTGAAAATGTAGATGCCACCACCACCATCTATCACGCGGCGATTGAACTTAAGGCTCGCGGTCCGAACTGCCAACTGGACATACGGAGAGGTTTGTTCGTATCTCTGAACGTTCGTAGGTAGAGGAGTCCCGGTAATTGTATCGGCTCCATGAACGCGTACCCTTTGAACCAGGGATTCCTGAACCACAGTCCTCGCGACACACCACGCGACGTCTTCCCGAGTTTACCAAATTTTTCCTCCTCCCATTTAAATTACAAATTAACTCATTCTAGATTTGAAGCTTTCGTGACTGCAAGGATTAATACTCTTTGTTTTTTTCGGTAAAGTCACGTAGGTAAAACAATAAAAAAAATTCAATAAATGAAAACAACTAAATTAAATCACGACGTTTCGGAGGCAACACAAGCCTCCCTCATCAGGTGTAAAAAAGGCACAGCAAAATAACTGTAGCGAGAGTTATTTTGCTGTGCCTTTTAATTTAGTTGTTTTCATTTATTATATTTTATTGATTGTTTTACCTACGTAACTTTACCGAAAAAAAACAAAGAGTACGAATTAACTCGTTTCACACTGCACGCGCCCGATGATTGTTAAACACATCGCACGCACCGCGCTTAGCGGTTAACGCCGTCTGCGTTAACGGAGCCGATTCAGATTATGATTGAAACATCGGTGTGCGTGTTTCTTTTTATTTTGTTCTCGTGGTATCTCGTTGACCTCGTTGGTTCGCTGTGCAATATTTCTTCGGGAGCCTGCACTCGTTCTCTGCTATGTCGACGAGTTTCTCTTCGGTTTTTTGTTTGCTTGCTGATGTTGCTGTGATCACCCACCACGGATCTCCCTTGTAAAATAGCCGGGAAACTGGCTAAACGGGGATCGAACATCCTTACCATCGTCCACAGAGCTAGGCCACAACCTCCGAATCCCAAATCGGCAGCTGACGGACGACTCACAAAGCGCGTTCCTTCTCCCCGCGACGTCCGCTACGCGCGTTGCGACAAGCACGCTCAACTTCTTTCGCGCCGTACGTTGCCAACCGCCGTCGATCGGAGGCGCGCGCGCGCGTGGCCGACCCGCGCGGAGCTCACCACGAGCGAGCGGAGTAGGAAGGTGCGGAGTTCCCAGCAGCCCCGCTTGGCCAGTCCCAGGGCGCGCACGCTCACGGCGCCGTGATGCTCCTCGGAGCCCAGCTTCTCCGGCCAGTACCGAGAGCACTTGGTCTGCGGTGAACGCGCTCCGAGTTACAAACCAACGGCCGCAGCGGCGGCGGCGGTATTGCCTGCACCCCCCCCCCCCTCTCCATCTCCAGGTTGAGACTGATGATCATCTGTCCATCCATGCACCGTCCAGGCGAGCGCTTGGATGGGCGACCCACGTCGCGTTGTTGTCGGCTGGCTGGGGCGGGAGCTACACGGCGCGCAGCAGACAGCACGTGCTTTGTTGTACCGCACTCTCTATGCCCTCGTGTTTAGTCCGCTCGCCCTTACGCCAACCTGCACTGACTGGCGTGGTGAAGTATGGGTGATTGCCTCTCGTGACCCATATGGCGTGGGGAGGCCCTCGAGCGCCATCATTTCTACATAAATACTCTAATAGTGACAAACATGACCGCGATTGCTTTACTTGTCATTAAGCCGAAATTATCATTATCGTTCCTCGAGAAATCGAAGATCTCGAGGGAGCTCCCAAGAACGTGGAGTGAAAATGCCACCTGCAGATACGTTTACGTGCGATCACTCTTTCCCCTTCAAACGCGTCACAGTAGGAACAAAGCGTACACGTTGAAACGACCGGCAAATGTTACAAACCGTAAGAGCAATGAACAGCCGTGCCCAAACGAGCGTGCGTGCCGAATCACACAATCCTCTAGTGTGTGTATGCGCGTGTCGAACTTCGTTCGCACCGTACGCAACCAACGGCGCTGATCGGAACGTTGCTTGGGACGGACATCAGAACTGAACGCGACAAACGCTTCTGAAAAGCAACGGGAACGTCGGCGAGTCGGACTCACGCGACCTCTCGAACACCGGCTAGAGGGAGTCGCGCCCACCTGCATGCGCTCCACGCACTGCGTGAGCATGACAACCAGACGCACGCGATGCTCCCACAGCATTCGCCAGAAGTCTCCCTGCGTCTCGGGCAGGGGGCCCTGGGTGGCGATGTAGCTTTTGGGACCGTGGACACCCTAGCGAACCCGGGGGGAGAGGGGTGGGGTGGGGGGGGAAGAAATGTCAGAAGGGATATTCTTTGGGTCTTTCGGTAAAGTCACGTAGATAGGTTCAAAGAAAATAACAAAATAACAAAAAAATACGACGTTTCGATCGCGACACAAGCGTTCCTGATGACGAACGCTTGTGTTGCGATCGAAATGTAGTTTTTTGTTATTTTTTGCTATTTCTTTTGAACCTATCTACGTGACTTTACCGAAAGACCCAGAGAATATGAATTCCTGCAGTCACGAAACCATAAAGTCAAAAGGTTAAAAAAACAGACGGGGGGGGGGGGGGGGGGGGGGTTGCGGAAGAATCGAGAGTCGAGCGGCGTTGACGACGGCGTGAAGTCGTGACCGTCGACGCAATCATGACAACCGTCTTCACTTTCCAACTCAGGTCCTCGAAGCGCACTCGTCGAGATCATCGTCAGCCATGGTCGTTCCGCTGCTGGACCGATGCCTCTCCCCAAGCCGCCACCGCTCCTTACAATCCCGCGACGCAACAAGTAAACGAAATCACTAAACTACTTTTATTTTTACCAGGTAAGGCCCACTGAGCTATGTACAACTCTTTTTCAGAAGCGACCTGGTCACAAGTGATGGCTCAACGAAGTGGCTTACCGCGTGGACATTTACAGCAGCCAAATACTCTGACCGCATGTTTCTAAACGTGGAGGGAAAAACCGGTGGACTCGGAGAAATGAATACCGCTCGACCACGGGGAGAGAAAGAGAGAGAGAGAGACATGCAAACTCCATATATACATCAGGCATAGTCAGGTTTGGGATCGTACTAACGACCTCGTGTATACCGGGCGATGTAGTCAGCCACCCAGCACCGACTCACGAGCCGATCTCATCGCCCCAGTGCCTCGGTGGACGTCCTCTCGCAAGCGTTCCATCCCTTAGCTGCCACTCCGCAATTATTCCTCACCCCATTGATCCTCGTCCCTTTGAAGCGACGTGTCCTGCCCAAGCACCCCACGCTCCCCCCCGCCCCCCGCTTAATTGTACAAACAGTTTGAATGATCTTCTTGGTTCTTTCGGTAAAGTCACGTAGAAGGGAAGTAATAAAATAATAAAAATAAAACATAATAAAACAATTCTCACGACGTTTCGGCCACAACGCAAGCAGCCGTCCTCAGGTGAAAACCAGGTCCGTCGAGGCGACAGAGTCTGAATGAAACAGCACACGAGCTTGGAGCATATATATAAGCTGGGCGCATTGACAAAGGAATTTGCATATCAAAAGGAATTTAGCATATTTATGGGAAATGCAGGAATGTGATTAGTACTGCAGTTTGAATGATGCCGTTAACTTGGGGCTTTCTTACAGCCCTTGCCCTAACAGCCTGTTAAAGGCTCCTATACGGGGGATCTTTGTATTACGAACGTAGCAGAACAACAGCGGAGCATGAATCGCAATCATAAAGAAACGCGAGCACTGACCGGGATGAACTCCGCGTTGATGTAGTCTGACCCTGGGACTCCAGCCACGGGCTTCAGCCTCACTCGCCCATAGTTCCCTGCGTGCACACAACGGTTGCGGGCACGTTGATGAACAAGCGCCGTTGTCGAAGTTCGACGCCAAGAAGTAGCCCTGTGAGATCCACTTCTGTGGGCCGTTGTTGAACATGGGGAGGCGGTACAAGTGGCGGGGGGGGGGGGGTGCCACTGCTATCTAAGATATTTAAAGGGAACCCTCGTCTCGTAATATCACACCGAAAGCGCACTTGCAATAACATTGCAGAAAAAGACTAAAATAATCCATACAAGTTGGGGAAAAGTCATGCGTACACATGGACTGGTTGACACTTTCTAACGTGAGTTTTGTCCTCGGAAGCATTTGAATAGCAGAACGGAAACCGGGCTGGCAGCTGTCAGGGTAACAGCGCGCTGGTGTCAATACAAATAGTTCTCTTTTCTCTGGCGTCGTCCCCAAATTTTGAGCAATCCTTCGATCATGTCAGGTTTAAACAGGGTCCCCAACAGCAACACAACATTATTATTATTATATAGTATCCTTCCTATTGGAGTGCCATTACGAGCGTTATCGTAACAGACTGACGGAAGGAACGGAGTCAATGCGTAAATGCTTTCGACTCCAGTTGGGCAATTTCAAATACGGCTCTGCACCCACGCGGGAGGATGTTGTCATAGCGATTCTTGTGCTTGTTCTCTGGAAGGCATGCATCCGAGTGCAGGAAGTAGTGATCCATTGTATTCAAAACCTGCGATAGGGGGGCACATGGAAAGGAAAAACACATTAATCGATTGCTTTTTGATATTGCAGATGGAGCGGTGGCGCGTTGGTTAGGGCACTGTGCTCTGAATCCGGCAAGCCGAGTTGATTCCTGGCCTTGGCTAAGATCAGTCCGTGAGAAATATCTGAACTGGTTCGTGGCCTGCCCTCTTCTCACCAACCCGCTCTGACTCGCTGCGTGGGCGATGATCCGAGTGGCAAGCACAAGCTGGCGAGCATCTCCATCGGTTGCTCCCCTTGTGTCCCCCATAGCCAGGTGCTTGCGTAGCAGCAGTACGGACCAGAAGTGGCCCACGCTCGACTTGCCGACGTCCAACTGAACGCCGCAACACGATGGTGCATCGCTGGTGCCCTCAAGTCGACCCCAATACCCTGGTTTCCCGTGTTGTCGCTCATCGCTCCCCCATATGCATTCGCCGCAACGAAGCAACCCTCCCCAATCCACAAGGATCTCATGTAACGTGCCTCGCATTCCGCGAAGCACATGGGGTCACAAACTTAAACTGCGTTCGCATACTAACCAAGACAGATGCGGATTACCCGACGCACACGTGGGACGTTAAAAACTGTGCAGTGTGCGACTGCGGCCACCCAGAAAGAAACCATGGAGCACAAAAGCACACAATGCCCGACTCAACATCATCACAGCGATACACTTCGCTACTCTTGACGCAATTATCTGGCTCGGCCACCTCGATGTGAAATTAGATTCGTTGCTCTCTATCATCAGCTGTACGAAGAAGAAGATGCTGATGATGCTGATGATGGGGTGCGTTACCTCGAACTGAAGCGAGAAGAGATACCCGGAGTCACGGGACATTATTGTGTAGTACCTCTCAAAATCCACCAATTTCACTGGGCTGCAATCCACAAGGAGAATGGGCGCATTAAAAAAAATAAAAATTAAAGAGGGATTAATGCGGAAAACGTCATCTTTGGGAGAGAAAAAAAATGCATTCCACAACAGGGGATACGGAATCCACGTCACTGCGTCAGGGCCACCGATGAATGCGATTGTTTTGTTATTTTGAGCATCCAAAAAACACGTTTGTACGGAAAGACAGACGCAGGGAGAGACGGAGAGAGACAGTGAGAAAGACAAACGTGGAGAGACACAGACACACACACAGACAGAGCCACTGAGCCACATGTTAGCGTTACCAACAGCGCTGCTGCAAAATGCAATTAGATCTTGATTTGAAGCTTTCGTGACTGCAGGAATCCATACTCTTTGGTTCTTTCGTTAAAGTCACGTAGGTAGATAAAATAAGAATAGATCACGACGTTTCGATCGCAACACAAGCGGTCGTCCTCAGGCGGGAAAAATAATCCAGCAGTGGAACTGCTGAACCAGAGAGAGAGCTGTCGTGATCTATTAATATGTTTTCTACCTACGTGACTTTACCGAAAGAATCAAAGATAATGCAATTAGAGTTTAACTTTCTTTGAGGAGGGGGGCAGTGCCCAGGCTAAACTATTTTTAGCGGGGTCGCCCATCCAGGCTTAAGGATATTTCCCATGGCAGCTGCATATTTTAACCGTGAGATTGATTAACGCCCAAAGTGAATTTTGTCGCATAAATAATCCAATTCCCCCTCCCACCCTCCCCAAAAACGAATCAAACACGGGATAAAACGAGCATTCAACCTCCTCAACCAAACTTCCCCACAACCCTCTCTCTTTCACCGTGCCCTTCAAAGCCTCAGATAATCTTCGCGTCTCGCATAGCTACGCGTGGCCTCATTACCACCAAAGGCGGCACCGCGTGGCCAGGGCACGAGGCCCCTCCGTCAAACCCGTTTACCGCTCGCATTCAAGCGCAGCCTCTGTGCAACGAGGAGACCTCTTGGATCCGGAACCCGGCGAGCGAGTGCGAAGGTCTCGGAGTTGATCGCTGCGATCAGCGAGCCCATCCTAGACGGTGGCGTAATCACCACGTTGTCCGCTGGCGGGGGGTTGCGGAAATCGGTCACGTGGGACGCCCAATATTTGATTTTGTCTCGCACGGTTTTACCTGGGTTATATATCGCGCCTCCTCTTGCCTCGTCACACCATTACAGAAATGTTGTTGTTCTTTGACGCTGTTGTTGAAAACATTTGTCATGGTGGTTGCCGAGGGGGGGGAGGGGGGTTCCCCAACTCGTAGCTTTGGCCACCCGAGGCGAGGTGGCCAAGGCACCCCATGTGTCCCCACGCTCATCACGCGACTGATCCTCTCCCATGCCCTCTACTCGTGGCAACCTTGTGCTCTCCTGATTTTGGACAATTCCTTTTCATGGAAACAAAAGTCACACGTATTTCAGCCCCGCCGATGTTGCCCCCGCACTTTCATGCATTCACCTGGTTATTGGATATATCTTCAGATGCACGCTCCTGTAATGACAAACAAGGCCATTTAATTTCAGGCCACAGTGGTGTGCGCCACAAGGAGGGAAAACGTGGACGCTTTTTTTTGTTTCGTTTGTTGTCCTTCCCCCCGCGCTCCTCCGAAGAGCACGGTTGGCTATGTACGGTACGAAAGAAATTCAACATACTTAGTACATTAAGAGGCGTTCGCTAACGTCTGTGCCTCCCCCCCCCTCACTGCAATCGATGAGGCTAGGGAGGGGGAATCCTTGTTTTTGTATAGGGGGGTTATGAATGGGTGTGCGAGTGACGGTGTTATTCTTTTAGAGTTGGGTGCAACATTTGGTGAGGATGAACCGCCCCGTGGCCGCAATCTCACCGCCCACGTTTGGGCATCATCCACTTGCTCCCCCTGGGGCGCACGCCGCGGTATCCCAAGTCACGGACCCTGCGGAGAACAGCGGAGATTCATGTCCATTTTCTCATCAGCCGCACACTCGTGGGCCCGAATCACTTCGAGGTCTCCTTTAAGTGGAGGGACTGATGCCGCATGTCCATGAGCCTGCAGCACGTAAGTACGTGCTCGAGTTCGCGGATTTTCCATATTTTTCGTCAACTCGAGTTGGTCGGCATTGCGGGCGAGAGCCGGAATTCTCTGGGCCGATTTCTGCTTCCCAGGCTGGCCTGAACTCGGACTAAGGGGTGTAGAGTACAAGCGAAGAATTAAGCTACGATGTAGCAAAGATGGTAGGAATGTTGTCATTGACAGCATCGAATAACAAAGATTCTTTCAAGCGTGTGTTTATATTCATTACATTGTGAACTTCCATTATGCACAATGTCACGTTTCTACCTAAACCTGGGGGGTCATGGCTAAGCTTCGAGCTTTGCAAACACCGAGTGCGGATGCCTGTACGTGCGCGACACCTGTAGATCCTTCGCAGCAAATACACGGCTGCCGCAGCAAAAACGATGACCGCCGTCGTCAGGGCGAACAGAAGCGAGACCACGGTGTGTTCCATGTGGCGTCGTGGACCTCGGTGAAGAGAGACGGATCGAAGGAACTCGGAGCTGGAAAACAAGGTGCGCGCGGAAGGCGGACGAAAGAAAACATTAAGAGGATAAAGGCGCAGCCCGTGAAATTGCCTGCTCACGCCATCGCTGCTGGGTGAGCCTTCACGAGAGGGAGCTCGAGAGAGACCATCTAGAGCCACATTTGGCCTCCTCTTTCATATGCTGACCAGAGATGTTAGAAGAAGTGGGAATACCCACACCTTACACCACCGAAATAGGCTATTGTATACCAATACAGGACCCCCCCACCTCCCACTTTCCCAACAAACAAACACATTTTAACAAAAACATTGCGTCAGGGTTAGACCGGGGTCAGTGTTGAATATGTTCGAGGTGAAAGTGACCAATTTAGAAGCAGAAAGGTGTTGCGGAATGATAAAATAAAACCAATCAACACATGTATTGCATACAAAATTAACCGGATTACTTGATATTTACTGGTCGCTAAAGGAGTGATTAACGCTCTTGTCGCAGCGTTGAGTCAGCACCGCTGAGACCCCCAATGCAAGTAGTCTACCTGCCTCCAAGAATATGATACCGATGATATGATACCCTTGAGGCTTACGCAGTGAGCGGGCCAGCCCTTCTGCAACCGGGACTGTTGCAAATGTTTGGTAGCCTCTAATGTTAAGCCATCGACCAAATTTGGTGGAACAACATACACAAAACACACACGTGACGTTGTTAATTCGTTAAAGATTACCTGGGCCTATCGATAAACCTGTACATTCAGTAATGATGGCCATGAGCATCCTCATTAACAGTAGAAGTGACGGTCATCATTCCTAAAAATATATATTTTGCACACATGAAACATTGGCCTAGTTCAGGGGTCGGCAACCTACGGCTCCGGAGCCGCATGCGGCTCTTTACGGGCTGCTTCTTGACGATATGTACGTATGTACAGTATGTACTCAGATGCATTGCGGCTCTTGAAATACTGAATTTTGTACCGAATTGAAAAGAAATGGCTCTTCTTGTTATTTTGGTTGCTGACCCCTGGCCTAGTTAAATGCGTTATACTTCAGCGTGAAGCTTCCGGCAGAATATGGAAGTTCTGCTCTGTGGTCATCCTATTTTCACTATCATCATGATTGATTTTAGTTTATTAAGCACTAAAATGTGTAGATGGTCTCTTAGTTCTGAAAAAGAAATATTTTACAGGACTGGGGAAGCAATACAGACAGTGTAAACACAATAAACTGTAGAACTATGATTAATTTGGTTTGATGTAATATATTCCATATGAATATAATCAACGTGAATGTACTTAGATAATTAATAAAGTGAGCTGAAACGAATTCAATCCAAAAATGTAATGCAGAGGTCCAGTTTATTTTACCGAGCTCTATAAAGAAGGTTCATGCACCACATTTACAATACATGAGCATTTTGCTGGCACATGGAAAAGTTAGTGTCAAACGAAACACATACATGGACAGCCCTTTTTGTCAATCCACTGCAGGATGAGGGCCTCTCCACGCCGGGTGGTTCACGGTGGTTATGTGACCACACATCGTCATGCTCGTCAGTACTGGTTGGTGAACGAGGGAAGCACAGCCTTGGATTTTACTGCTCTGCCCTCTGCTGCCCGTAACGTAAAACAGTACAGAATAGCCAACATTCTTACACCTTAAACAAATTATAATTTAATTGTTGGCAATCCTTCACATACACCCTGCCTCAAACTGCCAACTGTAGTTTAAACCCAAGCAACATCAGGATAGAATTTGACATTTATGTTCCTAAAATACATTTAAACCATTCGATGACCTATACTAAGCGACCGTTCGGCTCATGTTCCACTCGCAAATTATCATCGGAAAGTATTAGCGTTGTGCACGATCATTATAGGGGTTTTCGCTAACTTACTGCTGTGAATCGTAATTCAAAATGTCACCGAGCAGTCAGAGGCATAGATGGTGGAGATATCCCACAGTGAGGCTCAAATACATTTCTGAATACAGGCGTGCCGCGTTTTGAAGAGCGATACTTTCTACGAGAATTCGCCATCACGAGCAATTTGAATTTAGACCAATTTGTTCCCAGAACGAGCAAAATGTTCGCTTAGCTGCATCATCTGTATTGACAGATGAAGCTTCATCATCTGTATTGACAGCCGCTCCCCATCGCTCGCATTGCCGTCTGAGCTCCGCCTTCTGTCAGATCAGCGGCGGCACGAGATTGTCACAGGAGCGTGAACCCGACTGTGTCAACTGCGCACGCGAGGGGTCTCGGTTGCGTGCTCCTCAGGAGAAGTCAGAATCCGACACTTATTTTAGGCCACGCGTGGCCCGCCCCCATTATTTTATTATTTACCACTTCCGTCCGCACCTCTTTCCCGCACTTGTCTTAGTCACAGTTTTGGTAAGCCCACAAGCTAAGCCCGAGCCAAAATGAGTAAAAAACAAACGTCGCTGGAGAGCTTCTTTGAAAAGGGGGAAAGACCCAATTCTGAACATCCCCCCCCCCTCTCCGGTCCGTGAAAAAATGATCTTCTACGAAACCTATCCCTGGTGCCAAAAAGTTTGGGGACCGCACTCTATGTGACAAGCGACTTCGTTGAGCTGTCGTTTGTGATGATAGCCAGGTCGCGTCTGGCAAAGTGCCACGTCGCTTAGTGGGGCTTTACCTGGTAAGGTCAAACAAGAAGAATAGCAGCAGGAGAACGGTGCCACTCTCCCACGGGCACCGCCAGTGGGGTCAACATGTCCTCTCCTGTGTGGTTGGGCGTTGGTCTAAGGGGCCGTCCATAAATGACGTCACGCGATTTTGGACGATTTTTGACCCCCACCCCCCTCGTCACACGGCGTCACAAAAAGTCAGACCCCCCCCCGCACTCAAATATGACGTCACAAAGCTCTGCCCCCCCCCAAATAAAACATGCTTCAAATCGCTTTAAAATATTGTCATTGTAGTGCGTATTTAATGTGGCGCTGCACTCTGATGTTGTAGGAGAAAACATTTATTAAAAGTCTATTTAATTCAGTAGAACGTGTTGTCTATATTGCCCATTTTGATGTGACGTCACATTTCTCAAACCCCCTCGTCACACATCGTCACAAATGTCTGACCCCCCCTCACCCCTAGGTGCGTGACGTCATTTATGGACGGTCTCTAAAAATGTAATTGCACAGATTCACCGATCGCATGAGTCGCCTGGCACGTGCTCTGCTAGTTGGTGACCTTATGCGCGCGCGTTCTCTGTCTCTCTCGGAATCGCCTCCAGTGCTGTAGCTGCTGACGGCAATAAAAGTGGTTTAAAAGTCAAAAGTCTGTCTCTCTCTCTCGAGCCGAGTCCCGGCTTCTAGAGATGTTGCTGTACCATTACGTGCGATGTTTGAACGGGCAAGCTGGTGACCATGCTGAGCTTCCAGCTACCCGCCACCGCCTATCGCAACGGGCACAACGAAACCCGCAGTGGTCCTTATGTATGTGCGCATGTATGTGCTGTATGTTCAACTTATTTCTCACCGTACGTAGCCAACCGTGCTAATCGAAGATGCGCTGACCCTGGGATTACACCAGACTATACAGAACCAAACTGTGACATTCCTCACCCGGTCGGAAAACGATATTTTATCATTTGAAGCAAATCAGAAGCTGCCTTGGTCCAAATTGCGCGATATTAAACCGATATCATTTCACGTCGAGGTGACATTATCAACTGTAACAATGCAGAGGTGCAGTCCTCTGGCCCAGTTAGACGCGAAATTCGCGGTGCCAGTACGAGAGAAGGCCGTCATGTGACCAACATTTAACCGAAGAGAGAGGAGAGACAAAGCTCCCCTCAACCATGAACGTCTTCTTGGTTATTTCGGTAAAGTCACGTAGATGGGAAATAATAAAATAATAAAAATAAAACATAATAAAATACAATTCTCACGACGTTTCGGCCACAACGCAAGCAGCCGTCCTCAGGTGAAGAACAGGGCTGTCTTTCCGAGTATTATTTTATTATTTCCCTTCTACGTGACTTTACCGAAAGAACCAAGAAGATGAATCCCTGCAGTCACGAAAGCTTTAAATCGAAATTTAACCATGAACGTCTTTGTGCAGGGCAGGCAGCATTTCCAGACTCGCGCGATTTCACTCATCGTAACCCTCGTACCACGCTGCACCGCTTCCTCAAACCGTCGCGATATTTATACACTCGCTTGCCGGATGTCGAACCGCCCCACACTCACAGCTGCAGCCCGAAGATGTTCGTGGGGCATAATGCGCGGTGCTGTTGCATCTTAAAGCAAAAATATTGATTTCCTAAAACATTTGTTTTTCTAGGTATATATATTTTAAAAAAACAATATTCAGTGGAAACTTCGGACCCCAGGACCTTTTTAGGGTAAAAATAAAAACCACAAACAGTTGTGACTCCGACAATGGTTATGGCAATGTTCACAACCGAACTGGCAAACACATTCCTGCGGAAGGAGCTGGTAGGAACGTTGGGTTGCTCGGTCAGTGGCCAGGGTCAACGGCGGCGTGGTGTATTCCGTAAATATGCACGACTGTGAGGCCGGGCACAAGCCGGCGTGAGTAGGTTAAACGTTGAGTTTTATAAGGGCACCACGGGGTGACCAGCTCCTCCCCACCCAGCTCCACCCCTCCCACCCCCCACCCAGCCCCACCCTCCCCACCCAGCCCCTCCCCACCCTCCCCACCCAGCCCCTCCCTCCCCACCTTCCCCTCCCTGCACGACGGACACAATAATCCCCTGTGGGCTGGTGTAACCAGGAGGTTCCTACCAATATAAGCTACCCATACTTGAGTTTTGTGAAAGTGGCCAATTGAGATAGGTGCTGCTGGCATGAACGCAGGATCATCATGTATAACATTTGTGGGGATTCTGGGCACCAATCGTAGGCCTTACAAAGCGCCCAAATTCGTGTGCAGACTGCACGAGCAGAAGCCCGGACACTGGGGGGGGGGGGGGGGGGGCTACAAAGGAGGGGAGGAAAATTGTAGAGAGACGGTAATATGCAAACTTAAAAAAAGATGATGATAGAAAGACTCACATAATCTATGCATAAAATTGTAGGAACGTAAAACAATGTGTCAATATGATTGCACATGCGCACAAGCCGGCGTAAAATGGTAACAAGACTGATTTCAAGCAGTTAGTTCACCGCGTATTAAACAATGCTCTCTGGCCAGGTATCAAAAGCTCCACAAACATACATTTTTTGTTGTTGGTGTTATACTTGCCCCTTTGTGAAGGGCTACAACGTATAAACCCGAGAACCACTCTACACAGAAATCGCACGTCCGATTAGCACGGCTGGCTATGCACGGTGCGAAGGAAACCCAACAAACATACGTACGTGCAACCAATGTGCACTTTCTGGTGTTAAGTAAAGGGGCAGCCCTGCAACTGCTTGCTCACACCACTGCTGATGGAAGGGACCTGCCACTCGAGGCAGCTGTATACAGAGAGCCGCTGTGCAGGGTCTTTGGCCTACTCTTCCATGCTAGCCCGACGTCTTGAAAGAGGTGGAGGCAACCCACACTTTAACCCCCACCACATTCAACCCACCGATAGACTAAAATGTGCGGCCCCAGTTCACACTGCTCGGAATTTAACAATCTTGCAACATTGTTTCAACTGCCGTATGGAACGGAGATTAAACCTATGACCTCTGATTGGCAAATCCAGCGTGTGCTGCCCATTGTGCCATGGCAACGTGTCGGTGTTCGTTAAGCGGAGGCTCATTCCGCTAAAGTGACCGTTCCACGGACAAATATAATTATTCTTCACTAACTAAATTACCTTCGAAAGACACGAAAGATGTGCATTAATAACCCATGGCTAACCATTTGCTTACATAAGGGATATTAAGACCTTCTAAATCCGGAGTATTCCATCGCGAAAGTGCAAATTTAAGGCAAGCGATTTGAAGCTTTCGTGACTGCAGGGATTCATATTCTTGGTTCTTTCGGTAAAGTCACGTAGAAGGGAAATAATAAAAAAATAAAAATTTTATTATAAAAAGAAAACAATAAAATTCTCACGACGTTTCGATTGCAACACCGCCACTTTTTTCAAATTTTCTTGCTGTGGTTTTCACACCTGATGATGATTGCTTGTGTTGCAATCGAAACGTCGTGATAATTGTATTGTTTTATTTTTATTATTTTATTATTTCCCTTCTACGTGACTTCACCGAAAGAACCAAGAATACTAAGGCAAGCGATTGAAACATCCACAGAGCAAAAATAAAACGTCCCTTTGCAGATTGCATCCTTTGCACTTAAAACCACGAAAAAAACCCCACCCAGCATTTGATGGGGAAATACATTTCACACAACGCGAATATTTCTTGTTCTGCAAATCCATGGCGACACTGGAGCCAACACGTGTTTGAAATCAACTTGGTTAATTTCATACATGCTGACAATCTAAGTCTGACACATTGCAACCATGGCTAAATCTGAATCCTTCGTGTCAATGACAGGTTTGCCATGCTCATTGCTCTATAAATATTGCACTGCATATTTCACTGGCATACGCACTTGCAAACAGCCCCGTTTTCAATCCACTGCTGGATGAGAAACCTCCCCATGGGGTTTGTTTGACCATACTTTTCTGAGCTGGCCCGTGTGAATTGCTGAAACTTGGGGAGTATAGACGTGTGAGTATACAGCACAGTACAACAATGTATTTTTTTCTCTGCTGCCCACCACATAGCCCCGCAGCAGCCTATAACAACCTACTGTGCATTGTGGTCGCACGTCCAAGCACTATCTAGCCTCAACCTGGCTTCGTCTCCACAATCTCATGAGATCAGGCACATTTTGGGTGCTTTGGTCCTATCAGTGACAGCGATAATATCAACAATGAACATCCTGTACATTGCCATTAATCTCCTCCTTATTTGGCCGAGCCTCCATGGGAGGTCCAACATTAGTTTTGGCCATGGCATTGTGAGTCAACGCCTCGTGTTTTAGCGATGGCCTTGTGAATGCCAGATTTTAATTCTACACTTTGACTTCACGAGTCTCGGCGCTGACTTGAGCCTTGCAATTGTGATTCCCGATCTCGATTTGAATGGAGGGTTGCACCGAATATCCCATTATGCGATCAGGTAAGATACCAAGTAGGATTGCACCGAATATCGCATTGTGGTATCAGGTAAGACACCAGGTACTCGACCTAAACAGGCACCCAGGAGGAGCCAGAGCTGATCGAGATAGACGAGACGAATGAATCCAGAAGATAGCGAATGGACATAGAGTAAGACAAGATGCTCCAGTTGGGTGGGTGATGCAGCAACATTGGAAGAGATAAACAAGAGATGTACAAATTTCGATTTAAAGCTTTCGTGACTGCAGGGATTCATCTTCTTGGTTCTTTCGGTAAAGTCACGCAGAAGGGAAATAATAAAATAATAATAAATAAAACATAATAAAATACAATTCTCACGATGTTTTCGGCTTGCGTTGTGGCCGAAACGTCATGAGAATTGTATTTTATTATGTTTTATTTGTATTATTTTATTATTTCCCTTCCACGTGACTTTACCGAAAGAACCAAGAAGAAGAGATGTATAATCGAACTAAACTGAACAATGATTGTTTTTTTTACCAGGTAAGGCTCACTGAGCTATGTAGCTCTTTTTCAGAATCGACCTGACCACAAATGATAGCTCAACGAAGTGGCTCATCGCGTGAATATTTACAGCAGACAAAGACTCTGAACGCGTGTTTCTACATGCGGAGGGTCAACTCCAGAGGACCCAGAGAAAATCCACACGCCCCCCCCCCCCCCACCCCAAACTCTACACCTTTACAAATTTATTTTCAGTAGTTTACAATTCAGATCACAGCTACTCCTCTGTTTAAGGAACGACACAGGTGGGCTTCTCCACAAATCTGGCTGTCGCCTGATGAAGCTGGTTGTAATTGCAGGCGAAACGTCGTACTCAGATTGTAAATGTTGTGGCTTGGCTCTCCAACTCACCGGTGCTGTACTAGTGACGAATTGGCACGTTCTGTTTACGTGCCAACCCTTACTAGTTGGCTGTGTCGGGTGGTGGCGGGTTTAATGAGACATTTATATATTCACGCAATCTAACCCAAAAAACCTGTATTATGGCAGAATGAGAATATTTCTACTGGGAGAATCCGATGAGCTATAAAGCTCATCTTCACGGATGTCCAGTCATTAACTTTGCACCAACCACACTACGGCGCTGTATTACGGGACTGTGACATTCGCTTAGATACAAATCAAAGGCCGAAAACAGAAGTGCAGCGTTAGGTTCCTGACGTTAACAGCTGCGGTAGCATTCGTTGAACGTCTCTGCACGAGAGAGCTGAAACTCTCGTCGTGTCGCCGAGCGAACACGTGCTTGCTGCTCCAGCAGCTGCCCGTTCGAGGGATAAGCAACCTGGACGTAGCCTCACCCGGCGTAAACCTTAGACTCACCTGGTGTAATTCAACAGTGAACGGCGAGGTCCGCTGAACGAGTCGTCAGCACCGTCTCTGCCCCACGCCTCGCCACTGCTCGTCGGTACCTCTCCGTCGCCACGAGGCACAACTTTAAACCGTGACCGAACGACCTCAAGAGTGAAGTGAAATAAAGGACTGGCCTAGCGCTGGCATAGAGCGCCTTTATTATTTATTACCGTGAACGAAAAAAAAACAGCAAACACTTGTTCCACTCTGCATTGATGCTATTACAAAATCCAGTCACGGCAACCATATTAACCCAAGTCCATGAATAAACCGCTCGCAGAGGGCACGCACGCTTGCGTGTGTGTGCGTGTGAGAAGCAGCAACTTCCTGATATTTGACTGCGTTATCTGGGCACTGCCAGACCTCCGCAATCTCCGCCGCGAGCGCGAACCCAGCCGCACTCCCGCTCCAACCCCCCTCGGTCATTCTCAGGGCCAGAGCCGCTCTGTACGTATTGTACGTGTGTTGAACTTCGTTCGCACCGTACGTCGCCAGCCGTGCTAATCGGAAGTGCGGGGGGAAAGGACAACGAAATAATCACAGTTCTAAAGAGATGATATTTTCAATCTATCTTTAAAAGTACATAACTCCAGTGGCTTCCTAATATTGGAAGAAAGAGCGTTCCAGACGGCCCCAGAAGCGCATCTGAAAGCGCGCGATGCGGAACCCGTCTTTGTTCGATGGCCAGCAGCCAAAAGTCGCTACTGCTGCTGCTGCTGCTTCTACTGCTGCTGCTATTACTGCTGCTGCTGCTGCTATTACTGCTACTGCTGCTGCTGCTATTACTGCTGCTGCTGCTGCTGCTATTACTGCTACTGCTGCTGCTGCTATTACTGCTGCTGCTGCTGCTATTACTGCTGCTGCTGCTGCTATTACTGCTACTGCTGCTATTACTACTGCTGCTGCTGCTGCTGCTATTACTGCTGCTGCTGCTGCTATTACTGCTGCTGCTGCTGCTATTACTGCTGCTGCTGCTGCTATTACTGCTGCTGCTGCTGCTATTACTGCTGCTGCTGCTGCTATTACTGCTGCTGCTGCTATTACTGCTGCTGCTGCTATTACTGCTGCTGCTGCTGCTATTACTGCTGCTGCTGCTGCTATTACTGCTACTGCTGCTGCTGCTATTACTGCTGCTGCTGCTGCTATTACTGCTGCTGCTGCTATTACTGCTGCTGCTGCTGCTGCTATTACTGCTGCTGCTGCTGCTGCTATTACTGCTGCTGCTGCTGCTATTACTGCTGCTTGCTGCTATTACTGCTGCTGCTGCTGCTGCTATTACTGCTGCTGCTGCTGCTATTACTGCTGCTGCTGCTGCTATTACTGCTGCTGCTGCTGCTGCTATTACTGCTACTGCTGCTATTACTGCTGCTGCTGCTGCTATTACTGCTGCTGCTGCTGCTATTACTGCTGCTGCTGCTGCTATTACTGCTGCTGCTGCTGCTGCTACTGCTGCTGCTGCTACTGCTGCTGCTGCTATTACTGCTGCTGCTGCTGCTATTACTGCTGCTGCTGCTGCTGCTATTACTGCTGCTGCTGCTATTACTGCTACTGCTGCTGCTGCTATTACTGCTGCTGCTGCTGCTATTACTGCTGCTGCTGCTGCTATTACTGCTGCTGCTGCTGCTATTACTGCTGCTGCTGCTGCTGCTATTACTGCTGCTGCTGCTGCTATTACTGCTGCTGCTGCTGCTGCTATTACTGCTGCTGCTGCTGCTGCTATTACTGCTGCTGCTGCTGCTATTACTGCTGCTGCTGCTGCTATTACTGCTGCTGCTGCTGCTATTACTGCTACTGCTGCTGCTGCTATTACTGCTGCTGCTGCTGCTGCTATTACTGCTGCTGCTGCTGCTATTGCTGCTGCTGCTGCTGCTATTACTGCTGCTGCTGCTGCTGCTACTGCTGCTGCTATTACTGCTGCTACTGCTGCTGCTATTACTGCTGCTGCTGCTGCTATTACTGCTGCTGCTGCTGCTACTGCTGCTGCTACTGCTGCTGCTATTACTGCTGCTGCTGCTGCTACTGCTGCTGCTGCTATTACTGCTGCTGCTGCTGCTGCGAGGATGAGCGGAGTTCTCGTGATGACGGTGTACGCTCCTTGGCGAGATCAGCGAGGTGTCGTGGTTCATTTGTGGCGAGCACTTCGTGTGTGCAATGAGTGCGCCCCCCGGAACAACACTCACCTGCTGCACCTTGTGCGGGGCGGTGAGCGCAAGGGAACGCGAGGACTTGGCATGGCTGGGGGGAGAATGATATTCCAGGACAAGGGGCATGAGAGGGCATCGGAAAGCAGGGCATGTCAGCAGTGGGTGGTGCTGGCCCTCCAAAGGGAGGTTCCTCGGTTGAAACTGATGTTGGGTCCCACCTTGCAAATGACGAAATCCACAGCGAGATGTCACGACAGAGAGGCTGGTGAGTGTACCTGTGTGCATTTGGGAGTGTGTAGGTTTGGTCGGACCGTGAGTAGCAATTGCACCTGCGCGTGTGTGTAGCCCACCGCGTGTGCGTAGCCAACCGTGCTAATCGCACCTCTGATCATCACGGTTGGTTACGTACGGTGCGAAAGAAGTTCAACATACATACATATTGGGCGTGTGCATGTATGTGTCAGAGCAAATGAGTGTGGGTGTGATGTACGGGCAGTCCTCGACTTACGAGCGGGTTCCGTTCCTGAGACACGCATGTGTGCAGGACTGTTGAGTTTGGGCAAACGCGAATGTTTACGATTGACAAAAGAGATATTGACAAGGCATATAGATGTAGTGAAATGGGAGAAATGTAAATAAAGATATAGATTCAGTGAGATGAGCAGAAGAGAGAGATGCAGATAAGTCAGACATGAAAGTCAATAATTGACGTGTTTATGTTAATGAGATAATTGTATTTATGATTTGGCGTTGAGCTGATATTTGAAACGCACCCAATGTTTCATGAATCCAGTTGCTCATTCAGCTAATTGGGGCCCAACGCTTTGACTTGGTTTGCTTTTATGCCCCGTGCTGCCACTGCGGAAAGCCGTGGAAGGTCAGGGCAGAACCAGGAGCGCATTCAAAATAGGGAATGGTTGCACAGGGGCATCACGGAGCAGATTGGAGAGGGGGTCACAGGATGCAGTGAGATGACAGAAATGTCGACGAAAATAGAGATAATCTAGGATTGAAGCTTTCGTGACTGCAGAAATTATACACATTGTTTTTTTCGGCAAAGTCACGTAATGTAGAAATAAAATAAAATGTAAAATATCGCTTGTGTTGCGTTCGAAACGTCGTGATTTATTTAAATTTAAATTTATTTAAATTAAATTTTATTTCTACATACGTGACTTTACTGAAAAAAAAACAATGAAAATAGAGATGTCGTGAGAGGAGGGAGATCGAGACATGACTCGGGGTTTGGGTGTTTGCTGATGATGGAGATTGACCGGTTGGTGCCACTTGCAGCTGCTAGCGAGCGCCAATTCGAAAATCTCACTATAAACGACACGAAACAAAAACATTTAATTCACCAGGTAAGGCCGAGCTCTTACACAGTAGCTCTTGTTTCAGAAGCGACTTGGCCATCAGAAATGAGAGCTCAACGAAGTGATTCATCGCGTGGGAATGTAAAGCAGATAAATACTCGAAACGCAACGTTTCTAAATGTGGAGGTAGAATAAAACCGGAGGACCCGGAGAAAAATCCACGGGGAAAAACACATGCAAAGTCCAAGTATACGAGAATCGGAGATAGGGGGGAAGGTCAACACACAAACAAAAAGGGGAAGTTTTTATTATTTCAGATTTTTTTTTCTATCATATGAACAGAACCGCAGAAGCCACACACAATCTTCCAACTTTCAAGATAAAGCTTTCTCGGAAACCAATCACATTATAGATGTTATGCAATGCTCTCCAAAACCATAATAAAGGTTTTTGAGTTAGATCGCATACGTGTAAATGTGTCATAACCCTCCACCACCGATACAGCCAATGGGTAAGGTTTGTCACGTAAACCAAACGTGCCAATTATTTACTACTTCAGCCGACCGGTGTGTTGGAGAGTAAATCCACACATTTACAATTTGAGTGCTGTGACGTTTCGCTGGTAACTACATGAACCAGAATCATTGGGCGATTTGGCGATTTGGCAGAATCGCACCATGATACTTACGTGATCGAACCCAAACGCCGTTGTTGCGATGAATAATATTGGTCGCGAAAGCCTACGTGTTAAACTCACTCCCAATCCAAATTGCGATTAATAACATCCAGACAATGTTACACATGATTAAAGCTTCATTAACAAATATATTTATGCTGCATAAGCAAATGCAATTTGTTTGTATGTATGTCTGTCTGTCAGTCTGTCTATCTGTAAGCTTGATGGCCTGGCTCAGCAGTAAGTACTTTTCACTGTACACGGTCAAGTGAGAGATCAATCTGATAGGCAAAACCTGGTGACCTTTGACATTGAATCAGACCTCTGTACGACCTCTAGCCTGGGTCAAAGGCGCGGCGACCGCATGCTAATCGCAACGTTTGACGCACAAGCAATGTTTCATTTCGCGCAGCGAGTGAAGCCGCGTGCACAGCGTACACTGCTTACTTTCTCAAACAGAAGAGAAGGCAATATGTGGAAGGACAGGCGTGACAGATAGGATGCCAGATAGAGGGTGAGTCATGCACAGAAATAAAACGTGGTTAAGCTGGAGGGAGTGGTGGGGGGGGGGGGGGCGAGTGGAATATGAGATATGCAGAGAGAGAGAGATAGGTTTTTCTTGAGGTTGAAAGAACGGCTTGAAGGCGATGGCGAGAAGGGTGCGATATCGAGGAGTTTGGGAAAGACAAAATAAGTTATATTATTCCTCCCCATATCTTCACACGGAGGTCAAAGTCAACCAGTGATTCCTGAATTTCGATTTAAAGCTTTAGTGACTGCAGGGATTCATCTTCTTGGTTCTTTCGGTAAAGTCACGTAGAAGGGAAGTAATAAAATAATAAAATAAAACATAATAAAATCATTATCACGACGTTTCGGCACAAACGCAAGCAGCCGTCCTCAGGTGAAGACCAGGTCTGTCGGGGAGACAGCGTCTGAATTAAACACCGCCACGCTGACAGACCTGGTCTTCACCTGAGGACGGCTGCTTGCGTTGTGGCCGAAACGTCGTGAGAATTATTTT